AGCAGACTTATACTACTATATAGGCCACAGCATATTTGGAAATATAAATGAATGGCTGTTTCTGTAAAAGAGAAAGTCTGTGAAAGAGAAGAAATTATTCAATTTCACTAATGTCGGTTGGTCTAAATCTAAATTCATAGAGTCGACAAGAACCTGGGAAGCAATGATATGTTATGCCGGAGTGGAAAGAAAGGTAGCATTGGAAACGATTGAGAGGTGAGAAATCAAGTTGTAGACAAACAGTTGATGTTTTAAAATATAGTCTATAGTCCATACTCATACTGTCATAGGACATTTCAGACTGTGATATATCAAAATTTAGTGTAGATATAGTCTAGTAATGGTATGCAAACACTGCTGGACTGTAGTACATGCAATGAGCATATATACGCTCATTTAGTACATCAGATAAAATGCATTATGTATTCAAGGTATTAGTTAGTGTTTAGGGGTATTTTTACACTCATGCTGCTCCAAATATTATTTTCTTCCTCATTTTAGATACTGTACTACAAAAGAAAACGGCAATGTTCCACCAATCCGACCTAACGCAGGCTCTGATCCCTGCTGCTATCAGTGCTATAAAATGGATGAAACAAGAAGTCTTGAAGCTTAAAGGTACGGTATATGAGAATCATAATAGTTGCAAACAGCTTAGATGGGCTATTCATATTGAAATACTTTAGCACTTTTCTGCAATTGGAACTGCCCATCAAATTCATGTTGGAGACTTCATTGAGATTTTCAATTCATTTTTTTCCCTCGACTATGAAGATCTTTTGAGGTTAACGAGGCATTAATAAATAAAGCTGAGGAATTTGAAGAGGATATGAAGAATGTAAATGATACCAGGGCACGTCTATTTAACACTGTCAAACATAAGGATTATACTCTCCACCCAACAATGATTCACTGAAGAAGCATGTGGCCCTCAAATCAGTTCTTGAGTTGGCAAACTGCAAGTGTAAGAAAAATAGTCAAAATAATTTATGAAAGTGTGCCAAAATCAACTTAAATTGCACAGATTTTTGTTTTTGTATTGACTGCAAAAATCACAGTACACTTATAGAGGAAAAGTCGATTTTTGAGATAGTGGATTTCGAAAACAATTCAGAAGAAAGTGAATTAGATATTACAGTTGATTTAATAAGTATCATTTATTTGTTGTTTTTTCGGACATTTGTTAGTGTCGTAGTCCTGTTTCTAGAAATATTATTGCCTTTGTTCAAATACATAACCACATAAACTAAAAAAAGATTAATTGTAAATTGTAATATTTCTGTTCACTATTTTATGTACATATTGTACATTCATTTAATTTTCTTGACTTTTGCTGTAAATTTCTAAGTGAGAAATAACTGTATAACTGTATTTATTTGTGTTTTCGTGCTCACGATGTTAATTTGTGACTTCATTGCTTAAAAATAAATACGTTTGATAGCCTCTATAAAATGGATGTAGCTTTTTATGCTGTTCTTGTTGTAAACTGCTTGTGGTTATTACATAAAATTTATTCGCAAATGTGAATCAGCGTTGTTGGTGTCGCTGCTTTCGAGCTCACTCCCAACTCCTGTCACACAATTAAAGTATTTTTTGTTGTTGGTTACATGTTTGCCATATTTTTCGTAATCTACCTAATAAATTATGATTGACTGAGGAAGTCCGATTTTGGTCAGGCAAAACATTACAGGAATACATTTGTGTTAGTGTGCTGTAGGGCTCTCGAATTGCATAGTTCTTATGTATGTGTTGTGAATTTATGGTTATTGAATTTCCGGGAACCTCTTATATTCAATTTCGCACCAGGATTGTGGAACAAGCTGTAATGCGTTCATTATGTTCGTTTTCACGCAAAACTGAAGAATTTATTTAGTTACGGTACCAGATGTGCGCTACGAAACTCATTTTCTGGGCGTTTTCATGGCTTCGTCTCACGGCCCATATCCGTGGTAAGGATCTACAAGTGTTTAATAACTTACTTATACATTTTTCAACAACGTCTTAGCATAACTTAACTAATAATAACTAAACAGGGCTATGGAAAGCCTGCCCAACTCAGCGCAAGGTCGAGCAGTAATAACTAATATTCATCCGCTCGCTAACAGCTGGTTTAATTCAATTGTTACGTCATGCAGAAATCATTGTTCCATGCCGAAAATGTAGAGAATATAGGACAGATCGTAGCATATATTTCTTGTAGTAAAAGCGTCTTTTCCGTAAAACGTGCAACTTTTGGAAGTGGGAACAAGGCAATATTTGTTACTGAATTTTTAAGGAACATTTTAAAATCATTTTCAGGTAGTTACCTGATGTGCGCTACGAAACTCACTTTCTAGGCGTTTTTCAGGGCCTCGGCTCGCGGCCTATTCCTAATATCAAGATATACGTTTGCGTGCCGATGAAAAATTGCGTTATATAATTATACATGGAACAATAGCTTGAACTACATAAAGTTATGATGAATAGTAAATTTCACGGAAAATTATTGAACCTGTCTTTACTATATATATAAAGAGAGAGATAGTCACCATAACTCGATGTTTCGGCGAGATTCCTGTCTTTGCTTTTCTTTACTAAAAGCAGACAGTGGGAGATTTTAATTTCCTGGAAGAATTGCATTCATTTGGCACATCCCTAATTAGAACTTCGGGACAATTGATAAATACTTTATAATGGAATTATCATCGGTGAAAGGCTTCCCGCGATGCTGCTTTGTTTTTCGTAACAAGAAAGTGAGTGTTTATCAGCTTCATTCTTTTCAGAATCACCTTTAATTAAATAAATTGTTTTTGTGTTTGATTTTGATGTTGTTTAATGATGATTAATACTGGAGGTACCGCAAACGACATTTTCACAGCTGATTATATATAGTTTCGTAATTACGACAGACAACACACGGAATCTTGATTTTGGCTCGCATCTCATTTTGACCTCTTGGCCTCAAACATCGCATTTATCATCACGGTTAAAAACGGAATAAAACGCAAATACCAGAATAATGAAAAAAATAATAATGACGAATTAATATAATAAAACACAGCAAATATAACCACGTGTTTTGCACTGAATGTATCGTAATTTATTTCAATATTTTAACATTTTAAAACGTGCTCACGACGTCAGCGGTGCACAGCGGCACGCGGGTTTGCCGATCCCTGATGTAGTTCTCATTCAGTTCCCGCTCGTAAAGCGCATTTAGTGGCTAAAGTTTCGAGTGACATCATTAACGAACAAGTAATGTGATAATCTCACATTTTCGAAATCCAGTTAATAACTATTTTTTATTTGAGATTTACAACTTCAGTGAATATTTGCGAAGGTGCGATTCCAGATAAAAGTAGGGTGTCCTGGTCGATAACCTAAATATTTTTTTGAATCATTGGCAAGAAATCTATTGATTATGATCAATGTTTTGCAGTTGATTTGAATAAAAACGTGTTATTTATAAGTAAATGGATATCGGTTTCCATATTTCGTATATTGAAAATCTCGTAATTCTCTACTTCGTAATTTTGTTTTTGATAAACGAAAATATAAGACACCCCCCGAAAATAAGCCCCAGTGTTATTTTTCAGAAAAAAAATTGAAATAAGACCCAGTCTTATTTTCAGGAAAACACGGTAAAAACTGTAATCGCGATGAAACTATAATAAACGACTTTAAGCGTTTTAAAAATAGAACTGTGTCTTTTGTAAAAAATACCAACGTTTTGCGATGACTTCTTGGCTAGTTTATTATTATGCGATTTCCGGCCCAGAGTATCGTCGATTGTGACCCCCAAATATTTTATACTATTATTCTGCTCAATCATGTTACTGCCTAAAAGAGTAATTGTAACTTATTACAAAAAAGCATACATTTTGTTTTAGACTAGAGCGATTAAAAGATAATTTTCTTGCCTTCCGGCAATCATCAACATTTCAGTATTCACTACACTCTCAAGTTCGGACAAAGATGAGACGTGCCTCAACAGGGTAGTATTGTTTTCAAATGACGTTGAATAAAAGGTAGATGCAACTGGAAGATCATTTATATAACACAAAAATTATATGGAACCCTGTGGAATCCGCATTTGATGAAGCGCATTTCAAAGACATATTCGCCATTCTGAATATATTGAGAACGACCACTCAAATAATACGCCATGAGATTAAGTGAATTCCCCTTGATACCGTAATAGTGTTAGCAAGATTGAGAGGCGAACGGTATCAAATGCTTCCGCGGGGCCCAAAAAATGCGCAGGGGATCTTGTTGTTTTTTCTTTATTATTTGCTATCGTTTCCTTGAGCCCAGCTATTGCTACTTCAGTAGAATAACTATATCTAAAACAATACCAGAGCAAACTTGAAGCACCTGTTTTCTCAAAAAAACTTTAATTTGACTATATAAAATATTCGCATACATGTTCACAACTTGTGATAGTAAAGAAATAGGCCTATACCCTTTGATGAGGTGGCACCACTTTTGATATTTTAAAAATATATTGGTGCACACTTTCATGAAAACTTTGGTCAAAAAGTTTCAATTTAAAAGTTTAGTATCGGACACGAAACGGACCCATGGTAACAACCGGTAAAGTTATTTTTTTTTGTCGTTAAAGTTGGTTTTTATGATATTTTGGTATATAACTAAATTGATTGGGAACTTAAAAATCGAAAAAAGAAACCGAAACCTAAAAGCATCCACGGATACAAATATGGAGCAATGACGGGCCAAATTTCCCACAAAGCAATCGAACGCAGTCCCCATGCGACAGCGCCATTTTTTCTCCTCGCTTCCACAAATGAAAACAGGAACCATCGTACTAACTTCTATAGTGTGCTCCAATTAGTCGGGAGTACCACAGACTCCTAACTTTCATAAAGATAGACATACTATCTTCAGCGCGTGGACTAAAGTTGCGCCCCATTAAGCGACTATGCACAAAAATAACCTTGTCGTGCACCTCACTTAACCAACTGAACTTGTCACGTTAGACACTGCCATATATGTAAACACAATTTCTCATCACAGAATTGTTATTTCTTCTTCTTTAACTGCGAAACAAGTATTTTTGTAGATGTATAGGAACAAAATTAATGAACAACACGAACATGAACTGTAAGGGTACGTCAGAAATATGTTTTATATCGTCTGAGAGGAAAGGACATAAGTATAAGGGGCTTTTTATTACATGAACACTCATAATTGAACTTTGTGAGTGAAGGTTTAAATTCGAAAGAAACTGTTACACTTGTACAATAAAAAGTGAGTCAACATGGAGAGCTTTGCAATCAGAGAACATTGGATTATAAATATTAGAACAAAAACACTATAGATAGATGGATAGAACACTACTCAATGGGTCAAAGATGGCTGAAGGACAATTTCTGCTGAATGAGTCACGGTAGCAAGCACCAGTGGCCTATTTTCTTGACCGAATATAGAGATGTACAAACAAAAATATCCAAATAGCTTATAGCAATTTACCTTGTATGGTCAGGTCAGGTGGCCGAAATTGTCCTTAGTAGACTAACGCAAAGATTGAGCAAGGCACCAAGTCACATTCTTGTTAAATTAATTATAATTAAACATTCTCAGATGGGAAAGGCCTTGTCAAATAGGCCGTGTAATGTTCGTCACGAACCTTTTTTTTAGTTCCTGAAAACATCATTACAATTTAATAGTTGGACAAGTGAAATCCTAAAAATCTGAAGTTTTGAAAGAAATGTTAATAGGACCATGAAAAAAAAAATTTTGTGGTAGTATGTATGCTGCCATAAAATCAACATTCAAACAACAATAATAACCATCTCCTATGCTGGTTGTATAGCAAACATATCAGAGATATAACTTGCATGACGATAGGTACACACCGCACGCTTACGGTGGTACATACCGTCAGCTTTATATAGATACGATATTATTTGTAAAACAAATCTGAAACTGAAAAAGTTGACTGAAAAGAGCAAATAAAATATTTGAGCAAAACGTAACGTAATATGGAAACAAAGGAAATAAAATTCACGAAAGTAACGGCTAAAATATTTCGTCAACTCCTCATCATTCAACATCATCAGGAATTCAGAAAAAACTCTGAAAAAGGTTATTCACCATTGCCTGAAACAAAAATGGTTTTCAATCATTTAGGCCAGAGGTGGGCAAGGATTTTATACCAGGGGCCGAAAGGTTAGCCCATCTAGACTGACGGGTGACAGGCCATGAGTGGCGTTAGTCAAAATGTCACATTTCATGAACAATACTTACAGTGTTACAAAACAAAAAGGAAAAGTGCCACAATTAAATTTAATTGCAAGCTGATCAAATTCCTTGAGTTATTTGTTAGCTAAAACATCTAAATTGGTTTTAGTGTGATTGTGACAGCATAAGGCGGGGCAGATTGAATTACCCAACGGGCCGGATTTAGCCCGCGGGCCATAATTTGCCCATGCCAGATTTAGGCAGTCAATGGCTGATAGTTATTAAACAATAAATAGATTAATGTTAAACTCGAAACTATGCATTCGTGCACCGAACCTTGACGCCAGAATAATTCTTCTTATCCCAAAGAGGCAAATTTTTTTTTCATTTTCCGAGTTATGAACTGGTTTGCATGTTTATAACCATTATTTTGATTCAATACACTCAGCTACTTGACATATAAAAGCGCAGATAGCTAATTTCAGCCTAGTCCAAAAGCAGCTTATCCATGACTAATTTTAAATACTAGAACCAAACCCAAAACTCCTCAGAAAACGGAATGATCATTGAGTAACTGCACAAATTTTCAATTATTACATCAATGTTAACTTATGGCTAATTCGTCATTGTCACAGAAATATATATTTCCTACAAAGCAAGTACATAATTGAATGTTACAAATTGTCCACTTACCATAAATGAAAAAAGACTCCAAATTAATAGGATTTGAAATTGTCAACTGGTCCTCTACGATAATTATTTCCACCATACATAGAACGTTGTGTTTGTTGCTGGCCTAAAGAAAGAGTCAATGATCAGAGTTACAGTAACCCAAACGAATAAAAAATAGAGTTCGGGGACTGTCTGTGTTAGCCAAGTGTATTTACCCTCTGCTCATAGGTTTCAGTCCTTGTACACAACTTGATGTGAAATAGCCGAACAAAATTAGTTACCTCCATATTGATAACATACTTCTGGAGCGCCCACAAAAGTAATATAATGAAGTGGACTCAAGTGGTAATAGCTTGACAAAGATACAATCTATTTGCTTAGAACTTCCCATCAGTTCAAACTAGGTTGTTTATATCAGAGGTGGCCAAATTAGCTTCAACTCAGATTGAATGAAATCTTTGTGAAATTTAAAACTTGCCATTGACGCGGCTTCAAATCACACCAGGAAAAAAGTAAGTTAAATATAGATAATGATCTAGTTTATACTGGGTTTCAGGTTTCGAAAGTAAAAAACATGGTTCATCAGGAGTATGCCCAGACGAATAGTATTTTGTGCATGTGCCATATTCACTTACTACAGCAATTCTCAAAGGAGGCGATTTGCTAAGTGCACCCCGGAAATTAACACAATTGTGTTAACCATACTAAATATGATTGAATATTTGGTACTCCCGATGTGAACCAAGATGGCGGACACCGGAATGTAGTATGTGTACCAGGTTAGGGTTAATCCATAATTTTATTCTAACTTTCCTTATTTTAGTTCTATTACAAGCTCGAGGACTAGCCAAGTCACTCCCGTAGTATTTGTACCTGAAATTATGATCTAACCCTATCCTGGTACACATATACGTTCCGGTGTCCATCATCTTGGTTCACATACTTCAGGAGTACAGAATATTTCACATATTGTATTCATTAGAAATGTATAATTTTCCAAGATTGTGACTTGTTGTCTTTGCATTACAGTCTACTACGGACAATTTTGGCTACCTGACCATACAAGGAGAATTTCCTTAGCAATCTGTGTATATGAATCGATCAATTCATTTTGATTTTCTATGTCATTAACTTTCTGTTACGTAGTGTCTGCCTCTATTGTTATGTAACAATGAAGGTACACACTACATGCTGTAATTTATTTATCTGCCAAACCGAAGTTAGCGAAAATAAGATTTCATACCTTGAGAATTAAAGTTGTTTCCTTGACCGTATCTAGTCCATCCTCTGGTGTCATATGGATCGTAATTCATTCCAGCACCATATCCACCATAAACAGAATTATAAGAATTGAAATAATCCCCATAACCTATCAAAAAAAATATTATCATTAGTTTGTGAACGCAGTAGACGCTCACATTGAGTCATCTGATACAATGCTATCTTGAAAAAATAATATCAAAGTTGATGCAATTCAAAGAGTGTATGGGATTACAGGGCAGTTTGAGGGGACCAAAATGCTAGTCACAAAACTGATTCCACTTTTCATATTTAAAAAATACTCCCCGTTCTTTCGAGTTTCTTTGCTTGATAAAGTTATTTCACAAGGTGTTTCTGCCTTGTTGAGCATGAATTGTTTGAACATAATGGGATTAGATTAGAATCTACCAATCAAAATAACACAATAAATATCACAAAAGAGATCTCTGGAAGCAGCCATGAGCCATAAAAGGTTGGGAACCCCTGGTACAGCTGGTAACGAAGACGACTGACTACTTAGTGATTGAAGACGGTTCGAATCCCATGCAAACACCTCACTCGATGTAACAATATGTTAACACATTGCCAAACAGAAATATTCCAGTCAGGCACCCTGTGCAGAAACATATTAAAAATATTATATAAAAAAATAGGAAGTCTCTTACCACCATAACCTGTTGATAATCCCCATTGAGATTGTGGCCAAGCACCTTGATCTAAAACAAACAAAATAGTAAGGTACAATTATTTCATAGACTGAGAAAGTGAAATCAAATAGACAAACGTGCGACGTATGAATAAAAGTTAAATATTAGCCAAGTACTAAGGACAGATGGAAGTTTAATATAATACTGAAGTTCTTTGTTATGTATGATGAAATTCAGTGATTCGGATAATAAAGGATTTAAATGAACTAATATATAAATTTAAAATAATCCAAGTAACTCCTCATGGATATAAATTATGTCGTATTGTAGAATTTAATATAAATCATGATTGAACCACAAAAAATGTCATTTGAAATCATCCTATATATATATCGCCGGATGAGAACAGAACAGGCCTAAGTCACAATTTTGAGTTTTGAGAAAAACGCAAAAAACAATTTGGAATTTTTTATTTTTGAATTTCTAGATATTCACACTTAGTAAAAACCTGAACTCTGGTTATTTTAATGTGGATGTGAATATCTCTGTAATCATTATTTTTTGGCACTTCAGCTTCAATTCCTTCCTGCTTTTGGATAAATTATCTGCCATAATGGACTTTGGCCCATTCTGTTCTCAACAACTTCTGAATTTTTTTGTATGGGATGCAAGGTAAAACAAGGTGACTTAGGCCTAAGTTGCACTGAGGAAATTTTTAGGGATGTAAGTTTCGAACATTTCATTTCTGATGTTCATGCCCATCATATTGGAACTTGGGACTATCTTTTTTCAGTATTTTGGAGTTTTGAGCCATGCTCTACAAGGTGGTGGTCTTGAAATTCTGAATTTCATAATAATGAAAATATTAGCTGGACTTAGGCCCATTCTGTTCTTAACTTCTACAGTCCTAAGTCCAGCTAAAAATTTTATTATTGAGAAATTCAGGATTTTAAGACCACCACCTTGTATAGAGCATGGCTCATAACCCCAAAATATTGAAAAAAGTGAATTTTGCGAAAATGTGACTTAGGCCCCTTCTGTTCTCATCCGGCGATTCCATGTCTGTTGTCCTACTATAACATAGCAGTCCTAAATTGCTGCTGCTGCTGGTATACTGGGAATATACTGTGTCTCAATTAATGTCTGTAAAATCTTGAACCAGGCTAGGGTTAGGCCATAGCTTTATTCCAATTTTCCTCATTTTAGTTCTATTATGAGTTCGGGGACTGTCTGTGTTAGCCGAGTGAATATATCACCTGCCCATAGGTTTCAGTCCCTTTACACAACTTGAATAGGCTAATAAAATTAGGCCTCCATATTGGAACACACATTTCTGGAGCGCCCTTCACCCTGTCTCTGTTATATTTTTTAATTATGCAGATGCCGTTACATTTTAGGCAAATAAACATACTACATATAAATTACAAATCTGGCAATGCATTTCAAGCCTAGAAAAAATATTAAGCACAATCAATGATTCAACTGTATTGAAATATACTCTTACTGTAATTGGGCCTTGCTCCCATTCGGCTTTGTGGTCTTGGCCAGCCAGGCTTGGATTGTGGAGGAGTCGCCAATTTTACTTCACACTGTAAAAATATTGGTAGAAAAAAGTCTAATTTGTCTCCAAGCCATAGGATTGGATTTTCATATTAATCCCGAGGTTAAGAAAATCCAATAAGATAGTGAACCACGGCCTATTCTCCGATTACCAGTCCATGCCAGATATGGGCTTAGTTAGCCAGTTATTTATTTCAGATTCGTGAACCTGATGGTGGAAAAAGCTTATTAACCGGCCAGCACTCCAGCAGTTTCGTGAATCATCATCTGGCGATGGGGAGTCTTGCAATCTTCTCACTTATAATTATCTCCTACAGGATTCAAACATGCCATTCCATGCAGAATATTCAGAGGTGAGATGCGACTTATCCCGAATACTAACGCTTAGCACGACGAATCAACCAACCAGCTCGAACGTGACAAAAACTTTGATTTCGGTAAAAAAACAGCATGGAGTGTTAACACTGATGCAAAATTAAATTATTAATACAAAACAATCATTTTAATACAGCCATTAGAAATTACTTCAAAGTTGCGCTAATGAGAAAGTGTTTGTCATCAGCAAATTTGAGGTATCCGGACACAACGGTAATTAACTATAGGACACCATTCCGCATGAGATTTAAACCTGCGAACCCGCGCAGGGTAATCAGAGGTGCAGTGACTAGAGTATTCCTAACGCTTAGCATGATGCGCCAAACCGCCGAGGGTCTTTTGTGATGCATTGTCTACATATTCAAAATACAATATGCTAATGTATCTACAGGAAGCCAAACAGATTTTTATGGAGCGTCCCATGACCTATGCTCTGTGGCGAATCTGCCCTAATCGCAGAATGAATTAGTTTTATTTTTTCAAAAAACAAAAGGGGATTTTCAGACAACTTTGGGTCGCGATCCTGTGATAAAGTACACTTACCTGTTTCCCTGCAACCTCCTGAAACTGTTCTTTGCGAGCTTCATTTAATGCTTTTTCATTTTTGTATGAAATGAAGCAAAATCCTCTAGGCGCTTGTTTTACTTTGTCAAAAGGCCTTTCAAAGGATTCAATCTGTATCAAAATAAAATAATAGACGGACCAAACAGACACAAAAATATATAATGTTGCATTTTCTAGGATTTCATTAAAAAAATGAATAAAAATCAACACAGTAAAAAATACTGTCAGATATATAAATAGAAAGTTGAACATCACATACTGCAGCTGTTCGAAAAGAAACAACTCAGTGAAGTTGAACAAACACGAATTTGTATGATACATATATCTTTGTGGTAAACCAAATCTCAGGGACTCTTGGAGAAAATATATATTATTGATGGATGATTCCAAGACCCTTGACCCCAGAAACATTCATCCTATACTTAACTATAGCAAAATTTTGGATGCTCAATTTGCAAGTGTTTCGGAAACTTGACACTTACAAACTGATATTCAAAACCATTATTTTTATCAAAATATACCACCATGTGCAGCTTACACATATTAATTGCTGGTTTTGGCCTAGTCTATGGATGAATTTTGTATTATTGCTACTAAACCAAAGCTTATCGAAAGACATAATGACAATTAAAATACTCCATTTACAACTAATTTTTGGAAATACAACTGAAAACTGACAAAACTCGAAACCACGAAAACGGGGCAATGTTTAGAGTTTACAACAATGCTCGAATATTTGTCTGAGTGAACAAAGTGTCTGAGCGGCTGCCAAAATTACAATTGTTACGTCATTATTGACATTTTGTTGATTGGTCATAGTTACAAAAATAAACAAGGAAATCGATGCTCGGGGCATCATCCATAGCCTTCCATACAGGACACTTCCATTTTTAAATAATGCAAATACGAAAGCAATCAGTCCAGTAGTAAATGAAAAAAATGAGCGTTACTCACAACTTAAAAAGTCATGTTACATTATTGAAATATTGCAATTTAAAATAAAAGATAGGAAAACAATTTAGAAAAATCATGTTGCATTCGAATATTGCAAATCAAAATAAAAGATACAGAAAGAGCAAAAACAGAATAATTTACTGCTCCAAATAAATCCCCAAAAATGTTTTTGAATGGAATACCAGATATATGTTATATCCTAACCGACTTGGGCGCTCCAGAAGTGTGTACCAATATGGAGGGAATTAATTTTGTTCACCTACTTTACATCAATTTGTGTAATGGGACTAAAGCCTATGTGGGTATATTCACCTTGCTAGCACAGGCAGTCCCCGAACTGATATTAGAACTAAAAAAAGGAAAATCGGAATAAAATTATGGCCTAACCGTAACCTGGTACACACACTACAGGAGTACCGCGAACTGAAGTGAAAAACAAAGAAAATTTATATAAACAGAACAGTACATACCTCTCCAAAAGTACTAAAATGAGTTTTCAATTGTTCGTTACTAATATCAGGCGATAAACCACCGACAAACACCTTGAATGTAGCTTTCTTGGGAGGTTCTGCTAATTTCGGATCAATATTACGACCATCAAGTTTATGTTCTTTCTGGTTTAAAACCTATGAAAAAAATGTTGGGAAATGTTAAACAGAGCTCATTTCAAAGCCAGCAATTTCCTTATTCTTCAATAAGGTACAAAGTTCTGACACGAACACCAAAAAACAACAATGGCCTCTTTTATGTGTATTCATTTCCTCTATTTTGATAAATTTATATGAATTGATTTTCAAATATTAACACAATATCTTCCTTAAAAATAAACAAACAGTCAAAGGTGTGGTTCACGATGAATTTAAAATTAACAGATTGGAAGCATTTGTAAATCAGTCTATCATTTTCTATGAATTGTACGGTATTAACTATTAATAAAGTTGAAAAACTGCTATATTTAGAGTACTGGCAAATATCATTTGGCATTCCTGATACCAAAATTCATACTTTTACTCAAGGAAAACTAAAACCAACTCAAAGTGGAGTGACAAGAAATCTCTTAAATTTATTAATAAAAACAGGCGTTATCAATATCAATAATCCATATTACTTTTTTCACAGACTCTGGGTCTTTGAAAAGAACAAAACCGAATCCTCTGGATCTTCGAGTCTCTTGATCTTTTTTGATAATACAGTCCTTCACTGCACCAAACGTAGCGAAGTATTCCCGCAGTTCATCTAAAAAAGAATCGAATAACTTACTACAGACATAGAAGAAAAATGTCAGTTATTTATTTAAAAAAAATGTCGAAAAGTACCAGAAGAAGTTATGAATACAAAGGTGTACTCGTGTACATTATACAAAGAAGATTTTGAAGAATCCTGTTTTAGATTTTTTTTTCTACTACAGAAATGTCAACTTGCTTCTTAAACTCAAGTCTATTATATAAAAACAGTTCGCTCATGTTCTAACACGGCGATACTCAAACGCCTTTATCAAAGATCTGTATACAAAATTCAAATTCTACAAAAGTAGAATGAACAGTTGAACACAAATAAGAGTAAATGATAAAAACCTTCTAGACGTACAAATAAAAGTACTTGGAATACTTACTGTTAGTAGTCACCCATGACAGATTACCAACAAAAATCTTCCTGCAACAAAGAAGTAAACTCTTACTGACTGTTTGTAAGTTTACTTAGTTAAAGAATGAATGAAAACTAACGTAGTTAATTCTAACTTTCTCAATACAGCTTGATTATTTGTAACAGTACCGGTACTTCTGTAACGTTTCGTCCAGTCCAGAATCAAGACTGTTCATTTCTTGCCATTGTCGTAAACTGCTTGTCTGAGGAAGTCTGACTTTAGTCGGATGAAACGTTACAGAAATACATTTGCGTTATTGTGTGCAGCTGAACTCTTTAATTGGATAAAATAGTCATGTTTATTTCAGCCACAGCATCCTTGCAGTATATGCACATGGATCCACTAGCATAAAGGCATAGAGCAGTGGTTCCCAACCTGGGGGTCCCAACCTGGCGGGTTTCCAGGAGGGTCGCGAAGGTCTTGCAAAACAGTAGAAAATAATACAAAACTTACTGTTAAATATGTCAATAGAACGCGAAGAAGTCTGGAATGGACTCTCGTCTGCCTCCACTAGCTGTAGTGAGACCCCAGAATGTCACTTCTTGCTTGAAAAACAAGCAAGCGGCGCGAGTTGTTTATGGTAAGTTAACCATTGTCACGCCACACAAACTCGTCTGCATTTCCGCGCGCCGCAATACGGAAAACACGCAGGCTTCAAAGCAATGCCGTGGAACGCCAGTATTTCGATACCAAAGGGGTTACTGCAGGGTAGGCTTGTAGTCTATGTTGTTTCATCGTGAAGATTATCATACATTCTGCAGTAACGTTACTTATAATTCTGTTATTTTATTTACCATGGCGAAGTAGCGACAATATGAAATGAAGGTATGAAATATGAAAACGGCTTTTCAGTTCATCTTCATATTAAAAAAAAAGCACGAAAATCGAAGGAAAGTTGAGGATGATATGCCTATGAGATTAGCTTTGTAAAAAAACTCAACTACGAATTACGCAGTTGGCTACGCGGCGTCAGTGCTAGCCGTCACATTCTGTAAAACTGCAAGTTGATGAAAAAATAAATTACATAATATTCACTTTTCCAAATGCAGTTTCAAGTATTTTGTGGCGTCGGAAGCTGCTGCAAAACCATGGCGGGGTTCCAAACCCATGGCGACTGACTTTTCAGCTGCCACAAACCAATGGCGAAAATTGAAAACCAAAGGCGGGTAAAATTTTGCTGTGTAACCACGGCATGTTGGCTGTAATGGCAAAGGCTGCCCCTGATGGTGATAAACATCGGGTAAGTTGGAACATTTTTCTTATGGATACAGTTTTGATGGATTTGGGGTCAGGTTTGAGTAGATATAATTCCGCAGAATAAACTAAAATCTGGTACACGACTTTGTGAATATACCGGTAATAACGCCATAACCACGGCAAGAGCTGCAATCGGTTCGTTCGTGGGAGGATCTGCCGTGAAGTGGTAAAAAATGCGTCTCCACTTTGTTGCTTATTTAATTGACAAGTATAGAAAGTGAGATAGGGGGTCGCGAGGTATGTGTAAACCACCAAAGGGGGTCGCGAGCCAAAATAGGTTGGGAACCACTGGCATAGAGGAACGATAGGGAGTGAGTCTCGAGCAACCCAATTCAAGGTACCGGTACTTATGGTTATTATTATTATACAAACTTTTTTAACTATAGATATATTGAAAACAGTTACCCCAGTTTTATTGTGATAGAATGACCATAGCACACAAACTGATATATAGTGAATAGGCACAAACTTAGGCTATTGGTATGACAATGTATCAAGTGAAAACGAAATTTCAGACACTATTTTATTGATTGACACGAAAAAATTACTTTTAATCTACATTCAGTCATCAAACTGAAATTATCAATTTGGAAAAAATTTGTTTTCTGGCCAATGCATCATGATTAATTTTATTTCAATCTTACCCCTCATCCTCAGTCCCTGCTTTGATTAAGCTTCCCTCCTCAACAATCTCTTCCTCAGCAGCTGTTTGGACACTACTACTGGCCGAAGCTTCCTCTCCATTCTCCTGTATAGTCTCTGCTTCAGTGGTGGTTGGCTCATCATTCACCGGTGTCTGTTCCTCAGTGCTAGCCATTGTTAGAACCAGTTGCAGCCTCTACAGGAAGATAAAAAGAAAATATGACTTTGGGTATAAAATTAAAAATCAGAAGTGGTGGTATGATGTAGGTATTATGTTAAATGACCATGTTTAGTTGGGTGTATTCATGCATCCATTAAGTTTTCGCTTCTTTTTCAAAAATATTTAAAACAATGATCTACACATTTCAATGATCTAAATCAGAGGTGTGCAGCAGGTGGTCCGCGGTCCACCAAGTCATTTACTGTGGCCCTTGTCAACACACAGATTTTTTTGCCATCAAGCATATAATCATAATCCAACAGTTTCTGTTTGAAAAGGCATTCACATGAGAAAAAATACATAATGTTTTTTTGCTCTTGTTACTGAGTTAATTCTTTCTCTGATGCATTTATTACTGTAAGGTCAGAAGGTTAAGCAATAGCCACATTTTCTGTTAGTAGCCCACCGACAAAAAATGTTGCACAACCCTGAAACTTGTTACAAAATGAGATGAGAGGATTAGGCTGAACACTCTTAATAGCTTTTCCCATGATAAATACAAAAATCCTAATAACGCCTGATTTTGATTGATTCAAACTAGTGAAATATCAGAAGCACTCATAGAAAATTGAATTATGAGTTAGGACCCGAAGCATATTCAAAAATGATAATTTAGCACACAGATATGAAAATATATGATTGTATACAATTTGATAGAGTGAGAAATGGATAGCTTAAATTGTAAGCCTTCGAAGAAGTATACAAGGTAAAATTGGTTATAATCAGTAACAATCAAATTGCATGTACCTTCAACTGCAGTCATACATTCACTGTGATTCCACCAGTACACAGCTCAAGCAGATGATGTTTGCTGCTTTGTTAGGGTATTTAGGCTAAGCTGTAAAATGAAAATGTTTCAAAAATATCTCATTTAGTCATTAGCAATACTAAAGAAAGAAGAATGAATATCAATCTATTATTTATGACCAAAATAAGAATTTCACAAGTTTGATGATAATTTTTCAGTCCAAACCAATATTCTAATGTATTCAGATATACTGATATCTAGTATAGTAAATTCTTGATTTTAGGATAAGGATAAGGATTTACATATTTATCCCGGTGGAGAGGAAATCCGATAAGACGGCTTAACTATATGGCAAACCACGGCCAAAAATATCCCGATATTTAGATCTAAAAATAAACGCTCTATAGCCTATGTCACAGAAACAAGGGTGGCTGGCTAAACCGCATATGCATTACAGCATTAAGATCTATACATGATATAGATCCAACGTAGCGTCCGCTGGCCTGGAGCAATGGGGCAGTTACGTGAACCACCCTACGGTGGCGAGGAGTCCAGCAATCCTCTCGCACATAACCCGCATGAGATTCGAAATTGCGAACCCACGCAAAGTAATCAAAGGTGCGGTGCGGTGGCGAGCGTATTCCTAACGCTTAGCACGATGAGCGACACCGCTGCGCCGCGCACATACTGACATATAATCAGTATAATTGATGTCAGGATGTTTTTAAAAATCAGTAAGCTGTGATTATTCATAAAGTGTGCCATACTACAGTACTATTACTTAAAGCTGAACGTGAAACAAGAACGACATCAATATTACTGATTTCAATTAGGCTATAAGATTATTCTTCATTTTTATACTCGTCATTGCTTTTATGCATAGCTGCAAAGCGCAGTACGTAACATCTGAACGTTAGTTCATTTTTTTTGGAGAATATTTTGTACAAATTCCATGGTTTAATAAAGAGATCAATTGCTGAATTGAGTGATCAAAAATTACAGAAGCCCGTCTTCATTTTACAATATTCATTACGTTATTGAAGTCAATGCAGCAATGCTTGAATCTGTGAATGCTTATGACGCAGATTTTCCGTGATCAAGTACCGGTACCGGTACCGTACGTACGGACCCGTGCAGCCGTGGCTCTCTATTCTGTATTCCACGAATTCTCTACCGGTACCGTACACATTTTGCATTATGCTGACGTATTAACTTGACACGACCGACCTTTTTTCATAACCTATGCCTTATCTCAAATAGTATATACCAGTATACCGGTATACGGTACAATTACTGATACTGCGGTACGGCACCGGTAAAAGCACACAAACCAGTAGGCGGAACGATTCACTGACAGGCCGGATGACCAACTGAACTCCACTCCCAAATGGTACAACACGGAGTCCTAATTGAAATGACGGTTGCACAATCATGATAATTCGTGACGTCGAATGGCTTTATTATCCTGCCTAATTTTCTGATTAATATACTGATGTACAATCGTACTTGAAAATCATATCGTGTACGGTATTCCCTAAACTTCGACAAGAAAATTATCAAAAACCTCTGGTCAAAATACGCTCGGCATCGCACCTCTGATGCTCATTGGTTCACATAACCGTTGGTTGGTTACAGTTTCCTCTACCATAAAGTCCATGTATCCGAAAACAAAACAAAAAAAACTGTATACCCGACATAGAATAGTAACCGCACGAGACACCGCGGTTTGCCATATGATTAGGCCGTCTTATCGGCTTTCTTCTCCACCGGGATAAAGATGTAAATCCCATAGCGTCTACTATAAGTAGGCTTACCATACGTCCCGGTTTAGCCGGAACAGTCCTGGTTTTAGCATGTTTTTCCGCCGTCCCGGCGATAGACATAAATAGGTCTAGGATAGCATATTATATTACATTTACATCAAATTTAAATACAGCCATCAATAGAGTGAATGCTTTTTGTTAAAGTACCATGCTGGGACTTCTCTTCCTCTTATAGGTCATCGCACAAAATCAAATATGTTCTCCCCTTCCCTCACCCCAGGAAACTATACTATTCTATTGTGATTTTAATTCAACTTGGGCACTCCATGACAGAGAAACAATGATTCTTTTTTTAAACCATCAGCCTTAATTAAATTGTACTTTTATACATTGCTCTTCTTCTGGCAAAAGTGCAATCATGTTGGGTTTTGTTGAAATGCTTTTCATCAAGTTATTTTTTTCTGTAATTCTCACCACGTTCGGCTTTAACCTTTAAATAGAACAATAATACCCAGGAATTTGATAGCAACACTAGAGCATTTCACCAAATCTGCATGGCTCGCATTTTTTCCGAAATATCTATACTCTATCAAAGACTATATTTATCACTCTTGAGTGGCGCGACCGTACAGGCACTGCACATGTACCTCCAATATTTCGCCCATTCATATTACCGGTATATGGTCCCACCACTCAAGGGTGCTGTATCTACGCCTAAATTTTTATTTTATCATTATGTATATATGTATTTGGTGTATTGTGTTGTCCCTATATATATATATATATATCGTCTTGTCTTATAAACTCCCTTGTATAAACAGTTCTGTGTACCACTTTTTACCTTACCACTTTTGCCACACCAACCCATTGCCCCACCTTACACAATTGTCTGTATAAGGGACCATATCATATTCATTTAATCTAACATTTTTTGTTCTGTACTTGTCAAAAGGGGTGCATGTCGCACATTTGTGTTTTAGGCCAGTACGGTCTTGTGCATGCGTCCCGTCTCCAATATTAATATTGTCAATTTTTTATATTGCTTACTACTACGAGACTAATAAACATACATACACATACATCCCGGTTTTGCAGCATGACAGTCATTTTTTGACCACGTAGTAGACAAAACGATCGTTTTGTTGTTATGTTGTTCTTGTTCTTTGACACGTTTTGAAGAAATCGCATTTCTCTTTGATTACTGGACCAATTGCATTGAAATTTTCAGTGGTTAAAGATGGAATTTTCCTCCAGAAGGGCGAAGGCTATTACTTTTATTTTTTTGCTATGGTGTTATCAAAATTATGTGGCGCTACTTGTCCATATATTTGAGCATAGCTCTCTCGTTCTATTTGATACTAATACAAAACTGTTTTTTTTTCAACGGAGGCAGCCGATTTATCACTGATTTGCGTCTCACTTCACTAGTTCAGATAGAGAGAAAAATTGTTATGTCATAGTTATGATATGAAGTTTGAACCATGCGTTAATTTAACACCCAACTGAATCACTAAAATGCCGGACGCAAAGTGCAAGTTTTCTAATGAGTTGAACAATTTTCATTGTTTGAAGCAAAACGAATAGTGGATATTTTAATAGGATTTACAGCTATTCTCAATGCACATAATCTACCCACAGTGGCATTGAAAACGTTTAAACTATTATTAAGCCCCTCGAATCGAACTAAGGTTGATTTGTCCAATCTGCGTCATCCCCTTTTTTATTTCAGAAATATGGTAAGCCTAACCATAAGTCAATTATTCACTACCAGTTCTAAAACAAATTTTCCAAGTTGTACACCACCATGGTCAATTCAGCACTTAATTATACTTTGATAAATTAATATTGTAAATTGTGTTATGGCCAAGCTGATCCACATTCGTTTCCTTTGACTTGATATATCATTCTAGCACTCATAGTAAAATCGTATTCGGGATTCCCGTAAATCTTTCTTTTACGACTTGGCCTACACCCTACATGTATATTTATGTGTAACTTACATAAAATTTCACTTTCTTGTGCATGGATTGTTTGGTCACTATGGGATTTGTAATCTACCAATCAAAATAACACTATAAATACCTCTGTGCTCCGCGAATTCTAATTTTTATAGTTGATTGGTAGGCAATCTGACCTGCAGAAAACGGCTGAACCTAGTTTACTTACAAGGAGGGTTCTCTAGACTGCGCGAGATAGCTGCCGTGAACATGGAAACACAGAAAATTTATTCAAATTTCTAATATTGGTACAAATCGGAAATGGAGGACAATTACGTTGCCGTCGACTTTGCCAAAGCAAGCCTGAAATGTTTGCGTTCAATGCTTGTATTTATGGAATGGTGAACAGGCGGCCGCATGTTATTAAATATATTGTTGTATAATATTTTCGTTGTGTCAATCCCTTCTTCTTTTCGCACCATTGTTAAAAAATTCTATACCAATACATTTACAAGCTCATCTCCACCTGTTTCATTCCACTATTTAGCCCTTTCGTCTGTGTTTGATACCAACTCGAGGACACATGACCCCAATCGACATTTGAATGACAGGGTCATGTCGAGTTCATTTTTTTCAATCAGTAAATAGTCAATTTTACACAAAATACGAAAAAACGAGGATTTCAATAGTATATATTTTATAAATCAGAATTTGTGAAGCCATATTTAAGGCATACTGAGTTTCGCACTTTTTTTCCACTACTACATAAAACTCGAAATTGATCAAGTAAGCTTTATTGAGTTCATTATTTAGGTAATAATGAAAGTGAAAATTGACTTCTGGAAAATCCGGGATTTTATTAATATAAATCCAGCTATTGGAACGAGACAATCGAGTCGAAAACTCGAAAACACTGGGATCATCCCACATTCCAACACTAATTGCGAGTGCAGTGTAAGACTGAGACGAGAATTTACCTACGTCCGATTATGCATGAGACTGCTGGTAAATTATTGCTCCAGATTTATAACTGCGAATGCGTTTTACGCTTCAGAATTTGTTGTGTAGGTCTAGCTCGTGTAACAGCTACAGTTTCCTTCGTGGAGTCTAACTTCACTACATCCATAAATTTCTCATGCGTGAAAAAACAAAATTGGATAATAGTTTATTTATTCGAAAGTAAGTATATGACTTAATGATATTTGGAATGTGATTATTTTTTGCAGCAGTGTAGTTTCGACCTAAAAGAAACCGGGAAAAAAAGCCAACTCTAGAACTTCACACAGCGGTAAATTGGATTACTACATTTCATTTTGAATCCGGTGCTGGTAAAATGAGGTATTGAACACGCAATGAACCTATGGATCGTTTCGTTATTATGTTGTCGATGTTCTTATTGGACACGTAGTGGACATAACGATCGTTTCAATATTATGTTGTTCTTGTTCTTTGTATCGTTTTGAAGGAATCGCTTTTCTCTTTGATTACTGAACCAATTGCTCTGAAATTTTCAGTGGTTGAAGGCTATCACTTTTATTTTTTGCTATGACGTAATCAAAAATATGTGGCGCTACGTGTTCATATACTTGAGCATAGCTCTCTTGTTCTTGTTAGTATTATTTTAGTATCGTTATGAAAACCTCTTCCTCTTCAACTACTGGACCAATATTTTTTTGAAATTTTCAGTGGTTGAAGATTGTATTTTAGCTAGACGGCTATTACTTTAATTCATTCCTGAATTTTCTGTGAATTCTATAAGATTTGATATTTCATCCAAAATATGGCTATATTATTTTTACTCACGGGAACACTGTTTTTAACTTATTTCAAGCGGTTTCGCAATCGAATATCAGGCCTACACTCAGTGGCCTACAGCAACAGGTACGGTACTGGTAATTTACTGTACCGCTTAATATTTTTGTGGAATTGATGATAAAATATTTTGTTTTGGCCTCCGTGCCCATATATGTCGGCATTGTTCTCTTGTTAACAAACGAATTATTGAATTTCTGACAGCCATAAATTTCTAAATTAATTTTATTGTACACTTACTGTAATGCAAAAAAAAAAATTGTTCTGAGTTTCTATACTACAAATATAAAAGGATGTTAATTCTAGAGTAAAGTTTATATACAAAATAAGTAGAATTAAATTGCTGTTGTGTTTGCAGTCTCCTGATTGCTAGGCCTTAGACTTGAAGATGTTTCTTCGTGTACAGATACCCCTCCGATCATGTTTCCAACACCCCTACGAATAAATAAAAAACGGCCATGATAATATAACAAATGGGTTCGATATCCCTGTTTTCCTGAGACGCTTTGGCAGATTTAGATTAGTAAACTATAATCCTGAAATTCAAATTCCAAAAATTCACTCTGAATGAAAATAATACCTATAGATTGTGATAATTTATATTGTATTTATTGCATATTTTTTTAATTTATTTGCTGAGTCATACTTGGCTTGGTTCTATAGGAGTCATGTTTTGTTGGAGCGTTATCATTTTATTGTGTACTTCTTTAAGGTGCTGCTAACGTTTAAGTTAATTAATGCCTGGTATTTGTTGATGGATTTGGATTGATTTGTTGATGGATAGACGAGTCAAACCCAAGCTCTTGACAATGCTGTTTGATGAACATAGACATTGGCATATAAGCATTATTTTGTAGGATATGAAACTCGATGATTGAAAACAATAAGCAAACAAATGAAACTATTACCTCAGTTTAGCCCGAAAGTTTTTGCCTATAAAGGAATAGAGGAACGGATTAAGAGCTGAATTAGCAATGGCAAGCACCGTCGTCGCAGTGCTGAGTCCTTTGCACAATTCCTGAAATATAATTAGCGGTTAACATAATACCAAACAAGATTAGTGGCCCATGTAAATCGATCCTACGGATCGGAGACGGATTTTGGATTTGACACTTTGCTGACCCCACAAATGATTGATGTGCATATTGACTTGTTGGATGGAGTGATTAAAATAAAAATAATATTTTCTAAATCTAATATGTCTTACGAATATATTCCAAAATAAAGTGAAAATGTAATTTTGCCATCAGTACGGTGAAAAAATTAAAAATAACTTATTATTCGAATAGTTGTTAGGCTATCATTTGCTAGTCTTTTAATCTGCAATATGACATGTTGTATATTGAAGTTATCTAAAGTCGAACTCGAATAAACTCTTTCAAATACTTACTTCGCTACCACTAATGCCCACAAGTTTAGCCAAATGCACTGCATGAAAAGGAAGCCAGCAAACAACGAAAAGAATGACTATTAGACCACAAATCAAGATAACTTTCACTCTCTCGCTGTCCCTACGATCCGAGTTTGATGATGCTATTCTACTTCCCTTCTTCATTTCCCATATAATGGAGAGATAACAGAACGATATAACCTTGAAGAACGTTTGAATGTTTTATATTGCAATTTAAAATATTTATGATTTTGTATATACGTATTTCACACTTATCTAGATATTATATATAACAAGAAAGTCCCCGATACAAGCGCTTATGTTACATATGTGCACATATGAACTAAATTGTTGTTGAAGATGATATGATTTATTTTAAAAAAATGTATAAAGTTTATAATCTTTTTCAACTTACCAATAAAGGCAACAAAAACATGATATAGAAATTCACGTAAGTGAATATCTTCCATCCAAACTGTTCAGGATTGTACATGCACGAAGGATGAATAATTTCTACAGTTTCGACCGGGACATCAGATCTATAAAATATAACGTTAGATATATAATTAGGTTTTCTATTTCGTTTGTAAGGAACCGACGTTGAACGTGGGCGGTTAAATAAGCTGAATCTAACTATGCAAAGGATTCCCCATCATCCATTACCATCTCGGCGACCGTGCGATACTCCAATCATCCCTTGTAATTACCCTTATCACCCTAACGTCTCGAGGAATATTTTTTTGCCCTTGGTTCTTTATTTCTTATAAGTAATAATGAAAATCAGTGTCTTTTTGAAACCTATTGTGTAACGACATGTTGCGAAATGTTGATTGTTCCATGCATTATGCTATAATATATTGGTTTAATTCCTGTTTCAAAAATTATATATATATATATATATGTATATCATAGTAATACAACGGGATAGATTCTTTAATAGCTTGTGTGGTATCCTTCAGAAACCAGTGAACATTTGTAAGAAGTTGAAAACTATGCTACACAGAATCTAGCGCGCGTTTTGAATAAGTTTATGTACTGCTCGTAATGTTTGCTTGCCCTACATGTTAACGCAGACTCGAATTGTTAATCGCGGAAGCATTTTTCCGGTCGGAGACGAGTAAAAGTGTGATTGTGAATTAGAACAAAACCAGAAAGGAAGACTTGGAAACAGGATAAGAAAATATTTATTGATTTAGCAGCATGAACTTTCAAATGGAGGTTAGCAAAAAATATAAGAACGAGATAGCGACCGCCGACTTAATGATCTAGCGGCGTGTATCCTCCGCTCTGACTGAATACCGACACCGCGTGTCCTTCCCATCACTAATTAATTAATAACTCGCTAATTATACGACATAATTCATCCAAAATCAATAGGCTCCTGGTCCGAGATATGATGAATGCACATGCAAAATTGGAGCAGATTCAAACTCGCTTTCGTGAGATATCGCGTGCAACAGACAAATACCTATCAACATACTTACCGATCAAGATCGATAAGTAATCTGGTTTCAGGGGATGACAACTTTTTAGGCACTGCCCTCCAAAACTGAAATGGTTTGTTGTCGACCACTGGTCTGTTCTATATATATGTTACTTGTTACACGTTCTTTAGTATAACATGCTATCGACAACCGAAACTTAACCAGTATTCGAAGTATTGATTTATCATTTCCTGTTTTATTAGCAGAACTCGTTACTTACTCAAGTGTAGTTTGGTTCAGTATATCGGTGAATGGATCAGATCCAAAATTGTCATCCATTTCAAAAAAACCGCTAAAGATATCCGTACCACTTCCAAATTCATACAAATTGTTTTCATCAAACACCTCTACGCAGGATTCTTGAAACACATTTGGAAATATTTCATTCATACATAAATTCATATCTTCAAATGCATGGTCCTGGCACCACACTCTTTTGTCTCGTGGAAAGTTGAACCTATAGTAAGAAACCAAAGTCACTTAACGTCAAGCATAGTTTGAATCAGTAATATTAAATTCTTACCTTATCTTGAAAATTTAAATAAATAATCAAGATAATAATATACGTTCGTGCCATCGATTGGGTTTTGCGGGACCATACACTTTTTTATGTAATTGACCTATGTATGCTTGAAGAAGTATGACCTTGGGCATACAAAACGTCGCATAGATCTATTTGTGTTAGTGTGCAGCAAGATTTCAATATTGATGAAGTGAATTGGGGTGGAGTTCATGTGTTGCAATGCAGTGTAGCCCAGATAAAACATGATGCGTATTCCCTGTGCCTTCAAAGGTAGGCTCACCATGCATATAAACAAAGGAACACAACAGTGCAGATTTGGAAACATTTGGTTCAATTCCGACGCTAAGTAGTATTCAACCATATGAATCATAGTGATATTCAAATCATTGGAAACGTACGCTTTTTATGACTTTTCGAATAACTTGACTGCAGTAGCCTACAGCTAAAGTAGTTAGATCAGTGGTTCTCAACCTTGGTTCAATCGAACCCCTGTGGTTCGGTGAAGCTGTTCCAGAGGATCGACGAAGGTCCTCTGAAACAGTTGTATATTATGGGACTTTTCCATTACCTAGCCTACTAATTATGCAAAAATAAATACAGTTCATTTTGGGGTATATTATCATCTTTTGGATTTTCAAAGTTGCTATTATTTTTTCTCATTTTTTCGCCTTTTCACCCGCTTAACTTATACTTAAAAACAGCACTTCCCATGCCGCCGACACTATTGTGACAAAACAATATATATAACCACGCGGGCTATGCTATTGGTCTCAAAGTATACACCACAATGTTCATTTTTTATACCCATGCACGATATTTGCCCCCTCTTTATTAAAGTTAGGATTAGTTTCCTAATTTAACCGTTCAGTACGATGGGATTCGACGGGAGCTTGCAGAACAGCGCTGGCGTTTGGCAGGCTCGGAAAGGGTATATTACATTGAATTGACAATACAGCAGTTTTCTCTCTTACTGAACTCGTGAAGTGAGTCGTAAATCAGGGATAGGTGGTCATTATGGACTGCCTCCATTAATACCTAAAATAATTTTGTATTGATATTAAATGTTTTAATTATTTATAACTGACATACTGCATGACCGGGACAACTTGTCAAACCCGGGACTGTTCCGGGTAAACCGGGACGTATGGTAAGCCTATTCAAAAGTATTATGAGCTGAGGATGTTATTAGATAAATTGTATAAATATATATATGCCGTTCAGTATGTTGTGCGTAGTTGCATATTTTTATTCACATTTATGCACGACATGGCTATATGCGACACTATTGGAAACTTACGTGCATAGACAGTTTGGCTGGATTCCGACTGTATCGCTGTACAACATGGAAGGAATACAAAGTAGCAAGGCAGCAATCCACGACACACATGTTACTATGTAAGTAATAGAACGCGATCTTAGTTTGTCTGCTCGGGTTGAGAAAACATGGCAGATAGCAAGGTATCGGTCCACTGCCATGACCTGGAAAATGAATGAAAATATTACTTGCTTGAAATAGTACAAAATATATCATAAACTTAATAAACTATATTAACGTGGCGAAATGAGATATGTTAGCCTCAATTCTCATTTTTTTTATTAGATTCCCAGATTGATTGATTTGTGGACATATCTGATAAAGAGAAAGAAATTGGGATATTTTTGTAATAGTCTTTAAAGTACCTAAAACAAGAAATTACTAAACACTATGGACATGTATAATAACAGTGATAAATCCATATAAAATTCGCGGGGAAATCATGGGCGCTGGACGTATTGGGTTTAGATGAAGATTGTTTATGCTTAGCTCATAAAACATTATAGTATAATCATGAAATCCTCTTGGGCGTTTAACAACATTTTAATGTAAAGAATGCAGAATATTAAAATTGTTTGACACGACTCATCAAATTTCAATTATATATATATATATACGGTATATCCAAATCGTTGCTCCATTAAGTAGGAAAAACAAATAATTAGCTAATAGTACACTTTTGATATAGAGAAAGGCCTTTTGAATCGCACTGTTATCTCATGCTAGTCAAACTACCGGTTAAGTGAATACATTTTGAAGACTTACCGTCAGAAATATAATCGAAGCGTAGTAGTTCAAGAATAACATAGCCTGCACAAGCTTACAGACCCATACTGGAAAGATCCAATTATCTTTCACCATTCCTGATAAGTTGATCGGTATCGTTTGAAGAAAAAGTAGATCAGCAATGGCAAGATGTAAAACGTACCTAAAAAGTGAATTTATATATAATCTGTCAGCAAATTGAAAACCGAATGCAATGTACCAGGCCTACATTTTTTGTCGGTTAATTGCAATGAAATGATACGTAGATAAATGGATAAATCGTTAGCAAAATTTACGCGAATGTACTAGACCCAAAACAAGCAATTCAGGGAAAGGTGACATCATACTTGAAAACCAGAACAAATCTATAAATTACGTCAGAAGTTCGTCACTGATACTTCCGCTCAACTCGCCTTTGCGTAAACAATACTTCAGAGAAGCCTAACATTGTGTGGCATCTGAGATTAATCTAAAAAAGCCACAATAGCGATTTTATTTTGTCCGCATATGCGAAAGAACACAATACTGATAATTAAAAAAAAATAAACGTACGTATAATCAAATAATATGGCGCCACAATATTAAACTTGTGATACAATAATGTAGTTTTACGCAATAACTCTCTAGGACGAAGGGCGGCAAACAGTTAATACTGCGCGAACAGAAATAAAATAAATTCTCAAATTCTCAAACATCGATTGAACTTGCTTGGTTTTACCCAGTGGCAAAATAAAACGATTGTTGTTAATACTCATACTTATACTTACCAACTTGCATTTTTCTTGTAATCCTTAAAAACTAGTATAACTACTAGTACGAGAAGATTTCCGATTGTTCCAATAGTATAGAAAATAATTCGCAACACAAGTTCTGCAATTTGATCTGGTGGTAACGCATTGGCCTCGCTGTCTGATGCTACAAGTGTATTATTCATGCTTGTTTCTTATCCTTCACTAAGTTCGATAAAAATGCTATGAGGATTTTAATCTGTAAAAACTCTGCTATTTGCAAACTAATCATCAATCAATGCGATTTTTCAATCTTATGATAGATACTGATTGATTTCATCAAACTTCGCTTCCTGGTATTCCATATATATATATATATATACGTGTCTATAAGTTTTACCAATTTAATTTATATGTTTTCTGATATAACTCCCGGCTAAATTCGTTACATTTCGTCCAAATTATGACCCACTCACTGTGCAATATTTGCATTGAGCTTTCTATGCTATGCATATATATGATAATAATGAAAAAATTCCCAAAATAATTACTGTAGTGGTTATGTCGTAACCAAATCGAAACTGTAATTGCTATCAAAAATTTTAATATTAAATACATAAACTTATTTTGAATTTTCAATATATATAATTCTTATTTTTTTTATCATTTTAAATTAAAATTATTTATGATATATATGAATAAATTTTCCCTATTACAACACCTGATACAATGTAAAGATCAAAAGAAATTTCAATATTGGTATCTGAGGTAATTATACCATAATGCCAAAAAGAGAGAATAGAGCAGTTTTTCAAAAATGACAATTCTATTTTAAAATGCAAATATGCGTGTATTTGTGAAAGCAACGCTATCTCCAACTGAACGCGATTTATCACGTTTTCTGATATACATTATAAATATTTAAGCAAGTAATTTTTCAAGTGTTCGTACTTCATGGTTGAAACACGGCCAATTGCTTCTAAAACTGCTCGTCCATTAGTGGCCTGCGGTTGTCCAGATTAAAAGTTATTTTTACATAATTCAATATAATCAATAAATATATAGTGCAACAAATCGTACATTATGTGGAGTACGTACGCATTGGATTTGTAAGCATCACATATATATATCAACGGTGGGCAAACGACGGCTCGCCGGAGTTTAAGCGGCTCTTCTCGCTAGCAATAATTATATATTATCCAAATTTAACTACGAGAAAGTGTAGCGTAACATTTTTTCAATTCATTAGGCCAGGGGTCGGCAACCTATACGGCTCGTCGGAGTAATAAAATCCGGCCCGCGACGCTTCACTAAAGTATAGTAATAAAACAGCTGTTTTGACGATTACATTCAATACGTAACAGAATTTATTGTGAGACACGTGTAGACTAAATTATATAATAAACTAACAAGTATATAATTGAAAATAACTCCTTTAATGAGTCTATAATTTAATTATAATTAGACAAATGGCAACAAAACGAAGAAAAGTTGATAATAATTGCAAAGGGTTCAATGGCGCCGGAAATATTCAAATGGAATTTTTTGAGATGCAATGCAATGAGGAAATAAATCTATATTTTATTTGAGAGATGTATCCCTGCTTGAATTTTATTATAAAAAGTATCATCCGTCGGTTTTTAAACTTTCTAAAAATATGTGCGGCCCGCCAAGGACTTGCAACCCTTAATTCTGGCCCGCGATCGACAAAAGGTTGCCGACCTCTGCATTAGGCGGTTGAAGAAGTTATTAATGATTAGGACAACTTATGTTTTAGTATGGTAATCGTAGCGTGGAATTTAGTTTAAATCAGTCAAACGACAATTGTTACATCCCAATGTTGTTGCTGCGTTGGCGGTTTCAACTACTTCTGAAATGGCAAATCATTTTATATTAAATTTCTTTATGATGTGTATATATATTTACCCCATTAAGCACCTGATACAATGCGAAGATCAAAAAGAATTCCATATTGGTATCTGAGGTAATTATACCATAATGCAAAAAAGAGAGAATAGGTCAGTTTTCCAAAAATGACAGTTAAATTTCAACATTCAAATATGCATGTATTTGTGAAAACAAGGCTATCCCAAACTGGACGCAATTTATCACTTTTACTGATATACATTATAAATATTTGAGGACGTGATTTCTCAAGTGTTCATAGATGAAACACGGCCAATTGCTTCTAAAACTGCTAGTCCATTAGTGGCTTCCGGTTGTCTAGATTAAAAGTTATTTTTACATAGTTAAATATAATTATTAAATATATAGTGAAACAAATCGTACATTATATGAAGCACGTACGTAATAAATTTATAAGCATCACATATAGGAACGTGAAGTTCCTATAAATTGGTGAAGGCTCATCGCTATGCTGCACGGGGAAGTGAGGTTTTTGAAATTCAATTTTTTTTTCATTTCTAGAAGTGCTGAATTAGGTTGTTCTATATTTTTAGAGACAACGTTTTATGCCATGCAAACAATGCAGTCAAATGGATAAAATACGACAATTCTGGGAGATCCAGATGTGAGAATAGAAATGAAAAATTACTTGAAACCTGTACGACTGCAAACCATCAATAGACTAGCAGTTTTAGAAGCATTTGGCCGTGTTTTAACTATGAACACTTGAAAAATTACTTGCTCAAAAATTTATAATGTATATCGGAAAACGTGATAAATCGCGTCCAGTCGTGTTTTCACAAACACATGAATATTTAAATTTTAAAATATAACTGTCTATTTTGTGAAACTGCTCTATTCTCTCTATTTGTCTTTATGGTATAATTGCTGATGATGCTTGTTTTGGGTCTAATACAATCGCGTAAAATTTGCTAACGGTTTAACTGTTTCTTACGTAAATTACATACAACAAATGGACAAAAAATCTGGTATTGGCACAATTGCGTTAGGTTTTTGCTGACAGATCATATATAAATTCATCTTTTAGGTACGTTTTACATCTTGCCATTGCTGATCTACTTTTACTTCAAACGATACTGATCAACTTATCGGGATTGGTTAGAGATAATTGGATATATATATCCAGTATGGGTCTGTAAGCTTGTGCAGGCTATGTTATTCTTGAATTTCTACGCCCCGGTTATATTTCTGACGGTAAGGTCTTTAAATGTATTCACCTAACCGGTAGCATGACTAGCGTTAGATAACGATGGGCTTCAGCAGGTCCTATTTTCCTATATACAGTTGAATGGAAGATATTCATTTACGTGAATTTCTATATCATGTTTTTGTTGCCCTTATTGGTAAGTTAAAAAGGGTTATAAACTTTTTGCGTTTTCAAATGGGAATTATATGTCTTCAACAAATTTTGTCAGAAATACTGTATGTAACAGAAACACTTGTATTTAAAACTTTCTTGTTATAATGTACAGATGAATATGAAATATGTACAAGATCATACATATATCCAGTGGTGGGATTCAGCCGCTTCGCACCGGTTCTATAGAAAATCTCACGAAATTTTTTGAGATCAGCGAACCGGTTAGCATTACTGGTTACTGTCGATGACTTTTTGTAACAGAACCGGTGAAAAAATATGACTTTTGTGATGGAACCGGCTGACAAAAAAAATTTAATCCCACCACTCAATATATCTATTTTATATTGCAATCCAAATCATTCAAACGTTCTTCCAGGTTATATCGTTCTGTTATCTCTCGAATATTTGGAAAATGAGGAAGAGAAGCAGAATAGCATCATCAAACTCGGATCGTAGAGACAGCCAGAGAGCGAAAGTTATATTGATTTGTGGTCTAACAGTCATTCTTTTCGTTGTTTGCTGGCTTCCCTTCCATGCAGTGCATTTGGCTAACATTGTGAGCTATAGTGGTAGTGAAGTAAGTGATTGAGGAGTTTATTCGAGTTCAACTTTATGGAAATACCTTTATTGTTTAATATACAACATGTCATATTCCACAGACGTTTACAGGTTTTCTACTTAAATTTATTTTAACTCTATCCATGAAGTAAGTATGCTCGCCAACTTATGGAATTAGTGATTTAGCCGTGCAACAATTCATCAAAAACAAAAAGGGCAAAAACCCTTTGCGTGGATAACGAAGGTTAAAATTAAATGTGTGTATACCCGATACTGTTAAATAGAATCGATTTTCATAGTTCACGGATATTGTTTGGTACAATTTCAACCCATCATAATATTCCAGGAATTGTGCAAAGGACTCAGCACTGCTACCAAGATGCTTCCTATTGTTAATGCAGCTCTTAAACAATTCCTCTATTCATTTATAGGCAAACACTTTCGAGGAAAACTGAGGTAATAGTTTTATTCATTTAATCGTTTGTTGATTATTTGTTCCAATCCTCGAGTTTTATATCATGCAAAATAATGGTTATGTGCCAATGTTTATGTTCACCAAACAGCATCGTCAAAAGCTTGGATTTGACTCATCTATAGGTATTGTTTTTATTTAGAGTGAATATTTGGAATAAGAATTTCTTAATCAAAACCTGCCAAAACGTCCTATATATCAAGCTTTTTACCTAATGAATGATACAACACTATAGTCAAATATGCTTCGCGAAAACAATTCCAGATAATAAAGCAGTTCTTATGAAATCACAATGATAGGCAATCGCACAAATATGGGAAGACTGGTTCCGTGATTTGACGCTTGCAACTGGAGATTCCGCGCCCAAAGAAAGTAATTTAATATGTGTATAAAGACTATTAGTTGCATTCATTTATCTCTTACTTGCTAGAATTCAATTCGATTGTACGAACTTTACAATATACGGACAGTTAACAACAAAATTCAGTGTTATCGCATCAAAACACAGTTGAAACTTTGCATGATTGCTGTTTGTGCAATTGAATAAACTGAAAGGAGGGTAGAGAAAAACAAGATCCTATTATCCAATATATATTATCCTTTTTTCACGTAAAAGAAATTTCAATTTATTAACGTAGTATGCCACACGAGCAAAAAGAAAAACTGTAGCTGCTACGTTTGCTATACCGATACGCAATAAATTCCGAAGCGTAAAACCCATTCATAGATACATATCTGTAGCAATAATATATATAGCCTACCAGCATTCTCATGGACAATCTGTCAATTTGTGTTATTATTATCTCAATATAACTCAATAAAACTTACTTGAGCAATTTTGAGTTTTTTCGTGGTGCAAAAAGTACGAATTTTGGTATATATATATGCCTTTTACAAATTCAGATTCATAAAAAAAAATATTGAGATCTTGGCATTCGAATTGTGATTGATTGTACCCATGAGTTGCCGAAATAGTGGGATGAAACAGGTGCAAAGAAGTTTGTAAATGTATTGGTAAGAGATTGTTGGTGCGAAATCAATGGTCCGAAAAGAAGAATGAACATCATTTAACAAAAGATTAGTAACGTGGATTGCGACAACAAACATAACCCCACTAAATCAGCTGAAAGGAACTGGGTCTAAATTATTACTAAATATAAATAAATTGTTTGGTCACAATTGTTTTTAAACAAATTTAAACTGCATGATTGTTCTTTTCTTGTCATTGTTATAAACTGCTTGTCGAAACGTTACAGAAGTATTTGTGTTAGTGTGCAGCAGGACTCTTGGATTGCATATTATGGTATTTTTATTCCTGTTACAGCATCCTTGCATTATACGAATACGGATCCACTAGCACAGGGGTCACCAAACTACGGCCCGCGGGCCGGATCCGGCCCGCGGCGTCATTTTATCCGGCCCGCAATAACACGCAAAAATGGCTAAATTTTTTTCCAAGGAAGATTTCCCCGATCATCGTCTTCCTTGTTTATTTCGTAGCATTGACCAATCAGCAAGATGCAAAAAAAACGTGACGTAATAAAAAGCCTCTTCGCATCTAAGCTCAGATAACTTTTGTCATCCTGACAGATTTCCAGTCGTGGTTGTAAACAATACTTCGTTTTTGCGACTTTGAATGCTATTCGTTAGTTTTTGATTGTGTTTCGGAAATTTAAGTATGAATCAAATAAGTCAACTATCATTTGAATCCTTAGGAGTTGTAGTTTTAATAGTAGTAATAAAACATTAGTCTAGAAATAGCTGTGAAAAAATAGGCTCAAATTCTCTACCGGTACGCAACGTTTTCTGCGAAAGATGCACTTGTACACTCGTGGCGCGTGCTTCAGAAATGTAGAATATATATTGTGAAATAAATTAGATGAATTTCCCAACTTTTGTGAATTTATTTTATTGCATTGACAAAAATATTCATCCGGCCCGTTTCAACCCAGTTTGAGTCATACCCGGCCCGCGGTCAAAAAAGTTTGGTGACCCCTGCACTAGCACAAAGGCATTGAGAAAGGATTGGGAGTTAGTTGGTCTCGCGCAACCTCTATACTGATAGAAACATTCTGCATATGCGAATTTGCCACATTCCGACATCGTAGAAACACATGAAAAACCAGTGGTACTCAACTTTTTATGGCTCGCGCTCCCTTCGGAGGTTTTTAGCAGCCGTGCTCTCCCCCTGTATATCAGAGTTGGATCAATTGTAGTAATTGTAATAGATGTAATTAATTACAGTTTTTCATGTAATTGAGGTATTTTCAGTCTGTGTAATTGTAAATGTAATTGTAATTTGCTAAAATTTTGGCTCAATTACACTTTCAATTAGACCAGGGATCACCAAACTACGGCGTCATTTAATCTGGCCCGCAATAACACGAAAGAGAATACGTTGCATACAGAATGTGCGCACATATTTTGAACCTAGCACAACATGAATAAAATGACATAATACACAGCCTTATCTCATTCTGCGATGTGTCATAGCCCACTCAAGTTCAAACGTTCTTATTTTTAACCCCATAATTACTTTATTTTACCAGAAAAGATAAAATAGCCTCAAACCAACTTGAAATATGAGCAGATTGTGGTATTTTAGCCTCGAAACCGAAAATACAAGCCGTGTGCAAATTGGAAACATAGTAGTAAATTGTAAAATATCTAGAGATTTTCAATGTATCCTGGTCACGCTATCATATTATTAGAAATGACTGTTGAAGGTATAATTAATAGTGTAGCAAATTCGTAACTGGTTGTTGAAGATTTTCGTTCCCATCGGCAGTAACATTATATCACAGCAATATGGCTTAATTGTTAACGTTGACGTAAAAATAGTACGTGCGACGTATTGGAAACAGTTTTAAAATCATCCATCTTACGTAAATTGATTTTTCAGTGCTTTCTATTCGTGTGGGTTATTTCGACAAAATATCGACAGCGCTTATTTGATCATAATTTTACTTTTTTACTCTTGAGAATGCAAATGCACACGTGACATAGAAACACACACATAGTATAAGTATATTTTGATTTTCCCGCAAAAAAAAAATCATACACAAAACACAAACAATGAACACAGAGAAGATTGGGAAAATCGGGGAAACTGGCAAAACCTTTATAAAGGTTTAATACGTGTAAATATACATGCGCCAGTTTACCCACATTCAACACACAAACATATATGTATTCAAAATAAAAAAGACAAAGACACGAACGGGTATCGTTCGGGCGTCCAACGCTCTCAATTAATAAATACACTTTAATGAATACTCTTTATTATGATGTAATGCATGGCTATGGTATGTGTATCACAGCAGTGTTTTTCCTACAAAAATATGGAATATTTTGACGTGACGTCAATGGGGATGCTGTAGTTCAATTCCTTTGCAAAATAACACAGTGACAAAAAATTATTACTAAAAAATACCAAGCTCTGTAAATAGGTCGAATGTTTCTTAACAGTCTATGCACAAACATGGATTGGGGTATCGGTTTCTTTTGTCGTATTCGATTAGTTCATTTTAAAATCATTGTATCCGTTTCAATGCTTCCAAAATTAATATCGAATTTCCACGAACGACCACCATTCCAACAGGTGCAGTGGTCCCGTCTTTTCTGCGCTCTGTTCCATCAACCACAACTAGATTCATAAAAGGATCGAAACCTCGCAAAACTCTCAACAGATCGTACACCATTTAACTTTAAATCCAATCTTTTATCCATAAACTTCTTTAATTCCGGTGGATGGGCTTTAATTATGTTGATATTACGCGATACAAATCCAACAGTAAATACCAAAACACACAGCGCGTAGCATTCTCAGTCAAACAGCATTGAATGATCTTTCAGTGCTCGTGTTCGAGTTTGGATTTGCTCTGCTGTAAGCCTGAGTTGTCAGTAATCAGTAATCAGTGTCAGTGTATTCATTGAGAAACGGACTTGGATAGCGAAGGATTTCACCCCTTTCAGAAAGTTTACGCCCCCCTTAGGAGGCGCGTCCCATCGTTCAAGAACCACTGATCTATAGAATCTCCTCACATAATCATATTAAAAATAAGAGTCAGCTGTTGAATGATAAACACAGTACTTTTTGTCGTAAATACACCAAAACTGACTTTTCCATGTCCCTTTTTTGTTGATTATTTATAAAATAGAGTATTATTGAAATAACTAATGTTCATCTACAATACGGACATAAAAGTAGTTTTTCATAATGTGCATATGTGATAAATATGCTACAAGAAAAATAAAAGGGAATGGAGAAATTATACATATTTTTTTTTATAAATGTATACCATTTAAGGACAATAAAGGAACAAATAGTGAAAAAACAATAACACAGCTTTCAGTCTACAGCCAAATAATGCTAACACCCACGATTATATAAATAAATGCCATTTTCTTATCAGGATTTTACCAATTTTAATTGATATTTCTCGTTGTCACGAATGTCACAATTAAATTCATCTCTCAATATGCAAATTTCCCCCAAATCTTGACACGCCCACATGTGTCTAGTACGAGCTGTTCTGATTTGTGGAACGACTTATCGATGACCGAGAGTAAACTGCTGTGGTGAACTCCCGCGATCAAGCATTGTCTGTCGTTGTCGCTGTGTTGGTCCGGTAGTCGCGTTTCAGTGTTTCCAGATTTCTCGATCGAAAGTCGGTGGGTCTTTTCGATTTTATTTACAAACATTGGAGTAACAAAGCCTCAAAATTCCTGCGATGAAGAGAAGAAACGTTGAGGCTGGAAAGCCTCGACGGACGTTCAAGCGAGCTAACAAGTTCACTGAAGGCGTTTATGGAAGGTTTGTTGACATAAAATTAAAAACACAATACCGGTACCGTATAAAAAGTACCGGTACCTGGTATGTCGTAATACTTCGAATTTAAAACGTTTTGATATTTCTCTATTCCCTACAGGGTTAATGTAGTCAGGTACCGTAGTTGTTGTTGCTTTTTCAATTTAATACCTGGTACAGTCCAGCAGTCAGACAGTAATAAATTAGAATATCAATATCAGAATGTATACAAAATTTGCATAGGCCTACAAACAATTATTGGTATATTCTGATAGTTTATTACTGTATGTTTACTACCGTAAATAATTGGCATTCTGGCATTTATTGTACTGCATTATGAAAATACGTAATACTGCAAAAACATCCGTTAACCCAATTCATATCAATGCGATATATTTACATCCATAATTGTGCGTACCATTACTTCAAAGTGTCTTCAAATATTATGATTGTCAAAGTCAGTGGTTCCAATATGCAGATATTTTTTATTTTATTCCCCACAATTCGAAACCCAATAGGCCTACTAATTCTTCTTCTATTGAAATTTGGTGAGACATTGTTCGATGAGGACTTTTTATTTGTGCTTGGGGCAGCATGGGACTCTTTTTCGGTTTCATGTCATATATTATGATTGTAAGTGTGTAATATTCATTCATTCATGCCTGCTGTGCATTTACAAGGACGTTGGTTCATTCACACCCAGCAAATTTTAAATTTAATACCCCAATCCTTATTGAAATAATGAAGAAAGGGTTTCATAAATTTGATTATGAATCCCACAATTCTTATTCTGATTGGGAAATTGAAAACTAAAACTTTTAATCGTACAAATCAATTTGAGACTCAAATTACTATTAAAAATTGGATGTTGAAAAAAGTGTAATTTAAAAAGGCTATATTTTATTATATGTGTGATGTATGAAGTATTAAATAGTTAAATGCTTAGGAGCCATAGCCACTAAATTTACTGGTAACTCTGGTTCCAGCTCATTATATTAATAAAATGGTATGTTTGGACTCCAGCTCCAACAAAACATCAGGCTTTCATGTCTGACTCTTTTTTCAGCTCCCCACTCCTGGTTTATTCTTGTATGCTTTCCAAGTACTTTAAGAATATTTCTTCACTGAGTTGATTCCAAGTCAAGTTGTCTCAAATCAAATTGTCTGAAATCTCTGCCATACCAATCTTTGCAAGTTTTCGTTTTTTGGAGTATATTTATCAATACTCTTTCTACTTCTAGTTTGGAGCTCATTCCTTGAGCAAAAAAAACAAATATCATGAATAATGTTAAAATGGGTCTTTGTCCTGACTCTCAAAAGCTTGATAGCAGTTAAATCGCTAGACTTAACTATCTTCGCATCGCAAGATACACAGTCTGGATTAAGATTTATGCCTCTACAGCCAGTGTGTAATATATTCGGTAGACAATGCCGAGCTGGAGAGAATCTCATTCTTCCAAAAATGTAGCAGCTTTTTGGCTGCAAAATGCATGAAAAAGCATCGAATGAAACAGGAAAAAAAACACTTATCAAATACAAATGAAAGTTTTTTTTAATCATAGGTGAAAGCTTTTATGTAATTACGAGCAGTTACTTCTAATTTTCACTTGTCAAGGGATTATTATTATTTAATTGCAGCTCCTTCATATACTTGAAATTGATATTGATCTGGTCTCTGGTTCTACTTGCCGATTTTATTCTCGAATTCCGTTTTGAATATTTATGGCCTTTCTGGTTGTTGATCCGAAGTGTATGTGATTCATTCAAATATCAAGGATTGGTAAGTAGCCTTTATGGAATAAGATACTGATAACTACCTCCAAAGTAGAAATGTTCGATTTAAAACACAGTTAGTTAAACACAGTAAATTCAATCTTTTATAAATTTGCACTGAAAGATTTGTACTTCACTGAATTTTGAGTGTTATTTGAAGCATTATTCCACTAGAATAAAGTTAAATTTCACTGACAAATGAAACATTTGGACAGTTGTAATGATATTATTTTGTATTTGGACTAAATTGGTACAAATGATTAAAACTGATTTGATTTTGCTACAAAAGTGGTCTCTATGTCATTTTCATTATAGTATTTTCTGCGAATATTATAATTCTACAAATGCAATGAAATGTTTAAAAAGCCAAGCATAATTTATACAAATTCATCACTATGCTGTTTAACAGACCAATGTCAGGATATTTAAAATTAAATTATATAAAAGATGCAACAATTCAATATTCAGATATAGTATAGCAGTACGGTATATATAGTAGTATATATTAAGTATTTCTAGAAAATTATGCTGTTGTTTCAGGTAGCTTTCCATTGATAATTTCCTATAGAGTTACCATAGAAAGAATAAGTCTTGAGTCAGCCTCTCTCCACATTTGCCTATGTTGCATAAAATTGTCAAGAAATCTAATTTTTTCAATTTGAATGAAAAATATAACGATTCATAAAAGCTAATTTAAATTTGATGAATATGATTAGTAATTATTAATTCTTCATTTCAGGCTTTATCAGTACTATTCGTTTGCGTTGCTGTGGCATCTGATACTATCTGCTTTTTATTCATACCAGTTCAGTGGTTATTTTTTATGGCAAGCACTTATGTCTGGGTGCAGTATATTTGGCATACAGGTATATATTTTTATTACATTCATTGTTGTTCAGTATTGTTTCTTTGGCCATGGCCAAACAAGCTTCAAGAATGATTTTTTTGTTTGGATTATCATTCATGATGAACTGTTATTTTGAAATGAATTTTTAATGTAAATCTCTGTATTATATGATTTCCAAGCTGATTGTGTTACCAAGTATGGCCGTATATGGATTTTGAGGGTGTGGCTGAGACTAGATACAGATGTTACTGTTGAATTGTGATTATCATAATTATAAATGGATTATGTGTTTAGGATGTTTACATTTATATTACCTTGTTACCATATGTGATAGTAATTGTTAGTTTAATTTAGAGTTACTGAAGTGGGAAGAATTGATTGCTTCCAATTTCTTGCTTCATATACTGAGGTACCAAGGTTGGCGGCTTCGGGGGCCACAATAGTGCCAGGAATAGCTAAACAGTGCAAAACAAAGCAAACAGTTTTATTATGCGCAAACACATGGATTAGTAATTGTCATTTATCAAGCTAAAACATGCAAAAAACACCAAAAAAACTAAACTTGCAAAAGCTTTCTATATCTACATTTAATAATGTAAGATTTTATACTCCTAACAGAGGAAGTGCTTCTGCAAATGTAAGTGCTTTCGAACATCGATAAGATTTTCAAAGCAAAATCCCTTATTAACTTTGGAAAAATGCTCATTGCTCACAAGATTCTAAAATGCCGTTTTAAATTTTCTCTTGTCACCGACACAACTTGCCGTCATATCAATCAAGCATTGTGGTATTTTTTCTCCTACATCCAGTTAAAAATTTGTTTGAATTCGTTAGCTTTCTTTTCTAACTCTTGTTCACAAAATAACTTAAAAATAACTGCAGATTGATTGATTACCAAATGTGAGATACAGGAGGGTAATTACTAATCTTTCTGACATATAGGCAGAATTTTTTGTAATATTGTTTAGGCTTGTTGCTGAAATTATATTGTTTTTTAGGCCATTACATTAATATTTAGTATAGATCAGGGTGATCCGAACCCAGGCCTGCGGGCCACATGTGGCCCGCCGCTTCATTATCTGTGGCCCGCGTCACATTCGGAAAGGAATCAAAAAATCGCATTTCGTGTTGTTTCGTCATAAAATTAACCAAAAAATCTTTTGACATATTGTTGCATCCCTAATGTCACTGAATTGACTAGTGTTATGGCTTGCTGAGGCAACTAGCGAAGTTAAACGAGCGAAGTTCTTGGCACTATTGTGGCCCGTGAACCATGCAAAAGTAATTTTGTGGCCCGCGGAGCTGCCAATCTTGGACCACCCTGGTTTAGATTCTGCATTCGATTTTCAGTTTTGTATGATGCCTATATTGTTAGCATATATTCCTGACAAAAAGATAGAAACCAAGATAACAATTCAAACTAGTTAAGCACATTATTCAACTTCGCTAGTCTCCTCAGCTAGCCCTAACACTAAGAAATTCAGTGACATTAGTTCCTTCCAGAAAATGCGTTTGGACCACCCTGGGGTAGGGTGTTCATAAAGTCTTTAAAAATTTCAAATTGCAGGGGATTTATCGATATCATAAATAGTTTGTTGGCTCATTCAAGTGTCTTAATCAAGTAAAAAACTTAAAATAAACACTGAATAAAATAAAACAAATCTGATTAAGACATACTTAAAACTGACTTTATAACGAAATTGAATTTGTAAGAGTACTTCATGAACATGTCGTATTTTTCTCATTATAATAGGTTTGATACAGTTGTAATTAGTTTTATGTTGCTTATATTGTTGCAAAGTCACGCTATGGTAATAAAAAAGGCAATGGCCTAAACAGTGATGATATAAGCATATTCAAACATCCAAATTAATGGTTCTCAACCCTTTTGGTGAATCAGATATCAAATGAGATGATCTGAGGCTTAAGGAAACCCTGTGTAATAGTTCAATTCTCCTATGCAAAAATCATCATCTAATCAATATAACAAAAAAACTCATATGCACTGCATATGCATAATATATATATAATAGCAAACATGCTCCAGTTGAATTTGTCAATTTTGTTTTTTCAAATTTCAGTTCCAATCTTTTTATTTAATTTAGTCACCATTTAATGATCATTTTCTGTTTTATATATTATATAATTTATCCTTCACAGATCGTGGAATATGTCTGCCAACTGTATCACTCTGGTTATTATTTATGTATATCGAGGCATCGATTCGTTTGAAGGATTTACGAAACAACCCTTTCCAAGTTGATCTTTGTCGACCATTTGCTGCTCATTGGTAAGAAATGCTATAATATTACAGTAAGTCTTATGCTATAAATAGCCTATATACTTTTTTTGAACTCTGTCGTAGTGCAATTGGACACGAATTGCACATATAGGTATCAGCGGTGGGCAAGGTTTTTGACTAGGGGCCAAAAATTTTGCCACCTGGATTGGCGGGATTGTAAGTGTGACATAAAAAGTTACATTTTATGAACAATACTTACAGTGTTACAAATGTAAATGCGGAAAACGATGGGCTTTGTGTCAAAACTAAATTTAATCGTAATTCCAACAAAAAAGTGAGTAATTTTTCAGGTAACATAAAAATTTTAGTTGGGTTGTGGGCTTGTGGCAGCATCAGGCGGGCCAGATTGAACCACCCCACGGTCTGGATTTGGCCCGCGGGCCACAGTTTGCCAATGTCAGGTATATAGTCTTAATTGTTGTTGTTAAAAAGGCGCAACTGATGTTCTGATCAATATCAAATTTTTCTGTACTTCATAATTGTTAAAGTCGCTGGAAGGCTTTTTTTAAATGTTCAGAGTCATGTGGAACCCGATATTTCATGCTAAAGCTTCCTGTTTCATTTTACTCGTGGACTGGAAACACTTTATATATGAAATGGGAACACTTCAATAACCTGTTGTTAGTGTCTATATATTTGAGCGTTTCTCTCTTTTTATTTATGTTCTGGTTCCTGTTGAACTACTAGATTATTGGCTATTTTTCATCCATGTGTTAAAGAAATTAACTCGTTTTAATAAATTTTCTTATACACGTTTTTTCTAAAAACCTACACATTTTGGAATTTTGGAATTATTTTTACATTATGAGTCAACTGATGTTTATTTACTGAGTCTCTGCCACAACAAAAAATCTATATTGAGTGTTTAAAAGTTTTGCATCACCTTTTTGCAAATTCAATACTTCAATTTAATAATTTTAAATATAGATTATAGAAATATATTTAAGAACCCAATAGAAGGCATTTAAACCTCTTCATATACTGGTTTTAATTCGTGCTACAACATCCTTGCAGTAAGTGCCCACATTTTCTCAAGCATAGAGAAAAAAGCGCATGGGTTAATTGCGTACTGCTCCCACCAACCAATATATTTATAACCTGTTTTTCTCACAATAAGCACATCAAAAACGCCTGCTTGTACGTCTAATACAGGTGTGTGCAACAGGCGGCCCGTCGGCCACAACCCGGCCCGCCAATGCTAAGATTCTTCCTCATCAAGCATAATATCATATTCTGACAGTTTATGTTTGAAAAGGCACTCACATGGATAAAAATACATAATTATTTTTAGTTCTTGTCGCAGCGGTAAATCTTCCGACGTTTTTTGGTGTAATTATTAATGTATGGCTAAGCGATAGCCGCATTCTCTTCTATTGCTTTTACCACAAATTTTTTTGTGCGGCCTATCTGGTTGTCTGAAGTTGTCCCACCGTCAAAAAATGTCGCACATCTCTGGTCTAGTAAGTAGTAAATTTCTACTAAATGAGATTTTGCTAGCATTCTAATTAAATGAACATAAAAAAAAGTTTTATTATTTTCAAATGTTGCACAGTTTCGCATAGCTTGTGACTTTGTTTTGAGTGAATTTAATCATATTTAATCATTAACAATTTCATTAACAGTATTGGATATCCTGTTGTAACTCTTGGATTCGGATTCAAAAGTTATATTCAATATCGACTGAGAATACGAACTCAAAAAAATGTTCAAAAAGATAATGAATTTTATTTTGAATTGTTGAAGAACGCACTTCCAGTGGAACAACGTCAACGGTCGATAAAACAAGGTTTGTTTTTTTCATTTTTTTAACTTTGATGAAACATACTAAACAGTACAAAATAAAATTTGCGATGTGTGAAGTAAGACCTCAATTTAGCAATTTGCAATATTTCTCGATAAAACAAGGTTTTTTTATTCATTTTAAATTTTTGATGTGCAATGGAAAAAATAGTGAACCACAGCTCTTATAATACATGTTGATTCAAAATCACTTAAACATTCGATCAATTTGATTTACTTTTTTTTTATTTACTACACACTTATCCCAGTAAATGGTTGCAGAAAACAGTAATTCCAAACAGTAATATTGTCTGCTGTTTGGCATGACTCGCATAGACATAGATAGTACACTTCATTCAGCCATTCCGGATGCATGCTATAAGTTCATTGTATAATTTGCCAGGGCAAAAATTTACTCATTGATGAATTGAGTGTATTTTTCAATAGGAAGTTGAGTAATTTTAACTTGTTATTATTTGAATATACATGAATTGAGGTGACTTAGGCCAAGTATGGCTGTCTATTGTGAATTTTTTGGTTTTAAGATGACGCAAAATATTATACAGTTAAAGAATTTCAATGCCGATTGCCGATACTTTTTCTTCAGCATCTTCAAGCTTATCAACTAATAATTTGAAGCTATTTGAAAATCGATTATTAAAATACCTAAAGCTAAAATTGCTTTGATACAAAAAATTGATGGAACCAATTTTTATTTTTTATTCAGGCAAAGATTCCTAACCATTATTCTCTCATTTACCTTTTCAGTTTTCAACAATCTCGAAATTAAACTTTTTTTTCCAAATTTTATATTTTTATGTCTGCAATTACCTACGGGCGAAAGGGTCTTTGAAAGAAGAATTTGTAATGTTGAAATATTGATGTAGACACCTTAAATTAATTTCATTTTCACATATTAAAGCGCATATCATTTCAATGCTAATTTTTACCCTCAATTAAAATTTATCCCAGTTAAGCAGCCTATTTCTGAATTAGATTTGTGAAGGGAATTTTCTTTGACTGAAATAATTTTGTTCATTATATATAGATCCTGAATCTTCTCCTATTTCGAATGGAGTTGCATCTCTTCCGTCAAATGGTTCAACAAATTCTTTAAAGAAAGAAAAGCGTCCTAATTCTCTTGTTGATTCAAATGCATCAGGAAATCGTAATATTCAATGTAAGTGTTGTCGTGTTCATTTATTCTATTCCTCCACTTTTGATTATTTAAATCAATGTGAATGAGAATTTTGGGTATTTAAATATTCCAACATGTATTTTTGATCAATTTTTTAAAAACTTTCTATCGTGTGTAGGTAGAAATTGAAAATTTGTTTGACATTGTCCACATCCAAGTATCCTATTCTGCGTGCTTCTCTGGCGAATAGCGAGATATATTAATTTTTCTTCCTAATTCAAAGTCTGTTTTATTATCAAATAATTTTCGAGACTAGTAATGGAATTACAGCAACTGTTAAAACAAAGTCTCGAATGTGTTTAAATTTTAGGTGTAATATTTGGAATTCGAAATGTCAATTTAGTGTAATGTATGATTTATGTATTTAGTCTCATTATTCATCTTTATGGTAAATGCAATATGATCATAATGTCACAAACATTGTGGTTTGCGGTATTGATTTTAGGACTGTATTTATTGAGCAATTATTTTTTTCTGTGTGTTTTTGACAGCTATCAGGTATAGGAAAAACCAAATTATCTAGGATTCTAAATACATTCTATAATAATATTTTTGAATATGGATTATTCAAAATATTATACATTGAGTCATATTCAATGGAGAACTTACAAAAGTCAAATATATATTATGCATCTAAATACAGTCGAATGACTTGATACTCTGAACAATTCGGTAGACGACCAAAAAATTCTAGTCAAAAATACCGCGGTACTCGAATGGAAATTCAGTGCTAGAGCGTGCCGCCAAGCGAGATGATGAAATAAAATAATTACCATTGTTTTTTATGGCAAAAAGTCTAGATCATGGTGGTCCAAGGTTGTGGGCTCCGCGGGCCACAAAATTATTTTGGCATTGGTCGCGGGCCACAATAGTACCTAGAATAGGTAAATAGTGCAATACAAAAGAACCACTTTTTTGTGTAAACACATAGTTATGAGGGGTTGCCAACCTAGGCTAATGGAATCCGCATTCGATTTTTTAGTTTTTTATCATGCCTATATTGTTAGCATATATTCCCGACCAAAACGATAGAAATCCAGGTAACAATTTAGACTGCCCATTGCCCATCACATTATTCAACTTCGCTAGTTGCTTCAGCTAGCCATCATACTAGTCAATTCAGTCGCAATAGTGATATAACAACAAAATGTCAAACGATTTTTCTGACATATTTTATGAGAAGAAATTTAAAATACGATATTTTGGTTACTCTCCGAATGCGGCGGCGGGCCACAGATAATGAAGCGGCGGGTCCTGGGTTTGGACCACCCTGGTCTAGATACTGGAACAAATAGGTAGTCAACCACCAATCCTGAACGAATTATGTCCGGTTGCCGAGATATCACTGTATATCGCAAGAATGAATAGCTGTCAGAGACATCATTAGAACAGTTTATTTAAAATATTAATATTTTGAGTAATTGAAGACTCGAGAGTATTTCCAAAAAGTCCTTCATTTGATTCTGAAAATTAAAACAAAAAAGAAAACCAATCAATCACTGCTTATTTATTTTGATACATTTCAAACTAGTTAAACATATATTGATTCTATAAATTTTGTTAAGACAATTTTAAATACGATTGTTTTGTTAATTTGATTCAAAAGTCTTGATCTCTTCTTGACCATGGTCAGACTTCTCAATTAATCTAGTTGAAATATGCTTGTCTGATTAAGTTAGACATGTTACGGAAATATACTTAGTGTTAGTGCGCAGCAAGACCTTTTGTAGGCTATCAAATTGAATACCTATCATTAGTGTTGATTACAACATCCTTACACTTTGGTCTTTGATTGATTGTTATATAGTAACATTTAGTTATCCCTAAATAAAAGTTTTTTTGGCATACCTATGAACAGTGCATAACTATTTTAATAATCTTGAATCATCTTGTTTTTAGCATCATTTAATGAAGACTCACCAACTTCAGCGTCTAAATGCAATTCTAATTTCAATAACGCCTCTGGTGGCGGGAACCAGAATTCATCTGCGAGTAAAAAGCTACCACAGCAGCGGAATAATAATCTTTTGTCATCGAATGGTTCTAAGTCACCTACGCCATCTTCGGGAGGTGATTTTATTTCGTCGAAAATGGAATTGCGGAAACGAAACACAAATATATCACAATCACAGTCTCAATCAAATTTAAATTCATCAAATTTTTATTGCAAAGGCCCGACTCCTTGTACGGTAAGATATTTATTAATTCTGTGATATAAGTGTGGTAATCAAATTTGATGTATTAAACCAGGGGTTTTCGCGGGGCTCGCGAGCGACAAAAGGTTGCCGACCCCTGTATTAAACTTATATATAAATTAATCTTAAAATTTTCGTTCACAATTCAATCCTGGTTAAATTTAATTGAGCACGACCATTGACAATACTCTATGATTGGTTTTATTTAGTTATATTTCGCAGAAATCAATTCAAATATTCAATTTGTTTTGAACAAAGCATCTATTTTGTTAGTGCAAATGTACATGGGCGCAAATGTCTGTTGGTGCAAATGTCTATGGGTGCGATGTACATGGGTGTAAACTTTATTGGGAGCAAACGTTCATGGGTGCAAATGTTCAGGGTGCATATGTTCATGGGTACAAATGTCCATGGGTGCAATCTATATGCGGGTGCTAAAATCTATGGGTGGAAATGGCGTCGGGTGCAAAAGTATACAGGTGCGAATGTCCTGGGTGCAGTTTACGGGTGCAAATGTACATGGGTGCAAATGTGCTCTCACCAAAAAATAACTGGTAAACTATTTCGACTATCCGATTACCCGACATGGACTAGTAACAAGACGAGAGGCTGTGGTTCACCTAAAGATTAATCCGTCTTATCGTATTTTGTAATAAATGTAAATCCTATCCATTCTAAAAATATACATTTTTGCAGCCTAACAAGAATCAATCTTCAAGTCGTAGTTCCAGTGTTAGTAGCTTAGAAAGCAATAATTCTCCAAAAACACACCATGATCGGAATGGGAGTATACAAAATAGTGTGATGGAAATTCCACAGACTGATGTGAAAATTGTCACACAACCTGTTGTTGATTCTAAACCTTCTGTTATAACTATTGCGGATAAAGAAATAACTAAAGATCAGAATATTTTAAGGTGGGTTAGATGGAATAATCACAGGATTTTTGTACGTGGATTCACTTTTATCGAACTTGCTCCGTGTCTGGATACTAAGTTTGGAGCAAATGTGTCAAATCCTTTTCAATGGCGTTCAAATTTTTTATTTGCTTATCCGGTTAGTGTAAATGCATGATTGGATTTAAATCTCGATTTCACTGACAGGAGGAAACATTTTTGTGAAAAATGATAATTCCGACCATCTGATTTTATAAAAAAAAATTTGTTTTGCTATTTTGGAAATATCAATATGAAAACTTCAAATGAAGTTTTTGAAAATGAAGAATTTTGCATTATTTGGTAACTTTTTCTCTTGAAAGCTCTTTTTATGTGACACTATGTTTTCCCCCAATTTTTGTTGGATTTCAAGCAATATTTTAGAAAGTTAATATGAAGGATAGATATTTGCCTAACCCCATATTATTCTTCAACATCTGTCTGAAACCCAATTAAATACAAACAATTTTAAGGGAGTGTTTCAATTTAAATTATTTTGATGTTGTTTCAAGCTATTTTTTGATATTGATTGTCACATAATAAAAACAATTATAAACAAGTACAAATAGAGGATGAATAAATAGGTCAACTTCTTTCAAAAGATGGTAAATTCTTATGTTTTTTTTCTTGTAGTTATTTTGATTTTGAATGGTCCATATGGATTGATTTTGTACTAATATGATCATGATTTGCTCAGAGATCAGTCTTTTTTCACTTCTTTGAGTGAGGGCGAGTGAGTGACCTTTCTTTGAGCAAATTTTCTCAAACATATCTCAGACAAACCACAACCCACATCTTGCAAAGCTTTATGTGGCAGATAACTCATTCTTACGGAAGCATTTGAGACTATAAATCCTACTGTAAGACTTGACATAAATTTTTAATATACTGCAATAAAACCATATTAATAAAAAACACTAGGGCGCACCAGAAGTATATGTACCAATATGGAGGTAACTAGGGTAATTCTGTTTGCCTATTTTACATCAAGTTGTGTAAAGCAACCGAAACCCATCGACAAGGGGTATATTTACTTGCTAACAAAGCCAGTCCCCGATTGGTAATAGAACTAAAATAGGAAAAGTTGGTATAAAATTATGGCCTAACCCTGACCTATTACACTTACACATACTACAAGAGTACCTTTATTAGATATCATTCGTTTCTATCATATGCCTGATTATATGCCTTATTATATGCCTGAATCTAATAACTTTTATGTGTGTCATAATCGTTGATGCTAAACCAGTGAAGCCAAATATTTGCAAAGACGAGCGTGAATATAAATTATATTCCACAATGAATATAAAAGCAATTTTCCATAAAATTTTACATCTTTAGTGTAATTGTAAAAAATCTAATTCAAATTCAAATAACATCCAGGTTGCCCACTCTCGTATAACAAATACTTTCGCACCCGACATATGATTTTAGCGCTATGATTTTTTTATATTATCTTGTCTTATGTAAAGAACAAATGTGTGGAAGCACGTACAGAGTTACCATTTGGTTGCTGCATTTTTCAACAAAACCGCAAAGATTGAAAACGGATAAATATTTATAACAAACAATCAGATGAATATTTATTTATGAGGAGTGTGTGCCCGGCAACAGATGCAGCATATCTATTAAAGGCTGGTTGTGTCGAATTGATCATGAGTGTTTTTACACTATATTACGAAAATATGACCTGATATATTTATACACTAATAATGATTACTTTTTGTATATTGCGGCACTGTTGTTAACTTGTGCAGGATTTGTTAAGTGTGTTTAGTTCAGTGGTTCCCAACCTTTCTACCCTGGCGGACCGGTATAAATAAATTAAATGTACTCGCGGACCGGCAAAAATTGTAAGGACCGGAACAGGAACGAATAACACATATTAGCGAAGTATAATGCAATGCAGGGCACTAAATATGCTTATATAGAAAAACTATCAAATAATGTGCCGTCCGAAAATTTAAATGGGTGAAACATAAAATAATGCCCTATATTTGTGTAATGAAATGCAGTGCTGTGCACCCAATATGCGTTGTCACGCATAAAACATCTCACATAAAAACATATACATGGCAAAACATGTACAAACACAATTAACTCTAGTGAGAATTTTGCTGATGTTTCGTTTCCAATATAGGATTGCAAACAAGGCCTCAAAGAAGTTTCTGCAACACGTAGCTCTGCAGCGGCGTGCAGGCGATTTCTTTGATTCGCTTAAATTGAATCTAGTGATGAAAGGTTTTCGCATAACGTAGTAACTGGTTGAAAATGCGCACAACAGTTCAAATGCTCAAATTATTTAGCGATAGATATTCTTATCAAGAGATATTCAAAATTGTATCAAGTAATTCATTTTTAATTCTGGAAGTAAAGTCAAGTTCGTCATATTAATCTCTCTGAGTCTGCAGTTGATCGACGCCTCAAACGAAATGAGTTTAAGTTACAATGACGAAGTTGTCGATAACTTGGCACCAGTCTCAAAATCCTACTGTGTCTGCTCAAAATACTGGGAAACATCTCTGCGGCTCATGCTTTTTTGGGCGTCTTGTGACACCTGCAGGGTCGCAACAAATTTATATCTTACTGAAATATTATACTGTTCTTGACTGTTTTCTGCTTTAAACTAGGAGATATGCATTATGTTTCATATGGATCGTCATATTAATCAAGAAAAGCATTCAAAACAGAAAAAGCACGCAGGACAGAAAAAGCACATGTGCTGATTTTTTGGTTTCTAAATCTTGCAAGATTTGATGGAGCATTCACGTTGAATCGGAGACGAAAAAGTGTGATTGCTTGGCGCCAAGATGTCGCGAAAGACGGCGTCAAGATGTCGCGAAAGACGTCGCAAAATGACGGCGGAAGAGAAATTGCGTAATAAACCAAAGCAACCTCGTCATCGGTAAAGCGATTGAGACGACATTAAAACAACAAAACTTCTCGCGGACCGGCGGTTGGGAACCACTGGTTTGGTTGATGATAATGTTGAAACTTTCTTCAACCTGAAATCTTAGAGCCCAAGTCAAAATTTTAACAATCACAAGTGTAGTTGTTTATTACAAAAATCTAGTGCAGTGGTTTACAAACGGTGGCCCCACAATTTTTGGAGGGAGCGTGAACGTGAAGCTGATTAAAAGAAAAAATATTTGGTAGATTTGATCTTGCCTGCCTTATTTTGAATATTTACTTTCCATCCATGTATTTTTAACATGTTTTTTAAATAAAATCATACTTTCACTTTACTATCGGTTATTTGTAGTTTATTGTTATCTAGGTATTTTTGAGGTGGGTGCGAGACTTGACAAATTCTAAAAAGGGGCACGGCTTAAAAATTTTGGCAACCCCTGGTCTGGTGGAAAGTTTTTTGTCCACAGTCTATCTTGAATAGAGCCTTGCTAAGAGTGATTTCATCGATTATCATTTTATGTTTAGAATTGAAGAACTTGAATCTTGTATTTCTGATTTGAAAACGGAACTAAGTTTAACTCGTCAGTGTGAAGGGGATTTACGTACACAAAATTATACTTTGATTCATGGTGAGAAGTCTGCGAAGAATGAACTATCACAACTCAGAAGGAACAATGATGAACTGCAAAATAAGTATGAAATTTTTCATTTTTTTGATATAGAAAAATACCGTACCTGATACAGATTAAATATCAGCTATGGAAAAAATTGTATATTAATTGCCATTTTCACAGTTATATCCTAACTTTTTTATTTTTTATTTTAGACTTCATAATTTGGTCAACAACAAACAAAAAGATAAACAAACGCTTCAGTCCCTCGAAAAACGTTTGAAAGCAGAAACAGAAGTTCGCCATGCTGTTGAAAAAGTTCTGATAGAAGAAAGAAACAAGAGAAAAGAGGAAGAAGAAACTGCTGCAAGAGCTGTTGCATTGGTGGCAAGTAACAGGTGAGTCCATATTTGCAGGTAAACAGGAATAACTTGAGCTTGTGTACCCAATGATCTAGCGGTTAAGGCGTTAGACCAGCGTTTCTCAAACTGCGATGTTTCGTGGGCTTCTTCGAAGTGTTCCACGGGTCAGGAATCAAAATTGCTAAATTGGTCTCCATGGCGATCTCGTCTGTACATTGGCGCCTCTGGGTTGTAAATTTGTCTCCCAACTCGCGGCAAACAGGCCGAGAGGCCTTGGTACCTAAACAGGTATCTGAAAAGCATGGCATTTTCGTCACGAGGCAAGATAAAATGCGTAGGTGTTCCAATGCAAAAAAAGTTTGAAAAACGCTGTGTTACTAAAGTTGATGTCGATGGTTAATCTCTGGTTCAAATGCCATGAGCACTGCCTCACCTACAGTGTAATAAATTGGTTGAGCAATGCCGAAATGGGGACGTTCAATTTATAGGCTTGCACGTAATTTACGGATTTACGGAATTACGGAATTATTTCGAGTTACGGAAGCGAAGTTACGAATTACGTAAATTCGTAATTATTGGTGGAGCGCTTTCGCGATTGAAACGAGCTCTCTTTAGAGCAGTCGATTGTAAAAAATTAAAGTTTAATCGGTAGAAGAAGTTAGAGTTCCGGTATTCGCAGCCGTTTTTATCTCTCTTGTTACGCAGATGGAGAAGGCATAACGCGTTGCCATTTACTAACCTATTATCAACTTATCTAGCATGGCAAATGTACATATTAAGCGTAGATATGGGATAGAATTGTGTTGAGACCGATGGACGCCAGCACACCTGGTTTGAACTTCTTCGGGTGAAATGACTAAAGAATGTAAGAGACAACTTACCAAACATGGTCTATTTGTAAATGCCGTGATAATTAATGTCGAGCTTATCAAACAGCAATATGACGACGGAAGAGAAATTGCGTAATGAACCAACGCAACTTAGTCTTTTCGGCATCGGTAAAGCGATTCAGACGGCAGAGAAACAACAAAAAGTCGGGATTCCCATGTTCATTCTGCGCGAGATCCTTTTTCTATTACAAAATCTTGATGTTCTGTTACCGCTTTTATCGTTATATATCTGTCCGGACTTGGCCTTGTTTTCACAATGCCTCGCACTATTTCGGCCAAATATGTCTTTACAATATCTCTAAGTCTTTACCAAATGCGGCAACTTATTTTGATTTATCGTCGACTCAAATACCACCGGCACTCGACCAAACTTGTGTCAATCTTAGCCGATAGGATTGTCGACTTGAGTTAGAAAAGTAAATTAATATTTTCGAGAGTGCAAAATAAATGTCACCAAATGCATTGTTTTGCGATATAACTTTGTATTTTCGGAGAAGGCATGTCATATAAGTACGGTATTTAAATTATGCGCAAATAATGTTATAACATTTAGGCCGCCAAATGATTTTATGTAAAATGAAGCATGGTAATCGGAATATCGTCAATAAGTCGGCATCAATAATTATTATAAAATGCTAACTAGGTAGTAAAGTCGGATAATGTAAAAAAACGGTACAATAACAAGTCTTCGTTGCGAGGCAAGCGCAAGTATAATCAAACGAGAGAATACGCTCGTCGTTGATTTATAAATTAGAAACCCGGAATTTTTATTTAATACGAAACTCGTATTAATACGTTAATACGATTTAAAAAAAGTCAACTTTCGTTTCATAAATATATTACCACTAACCAGTGTTGGTAATGATAAAATTGATCGCATAAAATTGGGTGATAAAGTTGATAAAGGAAAATCAAAGCTAACACAAAAGATAAAAATCAGAATAAAATTAATTTGAATTCACTCCTTGATATTTGTCTTTAGCATCTGTCGCCGGCGTGTAGTACTGGCGGAAATATGAAAACCAAACTGTCCCAACTGTCGATGTCCCATTCGGAATAGAAGTGGATTAAATTGGTTGTTATGATAGGTTTAAAAGTGTGAATAAAATATCGCAATTACGGGGTCATTACGTAATCGATTTGGCCGTAATTACGGAATTGATTTTTGTCAATTACGTGCAAGCCTACGTTCAAAACATAGTTTCTTCATCTTGTTCAGATAAAAAGGAATGAACAAACGTCATATGTAAAAGGCATGCTGGACTGTTAAGATTTAGTTGTTTCAAACCTATGCACAACCAAGGCATACGTACCGTGTACAGCCGTGGTTCTAAAACTGGGCGTCGGGACGCCCAAGTGCTTCGTTTCAATATTGATAGGGCGTCGCAAAACTTTTTTTCTTTTGCGGATTCGTACCTGCGGTGCGTAGAAAAGTCTAAATTTTCGTTATTCTTGTTTAAATCATACTTGAGAACTGGAAGTGACAATATATTAATTATTGTAACGATCGATCCTATCTATATGTGACTTGACAAACATCACGAATCATTCAATACTGTTCCAATTGGAATTGGCTGGGTCAGATCGAGTCATGCATGCCGTTCATTTCTATTTCTTACATGAACATGTGTACATCAAGCGTTGTTCAGCACTTCCTCTGCGCGTTAAGTTAACCTAAACAGATATTCAATATTGACACCACAGCAGTTCTCTTCAGGCATGATTTAAATAAAACTCATTGTAAAAGAGGTCTCTTATTGAAAGATATCCAGACATTTTTCACAGGGAGTCGCAGCGTGGCCTTATTTTTTGGAGGACGTCGCAATACCAAGAAGTTTGAGAACCGCTGGTGTACAGTAATAAAAAGTCACAATCATGATAGGTTTATAAAGGATAATCATAATTGTATGATTTAATGCTTATTCATGACTTTCCTCTCAAACATGGCCCTGGACAACCACTGTTATCCAATGATAGATACTGAGCTACTTACTATATTTCGAAGTACTGTTTTGTCTATCCAATTTATTACACTCTGGATAAGATGGGGCTTTGGGGTTTGAATCTTAGATGTGCAAATTAGGATGTCGACACAGTTATGTCCTAACACTGCGCTAGGCCACTGCGCTCAACACAGTTGACCAGTTTCGAATCAGAAATTCGAAACGAGTTTTTAAGCAAACTTAAAATTGGATATTTAGGGAAGCTATCCCACTATTTTTTTTCTGAATAAATAAACTATAAAAGTAATGTTAGTGTGTCAGTTCCCGCAACTCTTCAATCGAAACTCTTTCAGTTTCTAGTTGAGGGTTCAAGATCCAAATTTCATGAAATACCTACTTTTTGAAAATTACCTTCTTTTCTCAAATACAGGGAAAGAGAAGAAGCAGAACTCAATAAAAGGAAATTTCAAGAAAAAGAAAAAGATTTTCAAAATCTTAAAAAACTTTTAGAAGAAAAAGAAGATTATTGCAAAAGACTGCATAGGGAAATTGGTGTATGTTGTTTCAATTGTATGGTCAACGCCAGGAAATAGGAGAATAGTACCAAAATCCTTTATTCCTAATATGAGATGTATTGTTGTTTTTGGCTTATCTGCCTCAGATAAAAAAGACAAAATCCAACATCTATTGAAAAATGGACACATTATTAATTTTGGTCTCTTTTTTAATTTAGTAATAAGGATGCAATAATAGTTTGTTTCTTATGAAAAATCAATATTATAGATGAAGATTATAACAAACTACCTATTATTTCTGGTTACCTGCCAAGGATGCCATAAAAATAAATAAAATAATGCAATTTTTATAATAATTATTATCCCAAGAGAGAGGAAAGGGAATAAGACTGTTTAAAACAAGACCTGTGTTTACCACTCTACGATGGCAAGAAGTCGAATCAATACTTGTGAACATAATTATCTTTCATAAGATTCGAACCTGCGAGCCCATGTAGATTAATCAGAATTGCGAAAGACTCCTAACACTTAGCACGATGCGCCAACTGCCAAGTCATAATGTATAATTTGCCTGTACTGTACAGATATTTATAGTCGTAATCCAGACTTTTGTTACAAGTTATTGCCAATTCCGCACCATTCACAGGAATTGAAACAGAATGAAAAATCTGCTAAAGAATCCGATACTCTGATGTCTGCTTTAGCTGCGATGCAAGAGAAAAATATGATGTTGGAAAAATCACTCAGTGCTGAGACAAGATTGAAACTCGATCTTTTTTCCGCTCTTGGAGATGTGAAACGACAATATGAAATTGAGCAAAGTATGTTTTTATATATTAGATAAATGTAATATTCTCTCGGATCCTTTTATTTTTCATTTATTGATTTTGTTTCGCAGGTGTTCGAATGCAGCGTGAAGTTGAAATTCGTGAGCTGAAGTCAAGAGTCGCAGAAGTTTTATCTGTTTTGCCAGAATCACAAATGAGGTCTTCCACTCCTCACTATTCCGCCAATTTTCTAGAAAAGCAAGTCCCACCAACTGTTCAACTTAGCCCCACCCAGCATTATTCTGCTCGTTTCTGCTCCGTTCCTGTTGCCCCAATATCTCCTCCAAACATGGAGCCTCCACATCCCATCCCTATCCACACAAACCCTATGATACCCCAACCCCAGGGCTTGATTCAACAAATGCCCCTTGACCCCAATGCTGCTATATACACACCCCCATCCTCTGCAGTGTAAATCTCATCCATCGATGTATTTTTTTATCATGTCTCGCGGGAATTGATATTGCTTTGGTGTAAAATTGAGAATTAGTTTAACCATCCCTGTACTACTATTGGTTTAATGCATGGTTAAATTTTTTTTTCAATTCTAAACCGCTTATAATGTGAGGTTTTCATTTTCTTTCACATTTTCCTGTTTTTTTTTTTATATTTAAAAGGGTGGTATTGTCAATGGTGGTATATAAGAATGGATATCTCTCCTTTCATCATGTCATTGCATTCTTATGTTCTTATTTACCGCAATACGTAATATTCAGATATTGTATGTTAACTTTACTGTCAGGCTACAGTATAGTTCACAGTGTGAAAATAATGAAGACGAAATATATGGTTCTTGTCATCTGGTAAGAAACAAGCTTGTTATAAAGCTTACTCAGTCAAGATAAAACTGCATATCGAAATATTTACTAAATTACTACCTATTATTTGACGCTCCAGCTACTATTTTTTATGTTTTTGTTGAAGGCTGCTATACTCGTTAATTAGGAAAGCTAGTTTGATGCCCCTGTTATTCGAGGTTTTAAAGCTGTCCAGTATCAACATACAGAAAACGATGTCAGCTTTAATATTTCAAATGTTAATAACATGTTAAGCTTTCCTATCAGTTTCATTCCAATATCTTATTTTTTTTTGATTACCCTACAAACGGAATACTGGAGTGATCAATTGTTTTTTCAATCATCAATGGCTTTAATTCGGAGTGTTATGGGGAACATAGTTGTATTGAAGTCGATAAATACTTTGGATATACTTTTATAAATGGTTACGTTCTCGCTCAAGTTGCGTTTGCCAAGCCGATCAGAAAACAGTGTTACTTTTGGTGCCTGATAATTGACAAATTCGTGGAATTACGGGTTCTCCAGTGGCTTCTTGCTGGAATAAATACAGTATTGTGTCCTATTTAGTCATAAAGGAATATTAAAATTATTTGTTAATATGGTGAAAATGAACGGAGATGATCTTTATGTATATCAATTTGATAATAATGTAGTGTCTCGTATACGGATGTTCAATATAATGGTCCAGAACCTGTTCGTGTTTATTTCCTATTGTAGATGAATTTTACTGGGAATCGGTGGCTAGGTTAAAACACTGGTTTATAACAGGCAGGAGAAACCGACCAGCGGTTGTGTGAACCGCCGTTTGGTTAGCGAGAAGTCAGTCGACTCTCTCGCTCATTAACCCCGCATGGTGTGCGAGCCCGCTACATCGCCTTCCTGCGTCACCGAAAACTGTAGTGACAAATCAGTGATCAAGTTTTTTGAGATACGTGAAAGCTTTTTGGGTAAATTTAAAGCGCCAATGTCTGAAAATAACAATCTGCCAAGTTTTTTCATGAGGAGGAATAATAGCCTTCTAGCGACAACAATCTTTGACCACTGAAAATTTGAAATCAATTAGTCCGGCAATTGAAGAGTAAAGCGACTTTTTCGTAATAGGAGGAACAAAAATGCGAGCAACGTAATACTAAGATGCTGGTGTCGCGCACCGTGTTAAGCGTTAGGAATACGCTCGCCACCGCACCTCTGGTTCGAATCCCAAGCGGAATAGTTAGGTGCGAGAGGATTGCTGACTCCTCGCCGTCGTATGGTGGTCAACGTAACCCACTGGTCGGTTACGACTTTCCCCACCATGCTTCCGTAAACAAATAACTGGCTAACTAATCACATGCCCGACATGGACTGATAACCGGATGAAAGGCCGTGGTTCGCCATATGATTCAGCCGACTATCGCCTTTCTCTCCCGGGGGATAAATATGTAAATCCTATATATATAGGTCCATTTCGTGTCCAATAATATACAACATCCTGTGTATATTGAAGTACAATCGATTAGAGAGAAGTGATGACCTCAGTGTTATATCTTCTCTTCTGCATCAACAACATTTTCAACGTAGCGACGAGTAAAGCGACTAATCAAAGTTCAGTTACATCGTGTTTGAATAAACATAAAACGGTGACAGCACATTTGAACCCATACATTTGCACCCGTATATCCGCGGGTTCAATCTATATGCGGGTGCTAAAATCCATGGGTTGAGGTTAGTATTGGATCAAATATCCGTAGGTGCGAATTTCCAATGGTGCAATAGTATACAGGTTCAATTGTCGTGGGTTCAAATGTAATAGAACAACATAAACCAACTATGACCTGGTCTTCTGTCAATGACAAAATTAAAGCGTGTAAGGAACTTGCTAATAAAATATTTTGTTGTAGATTCAGGTCTAGTTATTTCAGTAGTGCAACATGTGAAATATGAAAGCAGTGGGCTTTTGCCAACAGCAGAAAGAAAAATACAAAATGATAAAACGACCCATAGGTCCATGTTGTATCTGAAAAATAGATTCGTTTTCACCATCAGTCTATTTTGCCCAAGTGCTGATCGATAAAATGATGGTCGATTAGCCACGTTTAGTAAACACAAACATGCTAACAATCGCTTCTGCACTCAGTTTGACATCTTCGTCTGGTACGCCTTCCATATTGAAGAGTTTTTTCACCTTGCTTGCCATCACTGTTAAAGGATCGATATCGGGTTTTTGAGTTTCCATTAAAGTTTGGTATTCACCTAGAGTCGACATAAAATTTTTTAGATCTACCAAGGTGTTCCCAATTTTCTCTCTGTAAGTTAGCTCCTCAAACCATTCTTTGGAGTCATTTTGTATCTTATTGAACGTTTCCGCATACCCGTCAATGACAATTGTATCTCTTTTGTCAGCATTGATGTCGACAAAGAAATCTTCATAAAAATTATAAAACGGATATGTAGGCGTTGCAATCTCTTCTCCATTCAATATTGGCTTGATTGAATTGATAACTCTTCCAAATATTGCACATACCCCGTTTGTTTTCAACACACGTTCGCACTCATTTTCGAACTTCGGTATATCGAAAAAATGAGCCGCCGTTCCAGAAGTTATTAAATCGATACTATTGTCTTTGAACGGAAAAGCATTTCCATGAACAAGCTGATACGATATGTTTTCGAATTGATTTAGCTTTCTAGCTTGTTCGATTTGAGCTTCACTAATATCGATTCCTACAATCGACTTGAAGTAATCGGCAAAAATGTAAGTTGACTGTCCGCATCCACAACCAACATCAAGCATTCTCTCAAACTTTGCCTGGGCACCTACTCCCATTTCATTTCTTAAATACCCGATTATTGCTTCTGGTACTGTTTTGGGATAAGAAGGTCTATACTTAGCATAGGCATCAGCAACATTTTTGCCTTCGTAGCAGCGAATGAGTTGGGTTTTTGGAGACTCGGACATCATAATAATTCCGCTTCAGTTTTTCAATTCTACAATATAATATTTTCTGTTGATGCAAATGGTATATATATTACATTTTTAAAATTATGTTTCTATAACCATTATCATGAATGCATTCGCAAATATTCGATAAATTACGCTGTCATAAATCCCCGAAATTGTACACGAACTCTGTCACCAAAGCAAACGACTTATTTACTATTTCATAAGAACCTATCTAGATAAATACGTAATATGCTACCCATAAATAGTATCAGGTATTTACTTCTTTTTCTATTCCAAATCTTTCGAATCCAAAAGTCGGTTTTCGTGTAATTTTTTATCATTATATATTACATTTGCGTTAAAAGTGATTTATTAATGAGGGATATGGATATTGAAGCAAAAAGAAGAAAACAAACGTCTTAATTTACAAATTAATAACTTGATTTCAGTCTGACTCCGCAATTACTCGTTTTGTTATTTTTCGATACTGTGGTGCGAATGGACTCGCACACCACCCTGGGATCAGAGGATATAGAATCAGAGTGAAAATTTGCGTCGCTTGATACAAATGCCCAAGAAGCACTCATTATGAGTCTTAACTATGTTAGATTCATGATTCATTCTCCGCTAAATGTTATTTCTTTATCCGAGATACCGGTAATGTTATTTGAACTGCAACCTCGAACGTTTCAACATCACTAAATAAATAATATCTCAGCTACAAATTTTAATGTAGACTGCTTTTTTCTGCTCATACCGGAATGCAACAATTCAGGAAACCACTTTCTATTAATTAAATTTTTGTTGTATATATATTTGATTCCTCCGTGATCTAAATATATCCCGAAAAAATCTAGTATATTACCCCAGGCTAACTCAGCAATTGAAAAATTCAATAGCGTTGTATAATAAAAGGTTACTGAGTGTAAACGAAGTTTTCTTCCGTTCTTTCGTTGTTTAAGTTAATTTTATGTAATGTGCGTTTATGTAATATTGTGCGTTTACATAGTGTATATGACTATGTTTGTTGGTGTCAGCAATGGGGAACACTGCATACGTAGTATCATTACAAAATTTTGTATTAGAAAGCAATGACCTGATGCGATCGATTGATTATTTTTTTTAGTTTATTGAAAGAAGTTTAATATGATTAATTACGGAGATTATTAAATATACAAAACAACTCATATGTTTTTAATCTGCAAAACTACCTGCTTTTATAAATTGATAAATATACAAAACAACTGTTGAACTTTTTATCTGAGAAAACAATCTACTTATAATATTTAAAATATACTTACCTTTGAGGAGTTTAGTAAGAATATATTCGTCGAAAACAACAGGAAATATTGCATACGTAGGTTCGACATTTCATCTTAAAATATGATTAGAAATCATCATCATCATCATTTTATCAACTATTCATAAAAAGATATGCATGGATCTGATTTCACTACTATGTCAGACGTGAAAAAATACATAAGAATAAAATACATATTGCAAGTTCTAAACGTGACACAAATGAAATATATTGATCCGAAAACTAAAAAAAAACGTAAGCATTGCCTTGGATGGGACCCAACCAACGGATGATGGTATGTATGACATATGATATCAATGCATTTTATACACGACACATACATTGATTGACTTGGACTTAATTAAAACGTGTTGAGTAGGGTTGAGATCCCGAGAAATTCCGGGATTTGGACTGTTTTTTTCAATCCCGATCCCGCAATTATCTTCTAAAATCCCGGAATTTTAGGGCTTGGTTATCCACATATAGATATTGCAAGTTATACCATTGTTTTTAATACTTATTTAAAAAAAAAATACATCCACGCTTACAGTTTGACAAGTAGAATTGCCATTACTGCCGACTTATTTAATCATCATTTGAACTCAGACTATCATTCAGGATTCACGCAATGACTTTGCATTTTTTTTTATTCCCTATTCAATACGAAAATAAAACAGACATAATAGACTATCGTCTTCGTAAATATCTGCATTCCGGCGTCAGAAATGATAATATTCTTAGCTTAAAATTGGGACAGTGAATTTACAAACGGTGACAAGAAAGATCAAAGCCGATACAAAAGATAAAGATCGGAATAAAATCCTGAATTCAACCAAATATTCGACAATTCGTTAATTTATTCGATTCCAGGAAAATATACTTTTTTGCCCACCCTTGCGATCTGTAATCCCGCCAATAATCTGGCGAAATGCCTCGTAGTCCAAACACACTGATGCAATGAAACTTGGGTGTAATAAAACATTCATTAAATTCAGTAAATTGTACTACTTCGCGAAAACGGAGTGGAATTGACGATTATTTCATATCTCGAACACAGAAATGGTTATCTTTTTCGAATAGTTTCTGCGGTCTGAATAAGCGTTTCGACGTAGTGAATGCTGTGATCTTTGCCATCAAATTATGCTCGGGCCTTGCACGAAATTCATAACGTGAAAAGATACATCCAGCGGTGAGAATTGTTTGTAACAACTTAAGTTACCAATTTAGTGTTTTTTCAGGGGAATGGTGAGCACAACCGGAGCGCGTGATCGGCGGTGCGTTTGGAGACCACGTATTTTCCGTGCGGCCGCGCAACTTTTAAAATGATGTGAGGTACTCCGAAGACGCTCTCGTTTACATTAATGTAAGAAAACAGTTGTAATATCGGTAACTATTAAGTGGTCCGCGCAATTATTAGTAAACTAAATGTGGCCCGTCGGCCAAAAAGGTTGGCCGACCCTGGTATAGAATATGATTCTGTGGGGACATGTGGATGAGAAAAAACATTTTTGCTCTGTGTCCGTGTATATATTTGAGCATTGTTCTTTTTTTTTTTTAAAGAATATGGCGTATATACAAGATTTAAGGCCGTAGGCAATGGGTGCTGGACTGGATGCAGTTGTTAACATTATATTTTCCACTAAATGGTTAGTATTTTTTTTACCCTATTACTCGTTACTATCATTCATTCAGTTCACCCTGGTATTTGTATTTGTGTGCTTTGGCAGCAGAAAAATTAAACATTGCGCATCTTGTGGCGGTTCCGCATTTGCGTTAGGGTAATGAGAAGTTATGAAGACTGCGGTGTCGGTACCGTAAATATTGCACACCCGTACTACTGTACTTTGTTTTGGATTTCGTGTTTATATATTTGAGCATCGCTCTGTTGTTGGACAAAATTATGGATTGCTTAGTTATAATGGTATTGTCGTTATGGTATTCTCTTCAGCTACTTGGCTGATTGCTTTAAAATTTTCAGTGGTTAAAGATGGTATATTCGCTAGAAGGATACTACTACCTTTATTTACTTCAAAGTCTTCTGCGAGCACAACGGGAGTTAATAGGAAAAGCGATCTTTTTCATAACGACAAGAACGAGAAGATGAAAAAGAACCTGAAAAACATTCTAACAGGAACATAATAACATAATGATCCATTTGTGGATTTCGTGTCCAATAAATACGGAAATCGATTCTCTGGGAAACATCCATAGATTCATTTCGTGTCCAATAAATATGGAAATCGAAACATCTATATTATGACCGGTATGTTAGTCGTTGATTATGATTATGGGTTCACTTTGTATTCAACAAGCATCAATTGCGCCGCCACGTGGGGGCACTCGCATTAAACAAAGATAACAACATAGCATCGACTGACTGCGCAAGCAACAGATGTAAGGAGTTCGACTTTATTGCCCTTGCATTCAAAAACGATTTTTCAGTTTTTAGTCATTTAGTCAGGATACTTTTTAATGCTATTTCTGTCATTTTGTCAAGAGTAAATTATATTTATATGCAGTAATTACATGGGTATGCTGTTTCTCTATTTGCATTGATTTCATCGGATAGTCGGGTCACTGGGTCAGCGGGACCAAAGTTACCCTAGCAGACATCTCTCAGCGGACATCTCTCTCGTTTTCGGAACGGTAAAATAGGGTTGCCAGAAAACGATTTAACATGGCACTTAAATGCCGCATCGGAAAAAAGGAAAGCTAGTCGCAAAGTACTTGCCAGATTTACGGCAAAATTTTGCTACACTCGGAATTACACGAAACTTATCTGTAATTTCCGATGGCCGGGCAGATTTTTGAAGATGATATAAAAAAAGAACTTATATTGAAGTCATCCTAATTCAAGTTTTATGAAATTTATATGTTGGGAACATATAATATTACATTGTCAAACATGGCCAAAAAGAAATTTCACATTAAAATTAATAAATGTCGGCATTTTAACCCCAAATTCTGTACTTTTCGATTAGGTGCCCCACTTTTAGATAAGATATCTTAAAAAAAAATATTGTGAAGTCATTTGGAACCAAGTTTCAGAAAAATTGTATGTCGAGAATATATAATAATATCTTGTTAAACATGGCCCAAACAGGAATTTTACATCAAAATTAATAAATATCAGTAATTCAACCCCAAATTTTGTACTTTTCGATTACGTGCCCCACTTTTGAATAAAATATCCTAGAAGAACATATTGTGAAGTAACCTCGAACCAAGTTTGAGAAAAATTGTATGTCGGTAACATATATTAAAATATTGTTAAACATGGCCCAAACAGGAATTTTACATCAAAGTTAGTGAATATCGGCTTTTTACCCCGAAAATTTGAACTTTTCGATTACGTGCCCCACTTTTGAATAAAATATCCTAAAAGAACATATTGTGAAGTAACCTCGAACCAAGTTTGAGAAAAATTGTATGTCGGGAACATATATTAATATCTTGTTAAACATGGCCCAAACAGAAATTTTACATCAAAATTAGTGAATATCGGAATTTTCAACACAAAATTTTGGACTTTTCGATTACGTGCCCCATTTTTGAATAAAATATCTCAAAAGAACATATTGTAAAGTAACCTCGAACCAAGTTTGGGAAAAATTGTATGTCGGGAACATATAATAATATCTTGTTAAACATGGCCCAAACAGGAATTTTACATTAAAATTAATAAATATCAGTATTTCAACCCCAAATTTTGTACTTTTCGATTACGTGCCCCACTTTTGAATAAAATATCCTAGAAGAACATATTGTGAAGTAACCTCGAACCAAGTTTGAGAAAAATTGTATGTCGGGAACATATAATAATATCTTGTTAAACATGGCCCAAACAGGAATTTTACATCAAAAGTAATAAATATCAGTATTTCAACCCCAAATTTTGTACTTTTCGATTACGTACCCCACTTTTGAATAAAATATCCTAGAAGAACATATTGTGAAGTAACCTCGAACCAAGTTTGAGAAAAATTGTATGTCGGAAACATATATTAATATCTTGTTGAACATGGCCCAAACAGGAATTTTATATCAAAATTAGTGAATATCGGCATTTTAACCCAAAATTATGGACTTTTCGATTACGTGCCCCACTTTTGAATAAAATATCCTAGAAGAACATATTGTGAAGTAACCTCGAACCAAGTTTGAGAAAAATTGTATGTCGGGAACATATAATAATATCTTGTTAAACATGGCCCAAACAGGAATTTATTATAAGATATTATTATATGTTCCCGACATACAATTTTTCTGAAACTTGGTTCGAGGTTACTTAACAATATTTTCTTTTGGGATATTTTATTCAAAAGTGGGGCACGTAATCGAAAAGTCCAAAATTTTGGGTTAAAATGCCAATATTCATTAATTTTGATGTAAAATTCCTGTTTGGGCCATGTTTAACAAGATATTAATATATGTTACCGACATACAATTTTTCTCAAACTTGGTTCGAGGTTACTTAACAATATGTTCTTTTGGGATATTTTATTCAAAAGTGGGGCACGTAATCGAAAAGTACAAAATTTTGGGTTAAAATGCCGATATTCACTAATTTTGATGTAAAATTCCTGTTTGGGCCATGTTTAACAAGATATTAATATATGTTCCCGACATACAATTTTTCTCAAACTTGGTTCGAGGCTACTTCACAATATGTTCTTTTGGGATATTTTATTCAAAAGTGGGGCACGTAATCGAAAAGTCCAAAATTTTGGGTTAAAATGCCGATATTCACTAATTTTGATGTAAAATTCCTGTTTGGGCCATGTTTAACAATATTTTAATATATGTTCCCGACATACAATTTTTCTCAAACTTGGTTCGAGGTTACTTCACAATATGTTCTTCTAGGATATTTTATTCAAAAGTGGGGCACGTAATCGAAAAGTACAAAATTTGGGGTTGAAATACTGATATTTATTAATTTTGATGTAAAATTCCTGTTTGGGCCATGTTTAACAATATATTAATATATGTTCCCGACATACAATTTTTCTCAAACTTGGTTCGAGGTTACTTCACAATATGTTCTTCTAGGATATTTTATTCAAAAGTGGGGCACGTAATCGAAAAGATCAAAATTTTGGGTTAAAATGCCGATATTCACTAATTTTCATGTAAAATTCCTGTTTGGGCCATGTTTGACAAGATAATAATATATGTTCCCGACATACAATTTTTTTGGAACTTGGTTCGAGATGACTTCACAGTATGATTTTTTGAAATATCTTATCTGAAAGTGGGGCACGTAATCAAATAGTACAGAATTTTTGGTTAAAATGCCGATATTTACTAATTTTGATGTAAAATTCCTGTTTGGGCCATGTTTAACAAGATATTATTATATGTTCCCGACACACAATTTTTCTGAAACCTGGTTCCAAATGACTTCACAATATTTTTTTTTGAGATATCTTATCTAAAAGTGGGGCACCTAATCGAAAAGTACAAAATTTGGGTTAAAATGCCGACATTTATTAATTTTAATGTGAAATTTCTTTTTGGCCATGTTTGACAATGTAATATTATATGTTCCCAACATATAAATTTCATAAAACTTGAATTAGGATGACTTCAATATAAGTTCTTTTTTTATATCATCTCCAAAAATCTGCCCGGCCATCGGAAATTACAGATAAGTTTTGTGTAATTCCGAGTGTAGCAAAATTTTGCCGTAAATCTGGCAAGTACTTTGCGACTAGCTTTCCTTTTTTCCGACGCGGCATTTGAGTGCCATGTTGAATCGTTTTCTGGCAACGCTATTTTACCGTTCCGAAAACGAGAGAGATGTCCGCTGAGAGATGTCTGCTAGGGTGATGTCAGCGGGTTCTGTTCACGAAACCCGAAACACAGTAAAAGCATTTTAAACTTGAGAACTGAAGTCAGTACCGGTACCGTACCGTATAGGTGTAAATTTATTTGCAAAATACATCCATACACTGATACAGATATATCCTGACATCTGTAGCCTATAACAGTATATGAAGCAGGATAATACTGTAATAGGGTTGTACCTTGGTAAGTAGGTGGTACCGACCGGTACCGGTACCGGTAACCTTTGGAATTATGTGGTAGACTAGAGGATTGCTTGAATCTCCTCATTGTCCGTAGGTATATAACCTGGCAAGCTGGAAAGAAAAAAAAAACACATAGTTCAGTAGTTCATGGACCAACTCTTATGATTTTATACCAACATTTTTTTATTTACCGTACATAGCATATATTCCACAGCGTTATGCAGTTATGCAATCTGCATGATTATCAATTATGAAATTTGAACAATTTATTGTGTTGTCCCTACTTTGTGGACTTGTCAATAGTGAGGAGTCTGACACCTTTGACTCAATCTTGGGAAAATCAGATGCCTGTAAAGATGAATGTTTAAGGAGTTTTCCTCTTCATACATATGACAGGGTAACTTTTTTATTTATTATTTTATTTGAAACTTCGCTATGTTACAAAAAAAGACAATATTGGAAATAAGACACGCTGGAGGAAAAGTTATAAATGCCAAAACTTCAAATGTGGTTCTCACCTCAGCCATGAATATTCATTGGATAGTGATTTCAAATGGGTAGGCATTGCTTTCAGACAGATCTTTCTATCAATCAGACAGATCTTTACAACCTGCCAACTAGGGTAGGGATATTCTCGTTGGAAAGGAGATTGGCCTGTGTAATGGTTTACATGCTTTTTGAAACAAATATCAGAATATCCTAAAAAAAAAACATTATCCATATATATTTGTTGAAAATCATAACTTTAACCATCCCATGCCACCTGTTAGCTTGAAAAGTCCGTGAATCAATTTCATCACAGAGTGTTTCCATTGATTACATTCTAGACTTTGATATTGGATAAAAATTTGTACTATGAGATATCTGGATATTGGCTTGTTGTTCTGATTATATTGTATTTATTAATCACCATCTTTCAAATGTGAATATTTCACTCTCGATTTTTCAGTAATTTATAGTGACTTATGATCTAACAGTATTTTTATTAATACAGCCAAGCAACCTTGAAGCTTGTGATCGTGGCTGTAGGTTGTTTAGTATCTGTGAATGGTCGATAGATGATCAAGATTTCAATAAAACTTTAGTGGAATGTACCGCAGGTAATAGTTGACCAAAGATTGAAACTTTTTTGTACATTTCGTTTTATGGACCTGAGTTTTCATTTATTGAGCAGATGTAATATTAGTAATATTTTGGAACCTAGATATCATTCCTAAGGTATTACCCAGCCTGATTTTACCCCAAATAAAAAGTTATGTTTTGTGCAGTTTATAGCTTGACATATGCTTGAAAATTGCTCATATGTAATCAGTCATGGTGATGTAATGAGCTAAATAGGCTGGTGAATATATAATAAAAATTTCAAAGTCTGCTAGATCTTGATACAGTTATCTCTTCAAGGAATATTTTACAACTGGTAATCCTGTGTCCGAACACAAAAACAATATAATATATCACATTTGCTTGAACACCAAATTGAAAACATATACCGTGGCTGTTTTTTTGTCATAGAATAGGTTGCAATTAGAATAAGCTTCTATTCATTTGTCTAAAGCCTGTGGCTGTGTTCATTGCCAGTAATATTTTTTGGATGTGTTGAAGAATAATCTCTGACAATATTTTCCAGCATGTGATGAAGCATATGGTCAAAACGAAAACAAATTCGAGTCAGAATCATGTAAATTTGGATGTAAATCTGCTGTTTTACCTGCCAAACAAAGGCAAAATAAAGTAAGCTATTAACAGTAGAACTATTTTAAACTATGTTGCGAGAAACTTAGAATATTCTTTTAATTTTTCACAATATAGTTTCTGGCAATCTCCTCTCTCCTTTTACCAAGGCACGTTTTATGAGGTTTTTAAGTTTTTTCTTCATGCAAAGGTTTTAGATTAGTTGCCAATGCTACACTGTATTCCAAGTACATATTTGACTCTTATGAAAGGTAAAAAACTGGTTCTGCTAATCTATCGATCTATCTGCTTTGCGTCCTAATCTTGATCCACTCTTCATTTGTGCACTCAGTTCCATTTGAATTGTTATTTTTATCGAGAATGCAGTTATTAGTATGGGTACGCGTGTTACTTATTTCATTATTGCATTAACTATTGAATATGTTAGAAAATAGTTTCACCATTTCATTTTATTGCAAAATTTATATGTTTAGTTGGATAAAGAGGAACCTCATATTCATCCAGTTGTAATTAGTCAATCTCTTTCTCTAAATCATCAAGACAATATATTTGGAAGTTTTGGTGCAGATCCATTTGATCAATTCTTCTCGCATGTAAGTAATGAGTTTATTATTGACACTGCTAAGTTATCATTATATGTATATATATATATATATAATATTGGATCAGGTTTTTATTACCTTCTTGGTTCAATGACTTATTCTATATTCACCTATGTAAATATATTAAATTGAATTGTAGTTTAATTCCCATATCCCCTAATTCAAACAAATCTTGTTTTATGTGAATAAAGCTTATCAAAATTGAAATATAGATTGAATAAATATGCTCTGTATCTCTAATTCCATAACTGTACTATATCAATGGCAATTTTCAATACCTCTGGTACAATGGTGTGACTAATTATCCAATTACTTGGTTATTATGTGATTTACATTACCTTTATTAAAGTGATGTGATGGATATTGGTAGATAAATAGGACAAACCAGTTATCTTTTGATTTAATAGTTATGGTATATTAATTAAGATAATGTGATATTAATTTGCATACAGGGGTGGCCAAAAATGAATAACTAACAATTCTGATGATATTCCGATATGATATTTTAGAATATAGAATAACAAATATCAAATTTTACATTGTAACCGTTGTAGAGTAGTAACATAGAAATTGACTTGGCAAACATAGAATAGCTTGTATAAAAGTTGTTTGATAATTTTTATATTTTTGCGGTGTCGGAAGTCTGAAACATAGTGCTATTTTTTGTGGGCATCTGATGTTATATGCTCAATTTTGAAAAGTTTTAAATAAACTAGTTTTCAGTTATTCCTGAAATCAATAATTTGCCATATGAAATATTACCAAATCCGAATGTATTTGAATATTAAATTACCGGTAGTTTCGAACATCTTTATTTCAAATTGAAAATATTGCATATTTGTCATTGCTATTTGGGAGTAAAATTTATCGTTTTTATACATCTATGAAAAATGAATATATATATTTTCGGCTAATAAGTCCACTCAGCAAATTAGACGATGCTTATTTTACCACTGATAAAGTTTTTTTCTCCAATATATCCCTCTAATATGATGAGGCAGAAAAACTTTTTCTCTGTTGGTCAGTTAATTAAGCACCAATATGCGCTCATAAGTTCATACAGTTAGAATCAGGCCATGTTTGTTAAGGTAGAATCATTCTTACAAAGTTAACTATTCTTAACAATAAAGCGGTGATTTAGTGTTAATAAAAAAGTAGCATGCAATCATTTTGCACAACCCATTGACTGGAACCTTGAAAAAACCTGTGAATATGGTGTTGTACGTCTGTGGGTTTGTTAACAGCTGTGCTGTCTAGTCTGGTGTCGGTTTTCCCCGAATCACCGTTTTTATTTTTGGCACAGATACCAATAACTAGGGAGTGCTTCATCCTACGAGCCAAGTTAGGATTGCCATCAGTTTTTAAAAAGAATAATATAAATATCAGCTGGCTGTACAAAGTGGATGAAATAACTGTAGCTGTGTTTGGCAGGCCCTTTGGTGTCGAGTACATTGAAAATCTATCAACCCAGATAAAAAGTTATGTTTGAGAGGACTCTTAATGGAAAAAATAGGCCGAACCCATAAAAACTAAAAAAAGCATAGCCTGCTTAAAAATCAGGCTAAAATAATTGGATACAGAAAAGCGACTTAATAATAGTCAGAAAATATGGTATTTATTTTTTCATGTTACAGATGTATCAACATCCACTCATGATGGCAAGTGATAATATGATGCAGAACATGCTGAATTATATGACCAAACTAATGAATTCTGATGTTATGTCATCCTCTATGTTAAGTTTGGGAAATAAAGACACAGATGAAGTTATTATCATTTCTGTAAGTATCAACTACTTTTATTATTTTGTAGTTATTTGTTAGTTATTTAACTATTTCTAAAAAATTTAATATGTCTCGCAAATCTTATTTTTTGAAATAGGATTATAAATTCCTGAGAGGAAATATAGTTTCAAAGACCTAATTTAGAATATATTATTGATATTCTATAATCAAATTTATTAAATCAAAATGTATGCAGAATAGTGGATTGATTAGATAATTCAGTCCATCCCCTCCTGAAGCACTATTTATTTTTTTGTTATTCAAGCATTGATCTCTTTGCTTAATATTTAATGCTTATTTACTTCATAATAATATTATGGGACAATGTATTGGGAAACACAGTAAATTTTATTTGTATTGATTTTTTGTTAATTTATTTTTAAAACGATCATTTGAATATTTCTAAGGCTGAGGTCTTGGCATCTGTAAACATTTAAACAGTCTAAATGTGGGTTTCCCAAACCGGGGCCCACCGAGACTTCACAGGGGATCGCAACTATGTGAAAAGAGTCAGATCGATCGTTAATAAAGATTGATTTCAATCAAAAAGCGATTGCATCTTTTTGGTTGATCGTGTGGACTAATATCTGTTGCTGTCAGGAAAGGCAATTTCAATTTTATTGCCTTTTTGAAACGACTTACCTGTGTGAAGCAGCATTTTTCGCTCTTACCAAAGTGATAACAAAAAATATAGGTCAAGATAGCCAATGATATATCCAGCTCTCTATTCTACATTTATTATAATGACCTCCCTTCAACCTTTCATATTTTACAGTTTGGTTCAAATTTACCGGAAATAAATACTCAACATCCACTGGAAAAGCTCATAAAACATAATACTGATGGAAATAAAATTCATCCAAAAACAACTCTGGTGGATAGAATCATTGAGTCTAATCTCCAGACAAATTTATATGAGTGAGTATTTTGAGTATATATAAGGAACGACTTCGGGTTTGGACATTGCGTTTGAATTATTTAATAATGAAATATCAGATACAGAATGGTAATTAGGGTAGTATTGGATTTATTATTATTATATTACTCCTTATATAAAAATAATATCATCTCACTGCTTCAAGTCTCGTCCAAATCAGTATTTTTAATGCACAATTCTACACAATAATGATTTATAGTCTAAGTAGCTCTTGGCTCTTGAGTGGTCGTTTGTAACTTCGCTAAGAGATCAATCTCCTATCTGAGTGAAATTTTGAAATTGCTTGAGGAAATTGCCTGATAAAAACGAAAATATATGTGGATGGGTTTTTTTGATTTATTCATTGGGCTTCTTATTGATGTCTATATCCCAAGGGCATATGAACAACCCTTTACCCTACTTCATTATTCATTTGGCATAGGACAAATTTTCCTGATAATTAAAATTCATTGATTCCCGATTTTCCGGTAATGATGCAATTTAGTATAAGGTTATTATGGTATATCCGATATTTCATATTCTATATATTAATTAATCAGTTTTGTCCACCCATGACAAACATTTTTTTACTCTACAGAAAGCATCATCCATACACAAACGATTACTGGTTCTCCGATTATTATGATGATTTTGATCATTTCGATAATCCAAATTTAGAAACGGAATTTGAAGAATGGTGGAATTGTTTTGTCAAGTAAGTTTTTAGTTTTGATTCTCAATGATTTGAAAATTGTCATTCACAACTTGCATTGATTGTATTTTGCATTGATATTGTCTCCCTTCATGCTTATACGTAATAGAGTGTCATGAAAAAGATTCTTCATCGCAGTGTTTAACTGTTGGGGTCTACTCCATTTTTATATACTTTTATCTGCTATCGAGGTATTTTGGTATAATGTACTTGTGCTTGTGGGGAGGTGGTCTAAGCATTTAATTTTATTTAGTCTCAGGTTTAAATCCTATACCCATCATGGGTGTAATAAATTGGGTCGATAATGCTGAATCGAGAAAATTTCTAAAAAAAATTTTTTTTTACGGTAAATAGTGTTTTAAAACATTGTACATATGAAAAATTTCAAAAGTCATTTTGTTTTGCATTTCATTGAAACAAATACCTTCACATATTAAGACACTAAAACATTCAAATTCATTTTCATAAATTCACGGAATCCTTTGTTTAATAATTCATCAGCTGTGGTTGACCTTATTGTCTTGATCAGAACATTCTTGTGTAGTACTTATTTACTGATTGTGGTTTTATAATGTGCAATTCTCGTTATTTTTCAATATACGGTATCGGTATATTCAACTGGTAATTATGTACATGATTTTAAAATGACTGGAATGTTTCCTTTTACATTAATCAGCAATCTACATATTTTGTGAAACCATGAATCCGCTACAAATTTCATTTCTAAATGATTGCTAAATTATTGCCCTGAACTGAAGATTGATTTGCTAAAATGTTTTAAAAAATCATTTTTCTGTGCAACTAATTAGACCAATCGATTTCAGTCACGATATTTCTTCCAAAATTATTCAATTTTTACACATACTGCGCCACAACACAGCCTTCCATCTGGTTATTTCGCCATATTTTCCACAAGCCTGATGCTCGGCTAAGATGTCGATACTAATGTGAATTGCCACAGCGGTTTTTATTGTATAATTTTCTCATTTGTGCACTCAACTATATAAGAAAAGACCGGTGATATCATAATGAACAATACTGTCTTGATTAGTGAATAATTACCAGCTGGGCAACTTCAACTCGCACTTTTTTGTGGTTAGTCAGTTTTCTCTTCACCCCAAAGTTAGAGGCGCTGAAATTTATTCAGGCCAATGTGAAATATATTTTCTGAAAAGGCCGGACCCCAGTAATTTTGTGTACGAATCTTTTGTAACAAAGTGTGTCTCTGGCATAGGCTACTGCTGTTGGAAATTTGATTTTCATGGTCATAATATATTCGACCATTGCACTCTTTCTTATTCATTATGTTTTGTCTTTTATAAATTACAGGAAAGCTGGTCTTCCCGAACTCGCGTTGTTATTTTTTTGGATGTCAACAATGATTTTATTAGTAATGTGTTGTACGATGCAATTTCCATCAAAGAAAAACTCAACTAAGGTAACTAAATTAGCCATTTTTGTGGTTTTAACAACATGACATTGATTTAGGCTTTTTGTGAGATCATGACCTTGTTGCATAGGGTACTTGAATTAATTATTAAATAGCTAAATGTGGTCTGCATAGAAAACTGCCATCGTCAAGCAATGCTTATAGATTTAAAGTGGGGATTTCGATAATTTTCCTTTGCTAAACATGAACGAGCATGGACCATGTTACTGAAGTTTTTATTTTTGTTGTATGGTGCATGCTTAGTGAAGATCAAATTATGTATTTTTTCTATGGTAATTTTAAAGATATACCTATATATTTTTCATACATATATTTGATGTGCAGACACTAATTTAAAGTCAGTCAGTGTGTTATGTGTCAGTGTTATGAAGTCAGTTCTCAATAAATCTTATTCAGGTTTGTTTCATTTTAATCAGTTTTTAAGTTTCTTTAAATTCATTCATTCCCCTTTATATACCCACCATTAGATGAACAGAGCACATCAAAGTTTTTTTTCTGATTTAATACAGGACTTAATTCCCATAGTGTATCGGTGTATCCCACTGAGGTAATATATTTTTAATCCTAATAATTTGAATCATATTTTCAAACCTATCGCATTTTTATCATTCAATCTCAAGGGCGAATTGATCATCACCTTACTGTAAAGTTTTGGGTTTTTGTTTCGTGAAATAAATATTGCAATATTGAAATAATTATGTGAAATAAATATTGCATGGACCTATCTCATGCTCATGCATTTCAATGGAAATGTGTCACTCTAATTCCACTAATGATATGTACGGATTTTATGTTACCCCGAGGGCGAATGTCAGTGTTCAAGGCAACCATTTAAACGTAATGGTTGTGCTGTAAAAGAAGCGTCTCATGTTTTATTTATGTCTCACCACATCTGGTGTTTCAAGATTGACATGTTTAACCTGATAACAATTGTCTTTTTTTGGACCACTTCAACGGCTTAATGCAAGAATTTAGTAGCAATGACTATTTTCCTATAAAATAAAGTGGTCTAAGTCTAAATAATTTATTCTACATTCGACACATTGATGCATTTGAAGTTTCCAGCTTTATATAATTCAAATCCCTAATCCAAGTCCATTCATCTGAGACAAATAACTGGATAATTATTCCTGTACACAACATGAAATTGTAACTGTTTTTTCTCTCCCCTGTGATAAATATGAAAGTATCATATCCTCTAATTTTTAACTCTGATTTTCAAACCATAAATTCAATGGCAGTGCATAATTTTCAAATGCGTATTTGGATATCTAGAATAAAAGTTTGTAAAAAAATTTTTCCTGATTTTACAGTTAAGCATTCATGGTGATCTCGCTTACATAAAAGAAACAAAAGGTCACATTCCTGATTTTCTACAAGTATATGGACACACTGGCGTTGATGTCGTACGGTTTACTGAAGTAAAAAATTACAAACCAGATGAGAAAATACCATTATCAGTCTCGTTTTAAAACAACACAATTTTTGGATTGGAACTCTCTTGAGCTTCAAGAAAGCGTTTGGGAATATTGTTGGTGAAAACCTCTGAGTTACCTTACCAAGTATATTTTATTATGGTGTATGATTTTCAATGGTACAGCTATTTACAACTTATTAAATAGTAGAGCTGCTCCCAGGGTGTTTCAAATGCTGTTTTACTATTGTTAGGTTCACTTCCTAAGTAATCTACATTTTGCTGCTTACTGGAGTATTCACGTTTGAATTGGTCTCCGAAAATGATCAAGTTTAAGCTTATTATTCGGGGTACTCGCTAGAAAAACAGAAAATTTGTCAAACAGCAATATTTTTCACAAAATATAACTTTGACAACATTTTTTTAAAGGTCTATGTTATGCTACACTTATAGATGCTCAAATGTCGTCAGTGTACTTCAAAGCAATGTCTTAACCCAGAAGTCCAAGTCTTGTGCAGCGTTTTGAAGATTAATTTGTGTATACGCATTTTATTCATGGTGTCATCTGACCTTCAAATTTTCTACTTTTCTAAGCGACCACCCTGTATTAAAGTATTACGTACATCATTGCTCTTCCTTGCTCATTGCCTCTCCCACTACAGGGTGTTTGTTAATTTCAACCAATATCATTTTCTTTCTCTTCTAGAATTTATCTAGTGTCTGAATTTAACAATCCTTAACTAATGTGCATTGTGTAACCTTTAGATTTACAGTGGAACGTTTACAGCTTGTATGTATCTATCAATATATATATCAAATGTTAAACGTTGGTATTTTTGTTTTGAGTGTTTTTTTGGTGAGCTATGTGTTTAGGTTCTTATGAGTAGACATAAGTGTCGAGTTGCAGAAATACACTTGTCTAGTAAAAATTTAGGTTCACGGTTGGTAAATTTTCTGAAGTACATGGTGGGAGTAAGTATGGCAATGAACTGCGGATTACTCTGTGTGGTTTGGTAAAGTGCGAGAGAGAATTGCAAGACCTCTCCCAGTAGAGAGTGGCCGGTTCAGGCAATATCAAGATGAACAAGGCCCAACCTTCAGAATAAAAGAAGTTTACAGATAAAAGATTGGATTTAAAGGTTGACGATCCTTTACGGGTATTTTGCGAGGATTCGATCCTTTTATGAATAAAGTTGTGGATGATGGAACAGAGCGCAGAAAAGGCGGGACGACTACAACTGCTGAAATGGTGGTTGTGCGTGTTCGATATTAATGTTGGAAGCATTGGAAATGATTCGATTTTAAATTGAACTAATCGAAAACCACAGAAGAACCCGATTCAACAATTCTTTCAAAACGTTTAAATTTGGCCTGTACAGATATTCCGTACTGGATTGTCTAAATCAGGGGTTCTCAACCTATTTTTTAGTTAAGTACCCCCCGAGTCACGAAGCAATCAACGCGAACCCCCAATAATCAGACACCAAACAAAGTTGTGATATATTGACTGACAATTTGCTGCAACGACAATTTATTGATCAACTGCTGTAACTAAATTAAATATTCGTGTTGATGTTATTGCGCTTGTCCTCAACCCAACTAATAAATTCTTGAAATCTTTCTCAAGTTTCGATGAGCATATCACTTTCTGCATGCTCGCAGTACATTGTCTTTTGAGGTTTCACAGTTTGGCTGAAAAGCTGTGCATTTCACATTGTTGCGTCACAATCACAACAACGCTAGATCAGTGAAAATTTACGCAGAGTTTCAATTGGCATTCATTTTCATCTGGTAGTTACTCAGTTTCCCTTTGTTAGAGGATATTAAAAAAACTCGACTGCCATCCAAGTACCCCTAAAAATCGTCTCGTGAACCCCAGGTCGAAGGTTCAATACAGCCCAAAGGTTCAATAAATTCGCGTATCTTTAGTTCGTTTATTTCAGGCCCAAGCCTTGTTTAATTAACAACGTTTGTGTTTTTTGTAATTCTTTTTTGCGTGTGTGCTGGTGGGCGTGCGCATGATATTTCTTATGTTTTAAACTTTTTTTAAAGGTTTTGCTTGCTCCCCAGAATTATCATTTTATATTTTGTGTGTACTATGGAGTCTTCAAATAAAATCTATCTATCTATATCTAACAAAATTTAGGATTGTATGTGTATTTTAGAAAATATCGCTGTGGAGCGTTTAAGGACAATACTCCACGATTTTGTTGAATTTAACTTCAACGTACCCATCTTTCAAACAACTTGTTGGTTTCCCCCGACAACATTTACTTATCCAAATTTATATTTTCAACACAATCTACAAAAAGGATGCCAATACGACATCATCTAGCACAGTGGTTCTTAACCTTTTTCAGTTCGCGGACCGGTAAAATTTCAAAAAAAATTTCGCGGACCTGCGGACCTTCAAAATAAACCAAAAATGCATTGAACACAAAACATATACAAAAGGATGCAATTACGACAAAAATAGGCGGTGCAAAAGAAGACAATCCAATTCAATGAGAAATTTACTGCTGTCTTCTTCATATTATACGTGTTGAACGTAGTTCTAATGAAGTTTGTGCAAGGCAAAGTAGAGCGTTGACTTCCACGCGATTTCGTTAGCTTTGCGGGTTTCATTGCGTCGTTTGAAAGAATTTTGGCGCAGACTAGGCACGTAGGAAGTAGTACTTTTTCGCTGCTGGGAGCAATATTGAAACCTAGCTCCAAATACTTATTATAGTGCTCAATAAAATATCCCTCTCGTTTTTTGCTTGTTTCCGTATGATCCATATCAATTTAGCTGCAACTTGCAAGGTCGTTTCGGGGTATGTTGTAAAGTTGAAGTAGCAGTCTCTTCCTGTAAACACCACTAACTTGGTGTTCACCGCTGGGTTTCTTTTGAAACGTGAAACGTGTTTCCCCGAAATTGAGACATACCATGAAAATAAGGCCTAGCCTGAATTTTAAGAAATATTTTAATATAAGCCCTCGCCTTAAAAATGAGACCTAGTCAATAACGCGAACTTTTTTTTGACCTGGTCGATATCAAGAAATCTCTCCTACACGTTTTAAATGATTGATAAGGTGACCGTACATTTGAACCCATGTACATTTGAACCCATGCGTATATCCACGGGTTCAATCTATATGCGGGTGCTAAAACCCATGGGTTAGGGTTAGTATGGGTTTAACTATCCGTGAAACAAAAAAAATTTCATGGGTGCAATAGCATACAGGTGCAATTGTCATGGGTTCAAATGTACGTGGGTTCAAATGTAATGGAACCGATTGATAATCTATGTTTCGCAGCTGTTCTGAATAAAAACGTGGTATTTATAAGTAAATGGATATCGGTTTTCATACTTTATATATATTTTTGCAATTATCGTAATTCTTTACTTTCGAATTTTATTTTTTATAAATAAAAATAGAAGACATTCCCCGAAAACAAGCCCTAGTGTTATTTTTCGGAAAAATATTGAAAAATAACCCAGTCTTATTTTCGGACAAACACGGAATGTGCTATCAAACTCCTCAAAAAAATAGCTCAAGGAATTTGTTGGGATTGCGATAAAATTGAGTTTTGGCATGGGGCTTATCGTTTTCCACTTTTGCTTTTGTAGCACTGCAAATATTGTCCATAAATGTAACTTTCACATTTTACTCCATACTTCCATGGTCCGCCAGTCTAGATGGACAAAATTGTTGGCCCCCGGTCTGAAAACCTTGCCCACCCCTGGTCCAACAGTTAGACGAATAACGGTACTACGAATCAATAAGAATTAGGAAAAAAACACAAAACTAACGGACATGCCGTCAATACTCTGTATTATAATATTGCTTATAATATATTAATATTGGAAAATATTTGGCGGACCGGCGGTTGAGAACCACTGATCTAGCACCATCCGAATGTAATAATACACGGCAATGAGCCAGTAAAATAAAGATGTGCAAGTTCACTGCTACTTACCACTAAGGATGCCTAGTAAAAGTACTTACAAGTATTCGATTCTTATCCGATTCCTAAATTATCGATTCCGATTCTCAATTCCGAATCTCGATTCCTCGACATATCTTATCGAAAAAACATACCCACCTAAGCAATACCATAAAAAATCAAACAAGAGCACGATGTTCAAATTTTGGACGGACAAGAAGGCTGAAACTAAGTAGTATGGGTATCCAATCTGTCACAGGAGACAAAATCGCACAAAAAAACGAATCCCTCACAACCCACAGAGATTTTTAAAATAAATAAACGTTAAAGCCCTACAGCAAAATGTATATATTATATATATATTATATAGTGAAGTTTGCGTCCTCGTAGCAACTCAACATAGCAGTAAGCAGTTTATACATATATGAGCAGGAATTGCCATAAAACGTTAACCATTGTTTGCAATCCAAGGTTTAAACTCGAGAATCGATTCCAGTGCATCGGAATCGATTCGCGGAATCGATTCTGTAATCGAATCTGGACTCGATTCCGCCATCCCTACTTACCACTGTCAAAACCGTTAGGGCACAAATTACGCCGTTTGCACAATGCTAATGTATCTAAATGTGTTCACGTCAGTGAAATACTCGATGGCGGTACCAACGTCAAGAGACAGTTTTGTGATCTTTTGCGGGTGCCTCGAAAAAATCGTTTCCCACACTTGTCACAATTGTACGAACCTTACTTCATATACCTACTCTCACCTTCTGACTAACTAAAATAGTATAGGCTATATATATATATATATATATATATATATATATAGGCTACATCCAGTGGTGAGATTCAATTTTTTTGTCAGCCGGTTCCATCACAAAAGTCATATTTTTCAGTCGGTTCTGTGACAAGTTATTGACAGTAACCAGTAATGCTAACCGGTTCGCTGATCTCTTAAAATTCCGTGAGACGGTTCTATGGAACCGGTGCAAACTGGCTGAATCCCACCACTGTATACATCCCAACCTAGAAAAAAGCATAAATGCCACTTCATAGGCTTACTTTTACCATTTGTTCCATGGTGCATAACCTTAGCCCGAAAAGTGGTATAAGTGTTAAACAATGAGGAAAACTGTGGCAAATTGTAACAAACATGGAACAAATGGGATAAAAGTATGATGCAACATCTTCGGACGCCGATTTAGCACTCTTGAGACTGAACGTGCTTTTTCAGGCCATGATTGCTATTCAAATAAAATCAGCAGCAGTCTTAATGATAACAACGTTAGTGCGTGCTATTTATGAGTTAATGTTACAAGAAATAAATTTTGAAAACTCTCACAACCCAGGAATATGCTCAAATACTAAACGTGCAGTACTTTTACGACCAAATTTAAATGAATTTGTTTGCCATCAACGGGTTTTTGAAATCGACGCGTGTATTTACATGAAAAATGAATGCTGCCAAATTATTACGAAGGGTTACTCCCCACACATGTAATTACTATTGAACAACACTTCAATACCAAATATAAAATAAACAATAAAATTCACTATAGAATAAAATTAGTAACTTTTAGGTTTATATATATATATTGAAAAAGGCAAGCGACCAAAGAATTTTTTTTACGAAGACGGACAAATATTGCTTTAGAGTTGTCAAAATTTTGGTTACTTAGCTAAAAAAAATGCCAACCAGCCAAGAAAATGTGAATGAATAACAAAATATGTAGAGGGTATTTATACATATCAATTCTGATATTTCCTATTCTTACCAAACACACGCCGACTTGATTTTAATATGTTTGATCCTTTATTAGGTGCTTATCAAAAACGTTTTTATCATTTCCGAATATGTTTTTCCAGCAAGCCATAAACATGATTTGAGTGCGCCAACTTTTGATTGCTTGTGCTATACGCTTATTAGTTCAAGCTTTCCGTGTGGGTTGTGGACGTTAAAAATAGCTTATATATACAAATATTTACAATGTGATATTTTAAGGATAATTGTTCAGAAATAATGCTGCGATAAAAATCAAAAACCACGAATTAGTAACAGAATGTCGTGGAGGAGTAGAAAATGTAATATTATGCTTTCTATAAAACACGCTCCTGGACGATCCGGTAGAAGATGACGGAGAGCAATAAAGTCGCGTGAGCTTGCTTCTTCCTAACGCATCAGTGGTAATCAAGAGTTGGAAAATAATTAACTCGACCTACGCGTCATCCTCGTCCTATATGATTTACGCATACGTTGATCAGACTTGGTAACCCAGACATTTACATCCGTAGTTAGCCATATCGTCGTAATTGTCCACCGGGAATTAAACGAAGGTACTGAGACCAGACTTCAGATACTTCACCGTGGAATCAAACTAGTTTAGCAAGCAAGATGGCAACAAACAAGGTAATGTATATAGTTTATGGTGTTTTATCTATACTAGATTTGCGTCATATTCGTTTGATTTTTGATGGCCAGTGTCAGAGAGAGTCCACCGAAGCTGTGGTTTTGATACATTTTCCACCGTAATGCCATTTCCAATCCCGGAACTAACAAGCACACGTTATATCTAGCCATGTCGTATTGTCATTGCAAAATATTTCCGAATTTTGCTCTTATAGATGTACCTCCTTAAAAGTAACAAATTTAATTGGCCAAATAATGAATATTGCAGCACGTGTGCAATGTTGAATATTTTGGTTCTTGACTTGTGCCTTGCTTGAACTATTTTAAGGCAGCGCCGTTTTCTTAAACCATAATTTTAGCTAAAAGTCATTTAATAATATGTGTATATGTCCATAGTTGATTATCAACGATTCCGCTCCAGAGGGTTAAAGTGAGATAGATATTCTTCATTGTAGATAGACTTTTGAGCAATGGTTAGTCTAATATTTTTCCGCATTGTAATTAATTCAAAATATCAAATGGGAATTGAAGATTTGGTTATATACCAAGTAATTTGATTTGCTGAATAGGCATTTACAATGTAATATAAATCGATTCGGAATGTTTCCGATCCGGTAATATTTACCTAAGGTCACATGAGCACGTATTGGAGGTCTTCCAGAATTATATTATGAAATTGTATTGTCACATGAAATAACCCTGATATCTTATGAACCAAGATAGGAGAAACAGCCCATATTATCGACCAATCTATTGAATCAAAATTTAAAATAAAACATCGAAAGGGCGCGATATCCAATGGTAAACAAAGTGTGGATTGTGAGGGTCAATGCTCTCATAATCAACCTTATCATCTTTATCGCAAGCAAATACGTACAATACCATAGCAGTAAACTCAATTATAGTTTGAAATTTGATCTAACTGCATGAAATACCTATAATTTAGCCCATTCATTGATTCCATTCCGATGATTTTTATGTACGATGCCCATATTATATAAATAGTCTATCTATACACAACCTTCATCTGCATATATATATATATATATATATGTTACATTTTCCAGCCAACTGTTGTTCCTGTGGATCACTTCGATCCTGCCGAAGATTGCCGACGTCTTCACAAGGCCATGGCGGGTATGGGTACGAACGAAAAGGCTTTGATAGAAGTTTTAGCAAAGAGGTAAGGTATTTAGTTGCAATTGTGACATAGTAAAGTCACCGATCACTAATGTTAAGCAAACCCGACTATAGACGACCATAAGAGTGGTCGACACAGAAATTACTGTTAGCATTGTCTTGTCAAGATGCTTTAACTCACAAAGTATTAAACTGCTTATTTATGCAGATCTGCCGCTCAGCGACAGATTCTCATAAAGAAATACGAAGAAGAATACAAAAAACCATTGATCAAAACTTTACAGAAGGAATTAAGAGGAGATTTTGAAAAGCTAGTTCTTGCTTGCATGGATGTAAGTCATCATTTCGTGTTTGATTACAAAAGTCATTGTATTGCTTCCTCAACGCAAGTGATATTAAACACTTTGAGACTGAAAGCCAACCTAGTTGCTCATTGTTTAAAAATACAAGAGTTGTGGGGTAAAAATGTATTTGAATAGAATAGACACTTCCACCTCAACTGAAGAAAATTTAAAATAATTGACCCAGTATTTTAACATAATAACAAAACAAATAACGACCCAGAAATGTACTCAGTTACAAACATTTGTTGTTACTGAATTTGTCAATACAGGTTGTTCACCATTTGGGGACGAAAGCTAACTGGGCCCTAGCCCTAGTAAATTTTAGTCAGGTTCATATTTTTCTGCCGAATTATTTGTATAAGACCATAAATAAGTGTTATTCTCATTCAAATATTTTATTCCCTTTATTTTTCACTGTTTTTAAGCGTTTTAGCAGGGTTATTGGTGTTTTTTGACGGTTTTTCACTGTGGTCATCTTTTCCATTTCCAATTACTTATACTTTTAATATTTTCAACAACTTCTGTTTATTCTGAACATACTTTCTTTCACATTCAATATCACAAATCATTACCCACGTTCACAAAGATAAAATTACAAACACTTAGATTCGCCATTATCTCATCTTTCTTTGACCAAATTGGTATTTTGTGGTCACAAAATAGGAAACATCATTTAGAATTGTGGAACACCATAAAAAAAATTCTAATATACTGAAGTCAATGCATCTGTAATATTTTTCTTCATTTTGTTGAAGTCAAACATGATTATTTAAAAATGATTGTTTTGACAGCTTCCTGCTGTAATGGAGGCAAAGAAAGCACAAAAAGCTACAAAAGGGATGGGAACAAACGAAGCAGCACTGGTAGATGTCGTCTGCACCAAGGATAATACTGAAATTGAAAAATTGAAGGTGAAAATGTAATTATGAAATTGAACTTTGCACACAAATCTTGGTGATATATGAATTCGTTAAACATACAAGAGAGCGAGGCTGGAATATATAGACACGGATGCCAAATGACAACATAATTCCCGCCAAGAATTGCAACGAATGTTATTCCGTTAAATAAAAAACAACAGCAAAATGAGGGGGAAAATATCGGGTCCCGTATATTTCAACGAGATAACGGCAACGAGAGTAATAACAACAATCTTGGGAAACGATGCACAGACACTGACAATCGCTTGTGAATTTACTGTTCTACGATCTCTAACTTTGATCTATTATTTTGTTTCCTGACAGGCTGCCTATCAACTCGTATTTGAGCGTAGCTTGATCGAAGATGTTCGCAGGGATACTTCGGGAGATTTCCAGAAAGTTCTTCTAACGATTCTTCGATGTGAACGATCGGATTCTGATAAAGTCGACGAAGAAGAAGCAGAAGTTGAAGCTAAAGCTTTATTCAAGGTACAAGTTACTTGTGATGCGATTAATCAAGAAGGAATTAGTTCAAGAAAGCACACAAATAAGTAAATGAATGTAATTTACAGGCAAAATAATCAGTCACATGTACAAGTAAGGTATAAAAAATGATACTATTTGTAAATTCACTCAGACTGCGAATTCGTTCCTCCTCTGCCACTGCAAGGTTGAATAATACCATGCAATCGTGGGTTTACCTTTCCATTTTTGACATGAATTCTCCGCTTCTTCAGCTAGGTTGCCCAATTTAGAGATGAAACTCACAATAAAATGAGATCGGTTTTTCATAAAGAAAATCCAATAAAACGCATAGAATTTAACGCTAAGTAATACTTAACACGACGCTTCATTTTTCCTTTTCAGGCTGGAGAGGGCAAACGTGGAACGGACGAAAATGTTTTCACCGAAATTTTGTGCAAACGTAACTTTTGTCAGTTGAGAGAAATTTTCAAACAATACGAAAAGGTTATTAATAACATTAATAGTTTTGACTGTTTATAACGACAAAAATATTTTGAATGTAACAAACATTATCACACTATGTCACATCAATCAGTGCTCATCTATGAGCTGGAGAAAAACGTAAGAAGAGATCCTTTGAAATGGTTTTCAAATAGGCCAATTTGTAGATATAAAATACCATATTTATAAATAAGAATAAATTAATATTCCGAGTCTTTCATGCAGACCATCACAACTCTGTGGTTCTGGTGCTTTCCCAAATATGCCAAAAAATGTTTCTAAAACATGTTTAATTTACCAATAGGTTGCTGGGCACGACTTTGAAAAAGCTGTCAAATCAGAAACCTCAGGAGACTTACAGAAAGCTTATTCCACAATTGTATCTGTTGCTAAAGGCGTGCATGAATATTATGCTGACAAAATTGAAGCTTCTATGAAGGGAATGGGTACAAAAGAAGTTGCTTTGATACGTTACATTGTGCTGAGGCTTGAGGTATGTGTCATACCACAGTAAGTAGAAATCTATCTTAAATACTGTTATGTCAACCCCGATGCCTTTCAATACACTATTGCAATTACTTCACTTTATTATGGCCATGCCTAAATATATTTAGATCAAGTCTATCTCTAGAGTCCAGATCAAAGTGGCAACTTACATTATGCTTCAAGGGACTGGATGATCTCCAGCAGTTGTGTTAAACATTAATTTGTTTTGTAAATTATTAGTGCGTTTATATTTAGTAAACCATACAAAATTGTTATGTCGTGTGCAAGTCAACTAAGTCAAGAGTTCCTATAACATTGATTTTTCATCTGATTTCACATCAATTTAGAACTTTGAGTCTGCTTTAAAAAATAGTGATTAAATAAGATTTCCTATCCAGGCATTCCCATTTTTGTATACAGAAACAGATATTTTATTTTACTCATATTTTCTGGAATTTAGAAGCATTGCTTCTTATCCCTTTGATATTAAGATTACTGTATTTATTTTGTTGCCCAAAATAAATTATTAGGGATTGAATGTCCATTCGATATCACCTTGAAGCCATACATTGAAACCGGTGTGCGACAGAAATACAGCGCACATGAGTTTGGATTCAAGCTGATTCCTGATTCAGTTGAATACTCATTTGTCTCACAATTATACCCATTGCCAACGTATTTATTTAGGTTGACATGGTTAACATCAAAGAGAAATATCATCAAAAATTCAACAAAACATTGGAGCAAGCAATTACCAAAGAAACAAGCGGTGATTTCAGAGCAATGCTTCTAGAGCTGATTTCATAAATATGATTAGGCCGGAAGGAACATTCATCATCTTTAAACCAGAATTGTGACGTCCAAAAATTACATTCACGATTTATTGATCGTGGAACTTTTATAAAATACTTTGAAATTTGCAATAATTTCTACAATAGCATAAATCCGATACCCGAATTTGTTATATTCAAACATATTGAGTATCATTCATTTTTTCTTATACCTAAATTAATAATGTAAATCCTGGGTCGATATTCTGATTAGTTACACAATATTGTTCATTTACGTATTTGGATATGCTACTAATTAGAAGCAAAAATAAAAAATCGATAGTTATAGGATGATGTCTTAATGTTGATTTGAATTTGAATATATCCTTTATCTCACCTGATTCGGGTTTAATCTTTTGATGGAATATTTTTTGAGTGCTTATTTATTTTGTGACGCATCATCACTATTGGTGAAAGACATATTGATTAGAAAATACAGTGCCTTATATGTCAATAATAAAGAAAATTGATAATGAAGTTTGTCATCGTGCTTATAAGGATCTGTAATGAGAAAAATGAGGTTTTTAGATAAATCACAATGTATTTGGTAAAGTGATGACAATTTCAAGAGAGTGTATTGAACAGATAAGAACTCCATAACTTCATATATTTCGAACATGTCGCATCCGATATGGGGATGGTTATATAGTCCATAAGCACTGATTCGAATGTGTTTCCACACCCTAACTAAAATTTGAGGCATTCGAGTATCAGATGTGACGATATTGAAAATGACTGGCGCTCAAACTAGCCTTTTCCTTCGTCGTCCAGCGCACTTGTTGGGCATCAAGCTCGCCAGCGGTCTTCTTTGTTGGACCATCGCAACAACTGTATACCAAAAGTCATGGTCATCTCAAGTTTTCCTGGATGCAAAAATATGATGAAATATATTGTATTTCGCAAAGAAACTAGGAATCCTTCTACAATACAAGTATTATTTTTATGATCATATATCATGTAGTGTAATTGTGGTAAGAATTCGAGGAATCGAATAAGAAAACAGGCCCAAGACGCCACCTGCTATACGTCACTGATATAGCCGTTACATTGATAACTGACTGCCGCAGAGTTCAGTTACCTATCAATGTAATCACGCAAACACCCGTGTAAACAAGAGTGCGTCTGTATCTCAACGACCCACTCCACGAACGAACATAACGTCTAATGTATTAGTAAATATTGTGTGGGCTGGCAAATAGTAACTGATTAATCTGTTATATTTTTGTCGTGTAGGAATTATAAATGGACCTTGTCAAAATCGTAAATGGCTCGAACTTGATTATAGATAAAGTATAGAGTTTGTAATACATTGCAGGAGAATCTCAAAATTGTGTTTCGAAATCTTCAAATGGGCGTTGCCTCTACGTGCAAAAATTGTAGAATTCTGATATTACTCATATTCATTTACACATTAGCCACGTCCAATAATTTTGAATTCGTTCAATTACCGTATTATCATGGATCATCTTTTACAACTCCGTAGGGCCGAATTTTCTGACAGTCTACATTGTTGAATATAAACAATAGAGCAATGCTCAACATGGACACAGAGGCCAAAATGAGGTAAAATAAAATCTTACAGGGTTTATACTTGATATTACTCTTTCTTTCTTTTATATTTTACGTAATTCACAAAAAAGCAACATATAAAACTCAACAAAAAATACAGTAAGTATGGTGCCACTTCACGTAAATATATGTGAGAGGTGTAATGGTATATATATATTGTTCAATTGATGCATATATGGCTTATAATATTAATAATACCACTCATTTATTTATTAACAAGTATTTCGTAATTGAGATAAAACATAATATATATACATAATATCAATACAATTACGCTTTTTTGATTCCTAAAATATAAACTTAAAAATATCCGACATACTAACAAATAGGCAGGTAATAATGCTAATAATAAGACAACATTAAGAGAAAAACATCATTTGAAATCAGGTATCATGCCTTCAAACTTGGCTGTTTTCGAGCAAACTCTCGTCAGAATCAGTCACGTTGTCTGATCCATTATTTTTACTTTGTTGTGATATGCGATGTTTGTATACTTTGATGAAAGTAGCAATAATAACAAGAAGAAGTAACGCTAGAACTGCTATAATAATGTAAATCCCAGTTTTTTGATGTGTATTTTCGATGTGTTTAACACTGGTTTTTACAGTGTTGATTAGGGTAAAAAACGACGGAGTATTGGTCGTTGCTTGATCCGTAAAATCATTTTTCGTCGTTGCGCTGGGTGGCATGCTTTCACAAAGTCTATAAAGGTAATACAATTGAAATTTTCATGGTTTCAGAAATTTCTTACTTCCCAAATGATGTATCACACAATTCAATCTCTATATACTGCTCTAGTTAACATTACATCAAATTTTAAGGTTTAGGTATGATATATATGGAAGGTAATTGATTACTTAGTTTATTCAGATAAATACTTGGGATTCAGGCTTGTGGGAAATCAGTGATTATCGGAATGTAAGCTAATGAAAAAAAATGAGACGAACCTTTCATGTTGATTGCATGCATTTGTCATCACATTTTGCTGGCAACTGGTCAGTGAACCAGTGCAAGCAGAACATTCATTGTTATACGAATCCTAGTAATATCTAGCATCACACTGATAACACCCAAATTTGTTATCTTTGTAGATCCATCTCCTAGAACCATACGGATTTCCACAAGGATCACCAATCTACAATGAAATACGTTATCGTGGATTAGCCTTTAATTGCTTTATGTTACTGGTTGCTTAAGTTAGAAAACCCGCGGTGTTTTTGTATGAAGTTTGAGAAAAGCAAGTTTGAAAACCGATTGATGTATACTTTCATTTCGTCTCCAGCATTTTCGACTTTAACCACCTTTTCGTGTAACGAAGTTATTCCCGCGCTTAAAATAGAATCTGCAGTATTTTTTTTTGCTTTGTTGTTAGGACAGTATTTAGTGGTTAAATATATAAAATCTTTCACCTTAATTTTCAATGATGCTGCTTTGCAGTGCATATTGATAATAGCAATAAATATCAATTGAATCCAAATCTTAAACGCCATGGTGCAACTGTATATATAAAAGAATCTAAAAAAATAATAGTGCCTCAGTTATAAAATAAAAATGTTAACAAATCATATGGATGTTACACAACTCTTTCGCATTTGTTGCACGAAAGCTTCGTGATCTAATTTAGTTTTGTAGATATGCAGTTAGGGCGAGAACACTGGATGCACGATCAGGGTTCAAATTGTTATTAGGCAAGGTTGACTGAAACTTAGGGGCTGAAGCCTTAGGTGCCTCTACACTCAATTTTGGGCGCTCCGGAAGTATTCGTACCAAGATGACGCACAATCTGAACAACCCTAACCTGGTACACATACTATGTTCAGGCTGCGCGCCATCTCAGTACAAATCTGTTCAAACAATCTGATTCGTATCAAATTCCTATAGCAGTTGACTAATTAACTAATTTATTATGATACAAAAATTCTAAAATATAAACTCCAATATAAAACAACATATTATTCAGATATTATGTGCTGTTCACTTATGAATACCGGATAATTTGACATAACAGATAAACAACTTTTTCATTAGGGATTTGTTTAGAACGAATTATTTAGGCAACATTCCGATAAAAAGCCAACGTGTGAGTGGTTAAAACTTGCCATTCGCTACATTGTATATTCATTCTCTTATACTGTACAGGCCAAGCATATTTTATAAAGTAGATGTGAGTGTTTGTTTGAGACATGGATTAACTGCATAGATATGTTTCTGTCAGAATTATATCCAGTTTTTATGACTATTACTAATACGAGGAAAGCAGTTTAAAATGGGACAAAGCAAGTTGAATTCCTGCTTTTTTTGAGAGAGAATGAATTCGTTATACACGCAAAATTAATGATTTTCGACATCCGAGGAAATTATTAACTAAATGTTGTTTGTATAGCGATCGTGAATTGAAGAACAAATTACCAACGCTGATTAGCTCGTCTCATCTGCCAAACTACTTTGAAAATTCGTCGGGAGAGGAAGCATACCTTCGTGCATCAAGTTTTTATTCGAATACTAAGCAGAAAAGAATCTACACATCAAGATGGGAAATATGGAAATGCGCGTAAGCTTTGAATTATTAATTATTCTACTTTTAATATTTCTTAACTTCCTGACCATACATTCTAAAAAATGACAAAAAAATGATTGGGCAATTGCTTCTAATATGTATTGGGAAGTAGACGGAAATATTTCGAGTGGTGTCGAAAAATAAACAAAATGAAGAACTCCATTCTTGTATTTTCAGTGTTTCATTTTCTGTTAAGGACTAATCATACCTGATGTATTTATGCATTTGTCCATCTGACACTACTTTATATTTAAAAAAAAAAGTACAGAAATAATGATTATACATTTGGCTCATTAGAAGAATTGTTTATCCGGTTTTATTTGACGATTTCATAATATAAATTTCATTACAATCACGAGAAAATTCAGTGATTTTTGCCAAATGTACACCGATTCTTAATTTAGTCGGAAGACTGATTTTCTGAGCGTAATAAAAAAGGTGTACGAGACTTCGAAGTATGGCGAAACGTTTTTGTGACTCGAGTGAATGTAGAAAAGAACAATACATATTGTCATCATTTGAATCTGTTTTATAGCCCACCGTGACTCCGGTTGATGATTTTAGCCCAGAGGCAGATTGCGAAACATTGAGAGATGCAATGTCAGGACGAGGAACCGATGAAGATGAAATCATGGCAATTCTTGCAAATAGGTTAGCAGAGAATTGGTTTTCATTCCACTTTTCTAATTCTGTGTCGTCTACAGTATGACCTAAAAAAATATAATAAGACTCAAACTTCATCTTAAAAATAGAGATTATGCAACGAATATATATTTAATCCATTATGATGCAGGTCCACCCTTCAGCGGCAAATACTGAAAGAAAAGTATGAGAGTGAATACGGCGACGAATTATTACGAGATCTCAAGAGGGAACTTCGTGGTGACCTTGAGGATTGTATCATGGCTGTCATGGACGTGAGTCGTGCAACTGAGTAATATTTTGGCGCTATTGTATTTGACGGTAGTTTACTTAAGATGAAAAGCAAACAGACTGATAAAAAATTAGTCGTAAATACGACTGCTAAGCTTTTTCGAATCGTCGTGGCCCAAAACACAATTCATGTCCTCGAAAATATGTACATATAAACCTCTCGACTGCCGGGTTAAATAACCCTGGTATTATATTGGTAGCAATCTGAACAATTGCCTTATATATCTCTTAATTTTGCTGAAATGTGATAGTTTTGTTTATTATTCAACAGCCACCTGCAGTCTACGAAGCTAGACAATTAAGAAAAGCCATGGTTGGACCAGGAACTGATGATGAAATCTTGATTGAAATTATTTGCACAAAAAGCAATGAAAGAATTGAAGCAATCAAGGTACTACCTTTATATATCCCCGTTTTGAAACGTTTTCAATGTTAATATTTCAAAATAAAAACATCATGTATTATTTCTTGATAATCGGTTGTCACACCCGTTTTTGATCTGCGTGGGTATTGATTTTGAGTATAGACATTTTTTAATCTATTTTTGTATTTTATTTTACTTGCTATAAAATATTTACTAACTTATTCCTAATGGTACCAGTTGTAGGATCTTCAGTACATTGTTTATTATTGTAATTCAACCGACAGTAGCAAAGCTTTTTTGTAATGTACTTGAAATAACTTTCAATAGGCTGCATACGCTATTGTATTCGAAAGAAGCTTGATGGAAGATGTGAGAGACGAAACATCGGGTGATTTCAAGACTCTTCTTTCCATGATGTTGCTTGCAGAGAGAGACGAATCCTGGGAGATTGACGAAGACGCTGCGGAAGCCGATGCTCAGGCAATTTATGATGTCAGTACAAACATGTTGTAACTTAAAATAGTAAATGCATATTTAACTTTTCAACGGTGTATTAATGCTTACGGTATCTAATTTCAGGCTGGAGAAGGAAGGTGGTTCGGTACAGATGAAAACGAATTCACAAAAGTCTTAGCTTTTAGAAATTATCTTCAACTGAGACTGGTATTCCTCAAATATGCTGTAGTAAGTATTTTTCTATGATGTCACAATCCTTGTTTGTAACTATTAAATTTTCCGTTTCCATAATTGTAACATGAATGAAAAAAGAGGTGTTTCCCATGATAAATTTTGCACGGGTAATCTTGTGATAGTAATATTTTATCTGTATTATTTTATCATGACTTGTTTTTGGTCAATACAAATGCCAACTCGTTTAATGTTTTGTTACAAATCAGTTATTGCAACAACACATATTGCACACACAATACATATATTTATAGAGGTAGCATTATTTACATCAAAAGATAACAATTTGCATCGCCGTTGCCAGCAAGAAATTAATAACATTTCTTGCACCCCTACATACAGATTGCTGGAAATACAATCGAAGAAGCAATTGAGTCTGAAACTTCAGGAAACCTCCAAAAAGCATATCTTGCCATCTGCTCAATCACCAAAGATGTGCATGGTTACTACGCACAGAAGTTACATGATGCCATGCGTGGAGTTGGAACTGATGACGATGCCCTGATTCGATTCATTGTTGTCAGATCTGAGGTTAGCTTACGCATCTTTTATTTTTAAAATATTTTCTATTAAAATAAATTGTGGCATATTTCTTAAATCAAAAAATTTCAACAAAATAGCAAGCTAAAGCGTGATTGAAATATTATAAGTTATAGTAAACTCAACGCATAGAAGTATTCATTATCATAAGATTTTGCATAACGAAAAATTTGCACCGTTGACTTATGAGATTGCAAATTTCAATGTCTACGTATATAACAGTTTTAACTGAAAACAGACAGCAGACAGTATTTAACATATGTTCAGAAGCCAACCGTGAATAAAAAATATAGCTCATTCTATCCGGTTTCGATACTTTATCATAGAGGATTGGTAAATTTTCAAACGTTTGATAAACGTGTGATTTTATGACGATAAAATTTTTGGTTAAAAATTAACAAAGAAGGAACGTGTATTAATTAAAAATAGCCTACTACTTTCTCTTTAACATACCTGGTAGGGCGTTGTACGTGTAATCAACAATAAAAGCAAATATTACGTTGCCCGGTATCAAACGTCATTCTTGCCGACTCGAAATATCCTGTAACGGTTGGTCTCTAGCCCTTTCAGTTTGTCTATCACACGGTTTTCTCGTGACCGCCAAGTGGTCTGATTTTCGTTACACCACAGTTCAGATCAATCATTAATTTCTGGATCAAATGAGTACGATTTTGTAATAACTTTACTCTCCTCAGACACACCCTATTATTGACGCGACACGTTATCGTAATTCAGCCGCGGAAATGATAAGAAGCATTTGTTTTCTGAAGAAAGTTTCAATTTTGAAATCGCGTCAACTATGATATTAAGTGCTAATCGTACATCACCCAAACATATCACGACAACATAATTACAATCATCTCCAACTAAAGTATGATAAATCAGTAAATCGATATATTCCCTAAAGCATTAAAAAAATCGTAGTAAGTCGGCATCGGTAGTGCTCTACCCAATATTCATCATATTCTGATATGCTTACCATTTATATTGCCAAACAACTATTACAGTACTAAACATATTTTCAACATAAAAATACTGAACACCTAAAAAATTCTTGTAAATGAATCACTCTTTCCAAATAATGCATTTTAACAGTTCTTTCAGGATACAATTTTCGTATCAGCGGTGTTTTGTATTCTGAATAAAAAGTACTGCTTAAGTTTGGTTTTTAGATATGTTTCATCTGTACAGCATATCTATAATTTTTTTTTGCCCCAGTTCGATCTTGGAAACGTCAAAGATGCCTACAGAGAAAAATTCGACAACGGTTTGTGGGCAGATATTTCTCAAGAATGCAAAGGAGACTACAGACGTATGTTGCTATCTTTGATTCGTGAAGATTAAAATGAATCCAGCATTGAAATATCTAGTAATTACATCATTTGAAATGTCAATAAACTCGTCTATAATATCCTGCTTTATGTACCCCAATGTATTTTTATTGTACCACCTAAGCTCATAACCTAATCAGCTATTTGTATGTATGTTCAACAAAAATTTTATTGATTCGACAAGTGATATTTATTTTAGTGTGATCCAATTCATTTATTTTTGAAAGTGTTTTCAAAACTTAAATGTCCCATGAATTTTGCTTTAGAATTATAATGTTAACATTCGAAAACATGAAATTTTTTTTAAACAGATTAAAATTACTACGTTTCCGTCCTCGTGTATTTTTGTGATTATTCCATATAGGGAAAGGTAAATGATGTTATGTTGGAGGGTGTGATACAAAGGATGGTAATGACGTTTTGAGATAATCCGTGCTAAGATTTTGCGAGTTTTATTTGTGGTTACTATATCACTTCTTCCAATCACCAGTTAATCACAAATTGTTGTTAATCAATAAGAAATCAAACCAATTTTAGCCGGGGACTCGCGACGTTACTTGAAACAGAGATTCGCTAGAACATGAGCTTAGAAAAGTAAATAATTATTTATTACTATATAGCGGACTTCAATTTTCTTCGACGATCCAATCCAACACTACAATTTCTATCCTATGCTGGCCAAACAAACACGATAAGCATATGACATACGAGTTTGATTGCTAATTTGTGCTTACGCATAATACGCTTTCTGAAATCTTACCAAAAAAGGCCTTTGTTTCAAGAAACTTGATATGTGCGTACAAAAGAAGTCGTATTGTTTTCTCGTGTTATAGCATGTAGCAACAATACAACTGCCCCTCCTATTCTTCGTTCACAATATCGTAAATCGTTCGAAGTCTCCAATGAAAAGAGTGTGTTTTTTAAACGCCAAGGGGTAAACCATGCGGCGATAGTTCAAGAGCGCCGGAAGTCTTTTTAATAGTTGGCAGCAAGAAGGTAAACTGAGTAAAGAATACATTGGTTTCGTTCGGATGGACATTATATACGTGGAACGGCTTGATAATTTATTCCCGGGATTTTCACACAAATGAAGATGAAAACAAGATTACCAGAGTAAAATATTTTCTAAATTATTAGAATATTTACAAAAATAATGCCTCAGAATCGACGAAGAAAATACGACCACCAACTACTAGATGAGTCTGCAATACGATCAGCAGCCTGGATTGCGGTATGTCATATGAGTTGCTGGGCATCTTCTGTTATACTTGGGGCTGTTTCAATATGGCTGAGAGCACAAGCAACTGAAGGAGTGGATAATTCCATATTTGGAGTTGTGGGCTTTGGACTTTGGGGGTCACTCCCGGTAAGTTAATACAAATTTAGTTAAAAGAAATTTTGGTGTGAAATATGCTAACTAATATTTAACGGAATTAATCCGGAGCAAGTGTAAAGAAATTTAAGAATACAGGAATGTTCAAAGAAAATGTTTTTTGTCCAACAAAGAGCAACACAACACAAGTGTATTACATGGACGTATTGCCAATTTTCATTTAAAAAAAGTCAAACACAAATTGTCTCGCACTTGTAACTCGATTGAGTCAATTCAAATCATTGTCAACACTCGAAGTAGAAATGCAAAAACGTTCTATGTCATTGTTCAATAAGGTGGTGCAAGCCAATTGTGCATTCCTATTTTTCATTACTTCATAGGGTGCTCCCGAACTATTCGTACCAAGATGGCGCACAACCTGAACATAGTATGTGTACAAGGTTAGGATTGATCAGGTTTGTGCGTCATCTTGGTACGAATACTAACGGAGCGCCCTTCATAGTTGAGATGTAGCATAAATTTGCACTGAATGAGCTATACGCTCCCTCATATTATTCGTGTTTAATTTCGTGTTTTTCATACAATAAAAGTCTCATTACAGTATAAAGTAACCTTACATATTACAGTACTTGCTGGCTGCTATCTTTCAAATAAGAGTTTCAAAAGTGAAGACATATTCATCAATCTCATGGCTTTTTGCAATCTCGATTTTATGCCTTGTTTGTTCGCTGGCACTGTTTGCATTCTCGTCACTAGCGGTCGCGGTCGAGGCGTCAATCGAGTCTACTCCGAAACGAGTGAGATGGTTTGTTCCAATTGTTTGGTCATTTTGTTATTACGTTGTAGTTGTTCATCTTGTTGCAAGTATTTCTTTTGTTTCTGTTGTTATTATGAAGATATCACTTTTATCCTAAATTACTTGATTTCAATTACTTTTTATTAATTTATTCATGGTAACACGTTTCATGATAGCGTGAGGGCTGTCTTCCGTTTTGATTTTGCAAACTTATGCTTACTTCGCAGTTGATTGTGGCTGGTATTCTTGCCGGATTCTCCGTCATTGAAGTTGCAACATCCATAATCACATGTGTGAGTTGCTTCACAACAATCGGATGCTTCGACAAAATGACAGCCAAGGTTTTGAAATATTTATTTGTGTGTTTATTATTAACACAAGCCCATGTTGATTGGTTGGTTGTGGCAAATTAAATTTATAGCTTTTATGATTTGGAAGTAAAAGTAAAAAAAAAAAAGAATTATGCTGTCAACGATGTATTCGGCTGAATTTATCTCATACGAACAAAATTCTGAAAAATATGTTCAAAAAGTTGCAGGTTTTTGAACGTGGCAATATGCTGAAAATCAAGTAACACAAATGTCGGATAGCTACAAAAAACGAACAGACAGAGTAAAATATCTTCTAATATACTACAGTATATCGACGCTATTGTAATAACTATCAACGCGACTGTAATGTCCGTTGCTAGCAAAATTGGGTTTCACAGAAATCAAAGTTTCAAATCAAAATTGGTTTTCACGACGGAAATATTTCAACGAGCAACATTCCTAATTTTTGCTTTTTGCGTATAAGTGCTTTTACGACTATTCTGCATGAATATTTCCTAATAGGCTCCATAAAGTAAGTGACATTAACAATGGGTCGCGGGCTGAAAAGGCGGGAAACACCGCTCTAAAACCTTATGGCTATTTGTGTTTTTATTTTTAAATGCGACTCATCCTTGAACTGGCTTGTTGGTTATCGTTAGTAGGTATGTAGGTTGTGGATACAAAATCTTTTCTATATATATATCATACAGGGAGAACGGAAAAATAATCTTCATCGATCGGCAAGAGTAACCCCGGGTGATGAAGAGCCAGGTCACGTGACGGTGATGGCGCTACCAGCTAGACAAGCTGCCGAGTTATTTTATACCATGTATAAGTGAGTGAATGATAAGTAGAAAAACCTAATACAGGTAAGCTGCATACAAATTAAATATCAGAACATCGATAACAGAAAATACACAAAGAAATGATACATATTTCCATATAACTATGCGGAGCTAACGAGGATGAAAATGTTGCGTTTCTGAACACTTCATTTCAATTAGGCTTCATACAAGCAGCAACTAACTCGCAACGAGGTATTACTTTCGGATGACCCGAATTTCTTTTATTCAGCATTGCCTAATTGTCCCATACCGGCGGAGATGGAGGGCGTGGGACTTACGACGCCCAATATTGTTAGATAGAACGCTCCAAAAACACTAAGTAGAAAATGATGAAGCAATGCGCCAAATCGTGTATTTTTATCTAAAGTTTTTTCAATAAAAAGCTCTGTTAATTTCGCTTTCACTTTCTTGTATTGATGTTTTCGTGGCCACGATACAACAATAGGCGAGATAAAAACTTCGTCAAATATAACTTGTTACGTTATTTGATAACGTCGATATTACTTTCAGGCCTTATTTTCCTGCAAGCCCCGGTCTTGGCTTAGGCGATCCAAATGTAACAATCCACGAATCAGGATATTTTGAATCTCACGAAGCCGCATCTCCATACGGTAGGCAGGAAAGTTTCAACAGTTTTATCATTTCCTTATGGATATGAAAGTCTTGGTGGAAACCATTAGCTGAAATTTTTTTTCATATACTGATTCTTAAGCATGGATTAAATTTGTTCCTGTCCTAGTAAAATCAATAGACTAAACATGTGTAATGGGATTCATCGTAAATTCGATTGGCACAAAAAATAAATTTCGCAAATTGGACTGTCATATTTGAAAACAGAGTAGAAGCCAAAAAGATATATTTTGAACCAAAAGGTTATTTTAATTGGAAAAAATTCTTTTTCTCATTACATATTTTATTTTATCCATGATTGATCACTCAACACAGTGAAACTAGGTGGTCTTAATTTTTTTTTACATATTTGATTATTATATACATCACACAAGCACCCCGCATTAAATGCATTTCGCGCGGTGCAAATAGTAGAAATATAATATAGGACACTTAGTATCCGGCAATCAACTCATCAATTCAAATAATGGAGTTTTAGCTTAGACATCCACAAGATGGTTCTCGTAATTCTTCTCTTTCGTTTTGTTTAATATGAATTTATACTTGTCATATTTTAAATACCAAAGTATCTTAGTCAGATAACATAAAAATTGAAATATGTCTAGAATATTCCACTTTAAATATCTAGCCATTCTTAAAAATCTAATTTTCCAGAACATCATAGAAGACGTCGTCGTCATCATCGACGACACACAAAATCTGATTGTGAACAAGATCTTACAGGAGGCGGTGAGGGAGGTAAACATGGAATATTCCCTTTTCGCAGTTAGAATGATCGATATTTTTAAAAACGATATCTTAACGAAATTGATATGCGTTGAGATACCCTGTATCATTGTGAGAATAGCTGAAGACGTCGGATATATAAATTTTTCGGACATGTCATGCCAAAACAAAAACAAATTACCAGTCAACCATAAAGTCAGTAATAGACGTGGTTACATTGTCTTATTGAAATTTTGTGCACAAAGGGCTAATTTAGATCAATACGACAATAAATAATTGAATGCATAGCATTTGATCATATATATATATACGCATGCGTTTGCGTTTTATTCATGTCCCTTTCCCATCACACTCGTTTAAGTTGTTTCAGCTTAGCGGTTTGTCGCCAGAGTCAACAGTTGCCCACTAAACCCAAAAAGTAAGCTTGACAACACTAGTAGCCACATCTAGTAAAAACGAGGTTTGAATTTAGTGATATACAAACTTATGAAAAAAGATTGTGGGAATCGCCTTCCGACGTGGAACGTGTGTGTTGAAAATACAATATTATTTAACCAGGTTGATGATCCGAAAAGCGTTACAGTGGCTCGTACTCTTTTTGACCAGTTGTTGTGATCGAGAATATTAAATAATAATTTAAGAATTAATAATATGATAATAATAAATATAGGTGTGTTGTATGTAAAATTCACAAATCCTATTTTATCCCTATTTACGTATCGTATGTAAAATTCACAAATCCTATTTTATCCCTATTTACGTATCGTCAAACGTTTATTATACCGCATAAATACACACCGCTTCGCCTAAATTTGTTGCGGTAAATAAAATATGATCAACACAAAGATTACACCGAGATAAAAGTTTTTGTATATGATTTTTTCATAAAATGGCAAAAACGAAAGATACCAGAAAATACTGCGGCACCAAGTGCGAAGTGGTACGAAATGTTTAGGTATTTTTAATAATCGGGAGATTTATGACTCAGATTTCTAGATAGACATTTGAATCGGTCTAATTTTTATCATAAATGGATCTAGTTAAGTATGATACTAGAAAAGAATCATGTTAACACATGTTTATCGATTATCGTCGCGTGACTCAGTAAGATTTTCATCAAGATAAAAAAGTCTAAATAAACATTCGTTGCAACGAACATGCTACGGTTTTGACAGTTGTGGACAGCAATGTATATCACACAACATTCAGTAAGATGAAATGCCAATGCGTTTTTTTCAGCAGCAATCTGCTGTTTACATATCAGCCAGGAAAGCATTATTGGACAGTCAAAACTTTTGTTGATAATGACCCCTCCCTTCTACTGGTATCGGGCGCATTCAAATTCAAGGGTGATATGAGAATCTCACAGAAAGCTCTCATCCAAAATAAATTTATTCAAATGTCCCAAGAAATCTTTGACTGGGATGCTTACCCCATTTTTTTTTAATTTGGAAAAATTGCGTGATGCAGAGGGATTCAAATGAACTGGTCCCCAACATTTTACAGTTATACCTACGGTGGTGGTAGCCTTACCACCCCTATGTCTGTATTTTCGAACTCCTCAGAAAAAAAAAGTAAACATGATAATAATATTTGAAGCGATGGGACTGCAACAATTTTGCATGTCATAAATCAATACTCTCTAAGAGAGTTTAAAAATAGTTTGTACAAAACACAACAAGAAATTTCAACCATCAAAAAAACGAATACTATTCAATATGCCATAGTTTCGAGCCCTACGCTCCAACAAAAGCCAATATTTTACATTGATTATTGTTATTTCTGTTCAAAACTAATATGGAACCAAAATCTATTATCAATTTCATGTTGTCCAGTATATTACACTTGGTTTAGGTAATGAGAATTGATTTAGTAAAATGGGTCAAGATATTCTTACCAGGTGTGTCTTTTTTGTTGTTGGGAATGGTAGTATACAGTCACTTTGATATAGTTTGGCCTCCGAAAGAGGTGGAAGGTACTTTTCAGGATTTCGTTCTGTTCACTTCCTGACAGTAATCTACTATTCTGAACATTTGCTTAGGTTATTTGCCTGAATCTTCACCATACGTGGATGAGGAATATAGCGATGAAGATGTAGACTGGAACGAAGGAGCTCCAGGACCAAGAAAGATGACTTCACGACAACCAACACCACATAAGCATCATAACGATGATGATGAACAAACGCCGACAACAAGGAAGTAAATATTTTTATTTTCAAAACTTTGAACATTTTTATTGAACAAAGTAAAATCAAGATTGACAAAATTGTTGACGTTTATATAAATAAGCCGACACTACGACATATTTACATTTTGGCATATTTAAGAATAAAACGAACGAATCCTAAAAGACTCTTTCAATTCATTAAATCATTATATATATGATTTCAAATCTACTATTCATAACTAAAAGTTTTTGTTGCAATTCTGCTTCACACCAAATAGAAAGTCAAAAAAACACCGGGGAGCTGAGAGTGAAAATCAGCAGTCGACAGAAATGAAACAAGCTAGAAACGAAGACCCAGGCACCAAATCTAAAAATAAAAAAGAGGAAACAAAGACAAAGCAAAGTGTTAATTATCCAAACACTAAACAAACCGAACAGGAGCAAACAAAACTTGAAAACGAACAGACAAATATTGAAAGTAAAGACTCTGGACAAAATGAAAAAACAATGTGATTGCTATGTTTTAACATACCTTTTAGATTACAGCGAATCATCATGATTATATATTACGAATCAGTCATTTATACCGACGAAAAGTTTTTCTTGTTGCTTTCACGGCTAACACTCTACATTGCACTATTGCATGATTTCAACATGAATTGAACTTTCCTTCTAATGTTCACCTACGACCAACAGCTTATAAAGTTCGGATTTGAGGTTTCTGTAGATATGCATCCATATTTGAGACGAGAATATCGGTCGGAGACCGTAGACTTATCGATCGGAGGTTAGGGGATCCCCCAAAACAGCGCTCTTACTCCATAGTGACACCGTGTGTCCCATCACTAATTAATTAATAACTCTCTAATTATACGACATAATCCATCGAAAATCAATAGGCTTCTGTTCCGAACTATGATGAATGCACATGCAAAATTTGGAGCAGATTCAACCTCGCTTTCGTGAGATATCGTGTGTATCTAACAGACAAACAAACAAACAAACAGACAAATACCTATCAACATACTTACCAATCTTAAGATCGATGAGTAATAATATCTTATGATGTCATTATGATTGTAAGATAATTTTTGATTACTTTTGCTTCACTTCATTACTCTAAGCATTTGTATTTCCAGGAAATTGAAATTTTTATATTAGTTTCATCAATTAAAAAATTTTTAAGTTTACAATACAACTTCCACCCCATTTCCAACTTTCTAAACTTTTTAAAAATCGATCTCACATATTTGAATAGTTATCTGTATTATATAAATTATACTGATCATATTTTACTTAATGTGCAAAATACAGCACGAAAGTCTTGGACTTAAACCTATATATTGCGAACTTGGGATATAGCAAGATAATATCTAACGAACAAGGATTTTTACAAAAAAAAAATTACAAATTGACAATTATTTACATAAGTTTTTTTTCAACATACTATGAGAAACAGATTAGTGGAAAACATAAAACTGGGCTTTTAAAAGCGTTTGTCTAAAGAGAGTTTGAGACGAAAAATTTTATCACCAATTTATCTGTTTAATTGTGAGTTGACAATCGAAATGAGCGGGCGGGTCTGTTACTTACAAAAAGATATGCCAATACTTTTGACTTCCTCTCTAGCCAGAAGGAATACTTAAGAAGTCTGAGAAGCTTTTTGTAATGCAAATATGTTAACAAGATTATTAGTGCAAATACTAAAAATACTGTATTTGCTATACTTCAATGTGTAGTGACTAGCTTGTTTTATTACTATATGACTTTATCTTTTTGTAACTGTTTTACCTTCATCATGTTCTTATGTATACTTTGGAATTTATGCCTAATATATTCATCAATGCAATGGAAGCAGTGTTTTCTTGAAAACGTAGGTTTGATTTATCAATTTTTTATGAGATATTTCCATGTCCTTGACCTTGCGTCCAAAAAGTATGCCAGTTGAACCAAGGTTTATAACCAGTGCCGATTACATGGGTATTAATTTTCCTGCAATTTTCAGATTTACCTAATTTTGCAGATCAAATGTCTACAAATCCCTGGTCAAAGTGTTAAACAATTATTCGTACAAAACGACGGCATGTGATAAAAATAGACATTATGAAACACTGACACAACTTTGAGATTTTAAAGTTTTCAGTGATACTGATGACTGCTTTCAAAGCTTGTTTTCCTATTACATTAGGCGGTACTTTAATTTCGCAGGACCTCGTCGGTTTTTGTATGTTTCCAATGATGTTATATCTACTTTTCCTTCTAAAAGCATAAACCTCACAATTTACAAATATAATTTCGAATTGTTCAATTTTTTTCTATCACTCTATATAAAACCCTTTAACAATTAATCTCCATTTAGCCTGTTGATTGGGCATATTTAAACAAAAATCCTATTTTAGCCAATTTAAAACGTGTTTCATATTAAATGTTATATATTTTTAGGTCAATTTTATCCAATTATAAACTTTCCGAATAAAATTCCTCGCGGTAAAACTGAATTCAAATAAAAAGTTATCGATGAATAACATTCTCTTGAATTATGAGAAACGCAACAATAACCTTGACCACAACACCCCAAATTTCACCATGCAAATATTTCGAGTAGATAACATCTTTAATAATCAAAACTTACATTGTTAGAGACATAATAATAAGTTACTTGGGTTATTTCCTTTAATCTCGTGCATGAAACCGCTGAATTTATATTTGATATTCGAGCATTTATTTACTGGTTACAGTAAGAGATTTCAGACAGCGATATAAGAAATTTAGAGAAACATCAATCATCAGGGATTATCTTACAACTTGAATTTTTGTTATGTGGGATTTTCCAGACCATAATCATAGATGATGATTGATAAAATATTGCCACACCGCTCAAAAGCCACAGGAACATTTTATACATTTGAAGCCAACACCGTCAAACGGATGGGAAGAAACAAATGAGCTAAGGAAACTTTCCGGTACTCCCGAAGTATGTGAACCAAGATAGCGGACACCGGAACGTAGTATGTGTACCCAATTAGGGTTAGGCCATAATTTTATCCCAATTTTACTCATTTTAGTTCTTTTACGAGTTCGGGGACTAGCCAAGTGACTCCCGTAGTATTTGTACATGGAATTATGGCCTAGCCCTAACCTGCTACACATACTACGTTCCGGTGTCCGCCATCTTGGTTCACATACTTCGGGAGTACCAACTTTTCGACCTCTCTGTATATACTTTGAATTGCTTGTAAGACCAAATATTTCCTTTCATGACATACATTTATTGTTTACTTCCTTAAAAATCCACTGCTGATTAAAGCAGGTGATTTGTTTGCGCATTAGAGTGTGCAAGTTGAGGTCCTTTCATATTGATTTATACTATATAAAAATTCCAACTGAACGCAATTACAACTATTTAAAAAATGCAAACATATTTTTGGGTATACCCTTCGTCGACATAGCAATGTAAAACTAAAGCCATGAATTCTATTTATGTTGTAGTATTCATATTATAATTATTATTACTAAAGATTTGAAAGAGAAAATTCTCCGTTAACTGATTAACGTCACACAATAACTAAAAAAGGAACGTTATGACTATTTCATCTAGTCAGATTAGATCTCAAACGCTCCTTATATCTTCTCAGTGTGGTTAAGAAATTATGCAGGAAAAACCATAATTTGTTTGATGAGTACTCTGCTTTTGGTAAATTGATAACTTAAGTTTAACAATTGTGGTATATTCTTAAAATACCTTTCGAAATTACAAGGTACTTTTATATACGTAGTTTAGGGGGTCGATCAGAAGCGATTGTTCATTGTCATGACTTTCTCACAGGTGGCAATTTTGAGTGTTATTACGTCGAAAATAGTCAAATTGCTCCGTAGTTGGGCGAAAATATTTTGTCAAATTATTTCACCAAAATGTGACAAGCATTTTTATTCGCATGTGAACTGGCCTAGTTATATGTGCTAGTTACTTATAACAATGAATTCAAATCAAACTTTATATTTTGTTTATTTGTACGTTTGTTATGAGATCAGTACGTCCATCAGTATCTGCGACTCACATTTTATTAAAAGTATCACGTGATCCGACGATATAATAAAAAATAACAAATTTATTATAAGCAATTGGGTGAAGATTTTTATTTAAGAAAGATATCATACCATGATGTGTTGCGAAAATGATAGATACAGACATAATCACATTCCTATAGCGTTATCATTTTTTAATTTGCAACTGATACAATTGAAATAGAACAACTATTGATATAATTGAAATAGAATAACAAAATATTTCTCGTTAAACATATCTAAGAATAGTATTCAAATATCGAAGTATGTATATATAAAACTGTTCAATAACAAGTGATCACATTCAAATCAACACATTTCGTAATTAAAGAGTTTTTGTTACCACAACACCGTTATTTTTTTAATTAATTGCCAAAGGCGAGATTTTGAAACAGGCTGAAAATTTCCGGAATTAGAATAGATGGCTTTTAACGAAATATTTAACGTGTCGCGTATACAGAATGATCAGGTTTAACATTTTGGTGAAATTTCATGCTCACAGTCAACGTGAAAAACATTGTAAACCGATGAGATGTCATTATAATCAGGCCAAAACCTCTAACCATATCATTTTGAAAAGGTATTAATCAAACAAAAATGAACCAAAATTTATCAGATTTTATTTCCGAAATTAACACTACTGTTACAAAAGTAAATCGTCAACCATCACAAACAAAGCGATCAATTAATTCTCTGTTGATCTAAGTTTTCTGATTAAAAGTTCCTAACGCAGCGATTACCTTCTAAATATAGTGTCATAATTGGTACACCGACGTCACACTAATAACAACCTCTGATCGCGAGATCGGTGATGTAACATAATTCTACCGGTACCAAGGCACTAATTCATTATCACACTCAAATGACATTCTCCATATTCTATACAAAAAACAATTGTAAATTGACTATAACTTGAACGTGATTCATTTTGATGCAATCATATCATCGGTAGTCGTACGATAGGATTCATTGGTGTTTTATGAGCTTTTTGAGTGTAATTCTATCTCTTGTAATTTATTAAGGAAATATATAGTTGAACGTTGGTTAATTTCATTGGTTTATAAGAAAATTGTGGGAAATTTTGATTAAAAAAAAATTTACCTCTAATTGAATAAAATTGTGATGAGTCAAATTTAGATATCTGTGGGATCAGCATTTAAAACACGACTATGGGCTATAATAAGCCATTTTATTGTTATCCGAGGTTCGGGTGATAACGTGTAAGTTAACGCTTGCGAAACTACACAGTTTCAAAGGTTGGCAATTTTAGTTATACTGATGGGCGCGACCATTACGTGATCAGATGTACCAGGTCCAAATTTATCACGTTTTGTCAGATTATTTTGTTGATAGTTTGGAGTAGAGAAATCAAATTATTCCTTAATCTCTTAGACGCGTTTGTTTGTTTTGGGACTTGATCAAAAATACCGCGCCTGGGGGGAAAATATACATTATATCCAGCCAACCGACCAATGAAAAATTTGATTCTATATTGAAACTTTCATATAGCAATTTATATTGCTTTTACTCAATTATTCATTTCAAACAATATTTTGGAAGGATATATTTTATTTTATTCGAAGATTCAAGATTTCTCTTTATATCCATATTCAAAAAATTCCAATTTAATATGTAAGATGGACGGGAGAATTACTAAGGTTCG